CAAGCAAATGGTCCACAAATAGATCAGATTGATGGAGACCAATATAATTGATCGAGAAAGCTTGTTGGTCCCTCCAATTCACGTGTTTAATCCAAAATTTGATTGTAAAAATTCCTTTAAAGAAGAATGAAAATGTTACATTTCTCTGATATCAGTGCGTGTTTTCGTAGTCCGATTTGAGAGCAAACAACCAGACTGTGTTGCAAAATTTTACAGTTCAAAAGTTTATTGTTGTTGTGTGTGAATTCATCGGAATTTGAGGCCAACATAAATAACCTATTCAATTCTTTCATCAAAAGCTTATTGGTTTTTTAAAATGTATTAGATAATTTTGATATTTTTATCTATTAAATATAAAAAATGATTTTTATAAAAAATTATGAATGTTTTGATATTTATATATAAATTACTTACTATAATAATAATAAAATACTTTTGAATAAAATAAATAAAAATGATAAATAGATACGGACGAAGAGAATGAATTTTATTTTTTATAAAATAATATTCATATTCAAATATATTTTATTTTATAATTATTATTACTTTGTTTTAACTTAAATATATCTCCATATTTAAACAAACAACATTCAATATTCCTCCAAACTAAGCCCAAAAGCCCAATGTTTCCAATTGAGTCAGTCAATTTAAGCCCAAAAGATTTTTAGCCCAATATAAATTTGCCCATGGTGATTCAATTTACTGTAACAAATCACATTGGATTAGATTATTATATTTTATTATATTGTCCATATATGATCCAATAATTTATGTTATGTTATATATTTTAGAAATTTTAAAATTATTTATTAATAATATTGGTTTTTTTTTTTTTTAATAAAAATACAGCATCAAATATATAAGTTTATTTAAAATATTATATTAAAAATCTTACTAATTTTCTATACAAAGTATTACATTCAGAGAAACTTATTTTTATATTAGTTTTAAAATACTTCAAAACTCAAAATTCATGTCTAATTCAAATGAATATATTATTTATGTAATTGTGAATTGCTTGTATTTCTAATATGACTTTTTTTTTCATCAATATGAATTTTTATTTTTATTAAATTTATTCATTTTAAATACATTTAATAAATATAAATTAATTTAATTCAATTTCTAACTTCTTACATTTAGAATCCATTCAAAATTTTTTTTATTTTTATTCATTCTCAATAAATAAATATTTTTATTTATATTTAAAACTTTTTATTCTTTTAAAATTAGTTTTAAGTTAATTATAAATAAATAAATATATTTTTATTTATTTATTTGTACTCCCGAAAAATATGTAAAATCCTCCATGTGATGTCCCGAAGCCGCAAACGAAGCCAAAGAAGGAGGGGCTGAAGCGTCCAATGATGATATTAAGGATATGCAAGTGGTGGAGTCCGTCTCAATCCACAGTAAATAGCTTTAACCCCGCTAGGTCGACTCCCGTGAAAATCACATAAAGTTCGGCAAAAGTGTTCATCGCTCTCACGAATGGGGCCTGGAAGGCTGCTACCACCGCCTCTGCAGCGTCTCGAATTACATCAGCCGCTCTTGCCGGCCCGATCGATGCTCCATCCGTGTTGAGCTTAAATTATCCCGGGGATGACGACTTCCATTGCATGAGGATCGGAGGATGGGGGGTTGGCGAAGGATACCGAAACTCGAGGCTCGTCGCTATATGTAGATCTCCCTCCCAATGTTTTCGGAGAAGGATTGCCGAGCACCAAAGTACCTGCAAGTCTAAGTGCCCACGCCAAATAATCCTATCGGATGAAAAAAAATATCCAAAAAAACTACATAATCAACATAGGAATAAACACCCGAATTTTCTGAGCAAGTGTCATCGAAAAACCTCCAAGAAGATACCATGAGGTGCGGCATATGTGTCTTTGACAAGGTGATCTGGAAGAGCAATGGCTTTTCACCCTCCTAATAACCGCCAACTCAAAGAAGGGAAGAGGTGAGAAACCGTCTCTTCCTCCTTCTGACAACAATAACATATCGAAACAATATGGATCCCATAATGCCAAAGGATATCATCAACTGGTAAATGTTGTCAAAATAATCTTCATAAGAAGACCGACATCGTAGGAGTAAGTAGACGTGACCATATAGCACCAGATAGCCAACTCCTCACATGCGCATCTCGGCAAAGCTCCAAGGTCGAAGATGTCGAGAACATGCCCGACTCGAGGCTACCTAGGTCATCCTATCACCCGATAATCCATATATTGGAACTTTCGAGACACGATGAACTAGCAACTCTGTAAGATATGCCCGAAGCCGCTCCAAGTCCCAAGATTCGCCATGCCACATCTCTCAAACAAGTAACGCCAACGGCCTCTTTCCTTGATATGTACAAAGGGGCTGCTCCCCGCACCATCTATCATACCAAAAATAACAATCATCTCGAACCTAAGCTCCAATAGATCTGAGATTGCACCTCCGCACGCACTTCACACAAACACTTTCATACCGGACTATCATAATTTATACACGGAGCAATTCCCAAAAAAGTTTCGCAAAAATATTTGTGCCTCATAGTACGCGCCCACAAAGATGAGCCATCCCGGAACCTCTACCAAAGCTTATACAAAAAAGCCTCCACCATATCTATCAATATACGAGTGCCCAATCCACCATCCTCCATTGGTCTCGCGGCCTCCGCCCAAGAAATCCAATGTTTGCCGACGATGACCATGATAAAATTCCCAAAAGAATCTCACAAATAATTGCTCCACCGAATGGAGCACCGTCTGCAGCGGCCTAAGAACCTGTAGTAGATAAAGCAGAAGAGAATATAGTGTACTCTGGATTAACTAGAGGTACTCTCCAGCAAAAGGATACATTTATCCCACTTTGTTAAATACCTCCGAAGCTTGCCAAGGAGCCCCTCATACAACATGTTCCTCCGATGTTCCACATAAAGTGGAGCTCCCAAATATGTAAATGGGAGTTCTGCCTCTCCAAAGCTCGTGGCCTCCTAGAGCCGACCAGAGAGCTCCTCCGTAAAATGCCGACTAAACACTATATGACTCTTTTGACGGTTTACTTTTTGCCCGGTGATCTGCACATAATCATCTAAGAACTTCGTCAAAGAGCCAATTTCCACACTACCGATGTTAGCGAAAATCAAAATATCATCCGTATACGCCAAATGGGCCAATCGAAAACCACCTTGACAATGATAAAAAATGATATTGAAATCTCTCAAATAACTGCTCTAGCCCCCGCAATAACAGGTTCGCCGCCAAGACAAATAAAATTGGCGATAGAGGATCCCTTTGTCGAACCCCTCGCGAGGACTTGAAGAATCCCCAAATCTCCATTCACCAACACCGAAAATCCAAACCACATAAGTGCGTGTCTCAAGAATCGCCATGAAACCCTATTGAATAACTTATTCAAATCAAGCTTCATCAAAACATTAGGAGTAGCCCCTTAAAGATTTAAGTCATGAACCATTTCTGATGCCATAAGAATATTGTTGGCAATGGCACGTCCATTGACAAATCCGTTTTGGTGCAGGGAGAGGAGCCGCGACAATAAAGGACCAAGGCGAACCTTGAATAGCTTCGTAATGATTTTATTACTTATGTTAAAAAGGCTAATCGGCCTATAGTCCGCTTATGATATTGGTCCCTCCTTTTTCGGGATCAAAATAATCGTTATTTCCGTATAAAATTTTGGGAGATGAGTGCCCATAAATAAATCTAAGACCGCCCCAAAGACATCGAGGCCTATGATGTTCCAATAATGCCGATAAAATGCCGTTGAAAATTCATCCGGACCAGCCACACTATTAAGATTTATCGAGAACACCACCTTCCAAACCTCTGCTAGCGTCGGTAACACAAAAAATCGCAAATTCTCCTCTAACGGCATTTGCGGCGACGGATCAACAAGGTTATCCATGGAAGTATCCGCATCGTTTTCCTCACCAAACATAGATGAGAAGTACCTCACGGCGGAATCCTGTATCTCCGAATGCTTCGATAATGATTGATCACCATCACGCATAAAAAAGATCGATGCACATCGCCGATGCTCCCGAACCATGGAACGAAAGAATCGGGAGTTGCGCTCCCTATCCACCCGCCCATCGGCGTGCCGCCTTTTGTCTCCAATACGCCTCCTCCAACGCAATCGCATGCGTCAATGTCACCTCACTATGTTATCGTCGAAGCAATTTAGTCTCCGACGAATTCCGATCGAACTCCTCCTCACATGTTGCGGCCTCCTTCTCGGCACCCTCCAATATACGAAACACATTTTTATTCTACCACTTGAGCGTTTGTTTAAGGCACCCGTGTTTCATTCTCAATATAAGAAGGCTCGTCGGCGGCCTTACTTCCGTAATATTCGTCGGAGTTTCCTAATTCCTATATTTAGCATCAAAGAACAGAAGACACTTTTAAAATCAGATAAAAATAACTATTTTTTACTATATTTAGTGTTCATTGAGATTGAATCTAAAAATAATAAATATATTTGTATTTTCAAGGACGTAGAAATAAAGATTTTGAAACTCATTAGCAACTGATATTGGTTAAACATCTTTAAATAATAACAATCAATGTGAGTTAGAGATAAAATTTATGAAAATAAAAAATAGATAACACAGTTTTAAAAATATAAAAATTCAAAGCAATTTCATAAAATCAAATAAACTTTGTATAATTTAATTTATTACATATTTATATCATTACATTTATTAACTATCAACTCAATACATGTCAGAATTCCCAAAATCTTAAACCAAACATAATAACATAAATAAAAACAAAAATCTAAACTCATCTTAAAATTCAAATTTCATCTAAGTACAAACAAATTGTTTTTAAACTCAACCAAAAAATCCTACCTAAGGTACATATCCTTAATTACGTAAGCGGAGAAGCACGCACATTTAAATACAAAATACATACAACAGATGTACATATATATATATATATAGAAATAGAAATAGAAATCCAATAGAAAGATTTTTTTATATTTTTTTACATTTTCTGTATTCGCTGCCCAAAGCCAAATTGTTTCTCTGCAAATCCGGCAATCTCCTCTCTCTCCTCTTCTCCCGTGTGTCTCTCTCTACAAAACCGATGTGCGCTTCTGCAATTCCTCTCCGCCATTTTTGAATCCGTATCTTTCTCATTCTATATTCATTCGTGTCTGCCTGCGTGTATATAAGGAATGGATAACGGCACTGTTGTTGGTAATGGTGGTGATGGTGATGGAGCAGAAGGAATCTCTTCGATATCTTTGCAATCCGAGCCGCCGCGGCAGGACGAAGGAGAGGAACCCTTGCCATCCTGTGAGGACAAGAGAGTCTTTTTAGTTCCGTTCAGGTATCTGCATTTATCGATTGTTGCTCCGAATTCGAGTTGCTGCAATTATTATAATTTTTTTATTCGTTGTTGATAAATTTGGGGATACTGCAGGATAGTGAAGTAGGGAACGGAACGAATCGGATTTGGTGATTAATCAATAGCCGAATAGAAATGAGGAATAAAAAAGGGATTTTCTGATCGTTTGTGTGAACTGTGGCGCATCGCTAATTAAAGCAATCCAGAAAACATAGCTATCAGTTTGAAATTTTCAATCGAGTTAGATGGAAGGAACTTCAAAGCGATGATATAAGGGAATAAGTAAAATTGATCGTTGGATTTTGTATATGATTTCTTTCGGGGGATGCTTGCTTACTTTCGTAAATTCTAGGTTTTAATTGGAGCTTATTATCTATTACCAATTATTAACTGTTAAGTTTCAATTTGGTTGGGGTTTTAGTTTCTATGCCCTCTTTTGTGTAGATTACTTTATTATTTGTATTTTGAAGCATGTTTAGGAGATTTTGGGTGGTTTTTGGATTGGTAAGGCAGTAAGAGTGCTGTGCCTACTGTGGTTAAGGTTTTAAATTGCTGGATTGCTTCCGAGTACTTGTTTCTTTCACTTGTTATTTGGGTAATAATAAGTGTGCTTTTATGGCTTGGGCATGTTTTAGATGGTGGAAGGAAGCCCAGAAGCCTTCCTCGGCAGAGATAAAGAAAGGAATCCCATATGCTGCATCACCTTCTTCTCCATATGCTGGTCCAATGAAAATATTTAACAATATATTCAGCTCAGATCTTGCATTTAACCTGAGAAAAGAGGATGAATTATTGTGTAATGGTGAAAGTAGTGAAGTTGGGGTATCAGGGAGGGACTATGCTTTGGTTCCTCCAGACATGTGGCTGCGGGCACTAAAATGGTAAGTACTTTATAGAAATTGCAGCATCTCCGTGTTTGTTGCTGTTTGTTTCAAATGTATTTTGTTTAATTTGGTAGAGCCACTTGTAATTCCATGTAACCGATGCAACATGATTGCATTTTTGTACAGAAACGATTGCATGTAAGAATGCCGTGGCAAAAAAATTATATGAATATCTCATCTTCATTGATGGATGTGATCCATTATGTAGTGTTCCCTTTGTGAGGTAGTTTGTGGGGCCCCCTGGGTGATATTTACTAGTTTGTGAGTAGCTTTAAACCATTCAGTGTTGGTTTCGTAATCTGTCAGCTAGCTTGGCATGATATCAGCTGGCATTTTAAGGGACTCGGAAGATTCATTATACTTTATGACATTTGGAAGGTGTTTGAATGAGTTTGTTGGTTGGGTTGGCCCGTCTCCTTTTCTTATCTTCAGAATCTTTTGGTGTTATACTTATGGCCACGCCATTTATTTCAGCGATCTTTTTATTTTATTATCCTTTTGCGCCTTCCTATAGGCTTAAATTATATGAAATATTTTAATGATGATCATCAAATCTTTTATTTTTGCTATCTGTGGGCAGAAAATAGACATCACATGGATGCAATAGTGCAGTATTGCTAGTATGACTTCTAGTGATACTGGTGCAATTAGATGAAGTTATTTAATTCCCTTTTGCTTTAACAATCTGTTTCTGTCCAGGCACAGTGAGTCCAAAAATTCGTCAAAGGAGACAAAAGGTTCGATTGCTGTAGACGAGGATATGTCAGTTTACCCACTGCAACTGAGGCTTTCTGTTCCAAGAGAATCCAATGCGCTGGCAGTAAAAATAACCAAAAAGGTGGGTAATCCCCTATCCAGCCTGATTTTGAATCCTCCTGCTAGTGATGATTTATTGCATTGTGACCTTTTTACAATATGGATAGATATAAATCTCTCTCTCTCTCCCTCTCTGTGTCTGATGAACACTTCATTGATGCGGGATGATTTTCTCTACAACATGGCCATGTTTATTAATTTTGTGTGTCCATGTTTCTGATCAGCAATACTATCCTCGTTCATTACCTTATTTACTTTCCGACTAAATACATAGTTCTTAAAAAATTGTACTGATGAAGTCCTTTTGTGGAACAATTATGGAATCAATCTGAAAAGTTAGCAGGTAGCAAATCCTCATCAATTAAAACTTGATGGTTATCATGTGATGTACCATTCTCATTTTAATTTATTATTATAGGGAGGGAACTTGTCCAAAACTTGAAGCCCATATGCTAACACTATCATGGATTTCTGGTTTTGTTGGGCTGTTATCTCAGTTTAAGATTCTTATTTATGTGTTAAGTATACCAATGTCCTCATGCATATGTAAATACTTAATTTTCCTACATGGACCATTTGGAATCAACAACAGTAAATTCATGATTTGTCGAATTTAAAGTGTTCTCCCATTTTCTAGGTGAAATTTCTTTTATCATCATTAAGTTTTACCCCTTTTTTTTAAAACTTCATTTTCCAGGATAATTCAGCTGAGTGCTTCAGAAGAGCATGCAAGATTTTTAACATGGAGTCTGAACCTGTGAGTGGTTCAAAAATTTTAATGTCTTGTACTTATTACTTGGTCTTATTTCGTGGAAACTGATGATCATCTCAATGTTCAGCAGTTCCGACTTTGGGATTTTTCTGAGCAAACGACGCTCCTTTTGTTGAATGACAAAAATAAAGTGTTGAAAGAGTCTCCAAAGCAATCAGAGCAGGATGTAAGCTACAGACAAATGGGCATTACAGGAAGCATATTCTAAATTCTAATTATAATTAACTTATTTCCTCTCCTTTGATTTGCAGCTGCTCCTAGAATTGTCAGTTTATGGCTTGTCAGATTCTTTCAGAAATCGAGGAGGTAGAAAAGAGGAGAGCCAATATCCTAATGGTACTTTGTGCCTGATGAATGGTGGTTCTACCACCTATGGCTCAAATGGTGCTCGAAGCAATTCTAACCTTGGAAGTTCATCTGAAACTGGGACTCTGGGCTTAACTGGATTGCAAAACCTAGGGAATACTTGTTTCATGAATAGTGCTCTTCAGTGTCTAGCACACACTCCAAAGCTGGTTGACTATTTTCTTGGAGATTATAAAAGAGAAATCAACACGGAGAATCCTTTGGGAATGAAAGTACGTACTCTTGTTGTTACGCCTTCACAATTAGCAGGCTATTTGAGCAGTTCTCTATTTATTTTTTTCATTGATGTTGTATCTTTGTTTGCCCCTAAAAGACTTGTTATTTTGCCAAATAGATTGCCGCAAATGGATTTCACGATATGCCATAGATTCTTCACTTCCCATGAATACTTTCTTTTCTAACTTCTACTATATAAAAGTTCAGATCGGATATAAAAAGTGATATATAGAAAGAACCTTGTGTGTTGATTGAGTTCATCAGCTGTATGTATCCTTAGATGGGGTTTTAACGGTGCATGTGATATAGAAATCAGGAATAGTCAGTGAATTTTCATGCATGTACAATATGGCTTGTGGTTCATGGGACTTATTTCTAACGCAGTTGAATAACTTACTTCGATAGGGTGAGATTGCTTCTGCTTTTGGAGATTTGATAAAGAAATTATGGGCTCCTGGAGCTGGTCTTGTGACACCAAGAAGTTTCAAATTGAAGCTTGCCCATTTTGCTCCACAGTTCAGTGGTTTTAATCAGCATGATTCTCAAGTATGTATTATTTTCCAAGTAAAAGCTACGTTAGTATTCATTCCTATCTTAATTTATTCTATAATTAGTATTCCATGCTTTAATAGGAGAGGGGATATTCACCAAATTTGCTTATTGTAGGAACTCCTGGCATTTCTATTAGACGGTCTACATGAAGATTTGAATCGTGTGAAGTGCAAACCTTACGTTGAAGCTAAGGATTCTGATGGGCGACCAGATGAAGAAGTAGCTGATGAATATTGGAGCAATCATCTGGCTCGTAATGACTCAATAATAGTTGATGTGTGCCAGGTAAGTTTCATTGCTTAGTTTCAAATGCAAGTCATTCTTTTCTCAACTTTCTTCCTTTTTTTTTTTTAACATTCTTAAGTTACTTCAGCAAAGTGAATTATTATAAGAATGCTCCCTGGCTCTTGCATCTCAAAAATTGGTGTTACTTCTTGTTGTCTATCACTACTCTGATACACGGGATCATTATATTTGCAGGGGCAGTACAAGTCCACATTAGTATGTCCAGTTTGCAGAAAGGTGTCTGTTACTTTTGACCCATTCATGTATTTGTCATTACCTCTGCCATCGACATCTATGCGGACAATGACACTGACTGTTGTACAAGCTGATGGCAGTAGCAAGCCATCCTCATTCACTGTCAATGTACCCAAAAACGGAAAGCTTGAAGATCTAACCCAGGCCTTAAGCACAGCATGCTCTTTACGGATCGATGAAACACTCGTGATAGCTGAGGTAACTGCAATGGCCAGGCTTTCTATTTATTTATTTATTTTATTACGCCTGTTGCTCTTTTTCTGTGCTAAAACAATATGAATGTGTACAGATATACAACAACCGGATCATACGCTTTCTAGAAGAGCCAACTGATTCATTATCGTTAATCAGGGACAATGATCAGTTAGTTGCTTATAGGCTTCTGAATGTTACTGATGCTCCTATCTTTGTGTTTATGCATCAGCAGATGGACGAGTAAGTCTGAATTCTTGACGAGCTTTCTTCGTGATTTACTTTTTGTTATAGATGTTCTTTTTTCTCTAAAATTGACATTTACACAATTTTTTCTCTAAAACAATATGAATTGTTTTTCGTTATATTTCTTGTCTTGCAATTCATGTCTCATGCCATGTTGTCAAACATCTGTCGCAGATCTACATGGAAGGCATTCGGGGTTCCACTTCTAGCGCATGAAAACATACCCCATGGATCTGATATTCGACAAGTGTATAAAAATTTGATTTCCCCATTCTCGGATGAAGACACCGGTAAGGATAAGAGTGGCTCAGAAAACAACGGTGCAAGTGGAGTGGTCGGAGGAACAAACGCCACTAGCAATAATTCCGGATTAACTGACTCCCCTGTGAATTCCGATACTGAGGATCCGGACGTGCATTCCTTTGCCGATTTTCAATTCTACCTGACAAATGAAAAAGGAACCAAAAAAATCGCTGAGTTTGGAACAGATGAGTTGGCAAAGTTTACACCAATGCCCGAAAGAGTGTATGTTCTTGTATGTTGGTCGAAAAAGATTGTTAATCACTACAACATGAAGCCGCTTAATTCACTTCCGGAAGTTTTCAAATCCGGATTCTTCTCGAAAAGACCACAAGAGTCGGTATCTCTGTATAAATGCCTTGAAGCATTTCTCAAGGAGGAACCTCTAGGACCAGACGACATGTGGTCCGTACTCTATCCCTTGATTTTGTAATTTTGTGTTTTTTTTTTTACGACTAATATGCAATTTCGATTTTTAGGTACTGTCCTATTTGCAAGCAGCATTGCCAAGCCAGTAAAAAATTAGATCTCTGGCGCCTACCCGAAATCCTGGTCATTCACTTGAAAAGATTCTCCTACAGCAGGTTCCTAAAGAATAAGCTCGAAACTTTTGTCGACTTCCCCCTCCACGATCTTGATTTGTCGAATTATATCGCCCACAAGGACGGACAGTCTAGTTACCGCTACATGCTCTATGCAATCAGCAATCACTACGGAAGCATGGGAGGTGGCCACTATACGGCATTTGTTCATGTAAGTTGTCCTTCTTCGAAAAATAACGACATCTTTTTCGTATGCTTAATTTTTTTACTCCCTCCGTCCTACATAAAGTGTCCACTTTTTTCTGTGTTCGTCTGTTCCACATAATTTGTCCTTTTTTTTTTTTAAGTATAATTATACAATTTAACCCTCTTTTAAATTTTATAATTTATAATTTTTTTAATCTTAATTCTGTCATCTAAATTTATTATCGTTTCAAAAAGTACTATTTTTTATACTTTTTCTTTACCATAAAAGGAAAAAATTTTTATTTTTACCTACTTTTCTTAAAATCTGTATCCGGTCAAGTGGACATAAGTTTACATGGCGGAGGGAGTAATAATTATTTTTACTAATACATTTTTTATTTTCGTGTCTATTGTAACATGGACATTTTAACTGGGACAGAGGAAGTATTTTATTACCATACGCATATTTTTTTTTGTTTTTTTTTTTTCTGATTGTTTTTCTAATGTAGCATGGCGGCGATAGATGGTATGATTTTGACGACAGCCATGTATCTCCGATCAGTGAGGATAAGATCAAAACTTCAGCTGCCTACGTACTGTTTTACAGAAGAGTGGACGGCGACAACTGACTTGAGACGACGAATATTGTGAGTAAGTATGATAGTGAGAGAGAGAGAGAAGGGGGAGAGTATAGTTTAAAATCCTTTTTATTGGTAACCCACGGCATCATATAATTTTTTTTCTTTTTGTTTGTATTACTTACAACTTACAATGTGATTGATATTCTTTCTCGAGACGAATGAAAAAACCCGATAGCATAGGTTGACATAGTGAGAGACGAGGATTAGCTAGAAAGGAATAACCAGTTTACCGAGCGAAGGCGATTGTAGCGGGAGCCGAGGTGGTTTTGCTAAAAACGGATTTGGATTGGCTTAGCGAGCGCGCGAGAACTTTGGTTTGGTTCGATTTGATCAGGTAAATCTGTTGAACTTTCTTGTAACTGTGTAACAATGGCGGAGAATATATAATAGAATCGAGGTGTTTGTTTAAGTGGCCGATTATTAGCTTATTACGTGCGTTGTATTGTGTCTATGATGTTCGTTGTCGTCGTCCGGTGGTCGGATTTCTTGTCTATATGTATGATCTATCGATGTTTTTCTTTGTCGACGAGTTCTTGTGAAGAAGCAAAGCATGGATGAATGGTGGTGAGAAATTTTTGTGTTTTTTTGAATTCTTTTGAAAAAATTTTAGGTTAAAATGAGTGTATATGTGTAATGCTTAAATTAAAATTGGGAAAAGTTGATTCTGGTCTTAATATAATCAAAACGTGTTAATTTATTCTAACAAAACATCCCTCGAATATTTTCTTTAATACTTCATTTGTCCATCTTTATAGATTATATTTATCTTTTATATCATTATAATTAATATTAAAAATGTTTTTATATTAGCCATTTTTCGAGTAGTAGTAGAATAAAATTAAATTTTCCCCGACTCAAAAAAACATAATCTAAAATTAAATTAAAAAAACAATGAATGCAATAAGATTCCATATCCATTCATCCATTGATGAACAGCTAAAGAAACCCAAAACTAAAACTCTGAAACAAAGTTGTCAATTTGTTCGACACAAACTTGCATATAACCAATGCATTCTTCAACACTCATTATCATTATATTACCTGATTTTTCACCATCTTCCATCATCATCATCTTCCTCACCTCCTCCATCCTCCTCACACCTTCCTCCTTCTCCCTCCACAGCTCCTCCACCTTCCTCCACTCTCCGGCCACCTCTGCCGCCGCCGCTCCCGCCCCCTCCTCGCTCGCCGCCGCCTCCAACAACCGCTCGTAATACTCCACCGTCATCTCCCCGAACTCCCGTACCCCGTCCTCCCTCATTTCCATCACCGTCTCCTTCTCCCGAATCGCGGTTTCGAGCTTCCGCTCCATCTCCTCTGCCGCCGCGATCTCATTCTCGACGATCGTCACCCGCTTCTCAATTTTACTCAATTTTGTACCCAACGCTTCGGCCTCCATCCTCGCTCCGCCGAGCTTTTCCATCGTCACTTTCATTTCGCTCCGCAGCTTCGTCTTATCCTCCTCGAACCTAAGCAGCTCCGTCGCTTTCCCGCTCATCTGCCATTTTTCGACGTTTTCTATCGCGAAGAGTACCTTGTCGCTCTCGACTCTTCGACTCGCCTCGTCCGATTTCACCTTCAACTTCTCCATATTATTCCTCAGTTCCGTTTCCGTCGCATGCAGCTTCGACAACGCATCCATCGCTTCCTTCTTTGATATGCGGAGTCGCGACAGCTCGTCTCTCCTTTCGCTTACGTTCTTCGAACATGCAGCGAGTTTCGAGCGCGCGATCGCTTCCCGCTGCTCGAAGTAACACAACGACGAAGAAAAGCTTTTCAAGGATTGTCGTAACGCCAATAGTTTGTTGTTTGCGAGATCTTTTTCCGCCTGCCGCTCCGACGAGAGAGATTTGAGATACGCCAAGTTGTCGCGTTTTTCCCGAATTCCGGCTTCGAGTTTCCTGATTTTTTCCGTAAGAGCTTCGACATCGACGATCGCATTCTCGATAGCTCGAAATGTGTCGAATGTTTTCGTAGAAGACATAAGCTTTTCCTTCGCTTCGACGAGCTTCTCTCGTAATTGATTCAAACTTTCCGCAAGATTCATCGGCATCGTACCAAATGAGTTTCTGCTCCTCTCGTCGCCTTCTCGTCTATCGGGTTCGTGCAACTCGTCTAACTCCATCACGTCGTCTGCGATCGCTTCCGTCGTGTCGTTTTTTACGACTTCAATTACTCGTTTCAGTTCGTCTCTCTCTTGCATCGCCTTCTCGTATAGACTCAAGAGCCTGTCATTTTCTTCGTGCATTTCCGACAGGTGGTGCTTAAGGCTCTCAACTTCCGCCTGTTCGTCTGCGGCTACATCGTCGCTCTTTCCCTTGTTTTCTGCAACAGCCCTTTCATACAAATCGATCAGCTTATTTTTCTCCTCGATCGACACCTTCAGCTTACTCCTTAATTCATCAGTCTCTTTTGACATAGAAACCACTCTTTCATGAGCTTCGGCTTCTCTTTCGCTCACGGCGGCAATGGCATCCACCATCGTTTTAATCTCAGTCTGATCGCTCGACACCAAAGGAAGATCAATGAGTCCATGGTTCTGTTTGGCTAATCTCTCTGCATTGAGCTCGTTCGCCAACTCGTTTATTTGCCTGCAAGTTTTCGACATTAAGAAATCTAAAAGATAAATCGCATAAATTTTCGTCGAGGAATGAATGCCAAGGTGAAGACCTTTCCAAATGTTCCTTCTCTTCAGTACAGAAGTCGAGTTTCTTTCGAAGCAAATCAATCTCCGATTGATTTTGAATCGCCTGCGCAGCGCAATTTGAATAAACCGTTATATCACCAACCACTTTAACCATTTTTTTTTCTGAAGGAAGGATGAAACGTGTACCTGAATTCGGAGGAATTCATTCTCCTCATTCATTCTTGTGCGCCAGGGCGATGCAGATTCCTGCAATAATACACAACTAGCATCGTCACAAAATTGCTCGGACCGGACTAATATAGCAACAAGTGTCGGTTATAACGAGCAAGACATGATGATAATATTACCATCCCCAAGAACTGATCTGAATTCAGCAAATTGTCATCACTCTGAAGATCCATCACAGTGTTAGGGACTTCTTTCTGGAGAGGGAAAAAAGAAATTCGAAAAATGAAAAAGAGAACGCCATTTAGCTTTGAATTTACATAATCATCGTCAAACGGTATCATGGTTGGGAAGTAAGAACACCTGAATGTTCGCCGGCTCAGATTCATGCATGAGTTTCCAATCAAGAGCTTCCAACAACTGCAGAAGATATATGAACATTGAAGAATGAGAAGGGGTCACACCATTCGTACCGAGCACCAGAGGAAAGAACAGAACAGAAACAAAATTTAATAGAAAGGAGGTTTCTGCAATTATTTGTTCTCTACTTTCAATCCTTACGACAACATTTTGCACGTGTATGCAAGAACAAAAGATAGCAAGAGAATGATTTACCTCATTTTTTAAGATTGTTATCTGCTGAAGTATGCTTTCGCGTTCACCTTCCTCACAAAAGGACTTCAGCCTGAATTTTGAACAAATCCAATCAAGCGAATAACTAGAATTAAGTCACAAGAGTGTAAATGTGATAAATTGATACAAGTGAAAAGTACATGCCTTCTAATCTCTTCGTTCAGTCGCAAATTCTCCAATGCAAATCTTGTTGCCTCCTGATTACGGCCTACCTGATTACGTAGCACTTCAATTTCCTTTAAGAGCTCCTCTTTTTCCTTTAGCAAGTGTTCCTCAGCAGAGATCTTTCCAGAAGCAACAGCTTCTAGCCTTTTGATTTCTGCTTCGCGAAACCTTAAGCGAAGCTTCAAGCTTTGGTTTTCATCTTCTCTTTGTTTAGCCTGACAGAAATCAGCAGAATAATTTTCTAAATATTCCTAAAAGAAAGGATGAGCATCTTTTTCTTTTCATGATACACACCTGGTTAATTCTAGTTTCAATATGTGAAATCATTTTGTATCATAAGATGATATAATAAACAGCATCATTCAATGATTAATGGGGTCCTTACTACAATAACTTTTAAAAAACTGCATAGAACCTACTTTGATACAAAATGTATCTTAGGTTCAAATTGAGATTCATATTATAATACCCTATCAAAACCAATATAGGTATGAGCTCTTCAGGCTAAAATAGATAAATTAAATTAAAACAAGAAGTGTTGAATTGTTTTTAGCCTCTACCATATTTCACTCCAAGTTCTTTCTACCATACTTATTTGTTTCTCTCAGAGAAACAATATGTTCACCGGTCACATTTATAATCTATAACTTAGATACAACAATGAAAACATCAACTAAGATTTGTGACAGAGTTACAAGAAAATATTTTATCCCAATGTATTATTATATTCACTCATTCGTTCATTTTAAACTATATAAAGTAATTGGATTTCACAAACCAGTTGCACAGCAGCCTGAGTCTCTGCTTGCAATGCCTGTATCTCAATATCCTTATCCTTTTCCCTCCGAAATGCTCCTACAAGGGCAACCTCATATTCTTTTTTCTGCAAAAACAGAAGTAGTTTAGAGAGCTTGTCATACAATCCTTCTCACAAGATGGAGGAAAATTAACGTACGCGTGATGTCTTTTTCGCAGATGCAAGGGGGCTGGAGAGGCCATGCAGTCCATCCCATTTGAAGGTTCCAGGAGATCCATGAAAGCCTAGTGACATAATATCACTGTCCTGATTTTCACCTCCTCCATTGACCAGACTCCGCAAACGAGATACTTCTTTCTAAATTGCACAAATTAAAGTTAATGATTCAAGCATCAGAATTTTTTTTTAGATATAAATGTATATTGAGAAATGGACAAATTAGATAAGTGCTCATACTCTGAGATTTTGATTCTCGAGCCTCAACGCCAGCACATCTCCAGAAGCATCTTCATTAATAATAGCCTAATAACGAAACATGTTCAGATGCAACAAGAAAATAATGCAAGATAACAAAGTTTGTTGCATGAAAATTTTTTGTAAGCCATGAACTAGAAAAGGCTGAGAAAGTGCTCAATAATACCAGAAGCAAAAGAACTATCAACAAGAGAACTATGCAAACTGTCCATCAATAAGAGAACTAAACTGAGTCCTTCAAAGAAAACAGGATCTTGCTACTTACATGGTTTTTTATATATTTAGCACGTTGGGCAAATTTTAATGTGCCCAAAGTCTCCACTGAGCAACTGCAGGACAGAATGAATTCTATGTTAGATTCATATTATACATACAAAATGAAAATTACAATAGAAAGTATCTTTGTAAAATGCTGCACACTAAAATAGCATACACAGCTACACATAAGTATCGAAAGAATCACTGACCAACTAGAGGGACTAATGTTTGCAATAATAATGGTTTTGGCATTTCCTCCCAATGAATCCTGCATAACAAGCAACATGTAAATATATATATATATATATATGCTTCTCCATAATACATTTTCTAATCTATTATTATGACATTGGCAACTTTTCAGATATTCTAATACAGGATGCATCTATAACAATTCAGAATCTCTTTAAGAGGTTCATGATTCTCAAAGGAAAAAAAACTCACCTGAAGCAAAAATGTGAGCTTTGAATCTCTGTATGGAACATGGAGTGACTTCCCATTTGATATGTTCACAAGATTCATTATCACAAGTCTGCAAACATTACAAACATAATTACACACCAAAAAATGAAAAGCAAGTATGAGATTACTAATTTTAACCCTGAAAGATAAAAAGAAATAGTAGGTGCATACCCTAACGTGGAAAGGGACTTGTTAATGTTAGTAGCTTCTTTCAGTCGTTCACCTTCTGCTCCTGAGCTCTTTTGCCTGAATTTGCAAGTTATGAATGTGAGATCTCACTCTTACAAACCTACTCATATCTGTTTAAGCTGTCATCCCAAATTCCCAAGAAAGAAGCTTCATTTGGCATTCTTCAACAATGATTCTATTTTACCTTTCTGAACCTGCTAAATCCACAAGATTAAGGCGTGCAAAACGATGACGAGTTACACCTTGGGATTCCCACTGAATGAAAGCAAATCAAGTATAGTGTTCAGATGAAGTCCAATCTTTACAGAAAGTTAAACTGATAACAAAAAAATATATTATGTACCTTACTCTCGATAACGCATGTGAATACACTGTGGGAACGACTACTAGCACGATTCATGTTCGTTGCTGCTACCTTTCTATTGGCTGCACCCTGACAATATGGCATTGCAAAAGATGTGAACAAATAAAGGTGCAATTTATGTATTTCTTCCTTGCTAGACTTCAGTGAAGTTTGTGGGTTAAGTACAAGGCTATGAAGCCAATAATAGCACTCATTACCAGCATCATAAAATTTAACATTGATTCAGCATATTTGCAGAAACCAAAGGCTTAGTAAAGAATGATTGAGTTGCTGTGGTAAAGATTGGAAGTTGGAACACAAAACAAGGCATAAAGATTAAGGAAATGTTGAACCTGAATTAGTTGTTGGATAACATCTCGAGCACTCATGACTTCTACCTCAGTGAGATTCTCAACATAAACTCCTTTCTTACTATCTTCTCTGATCTGCAAAGAGCCAAGTAAAGTGCCAATTAACATTTTACGATCCGGGATTGATCTCAGAATGATTTAGTACATAGAAACAGCTAAATTTTGCAATAATCTATTGACTATCATTGTGGATTGCAAGGTTTATAATTCCATGGTAATATAGGTCAATGTGATATAAAACAATACACTATTAGGCTGTCATTTAATGAGGTATTGGAGACACAGATTCTATTACCATCATTGTCACAACTGCTATGAAAAAAAAAAAATTAGATTATTGCTAGACAAGTCTCACCAAATTGTATAATTAAATGAGGCATATTTCAACACCTAGGGAAGTAGAAAACTAACTATACAGATAATTATTATAGTCCCTTTCCAACATCTAAGTCCTCCCAAACAATTTTGCACACAGAATGATACTTCCAAATTATTATTTTATCAAGTGCAAACGAACCTAAAGAAGCTTCATAGGTAGGCAAATTCTTCTGAAATATGCTGTAACTGGTCATAGTATTCATGGGGATACTAAATAAATTTCAAACCATAGAATTATGAGAAATGATGTGGATTAAGTATACCTGCAAATTACTAGATGAAGGATCCAAAAGGTCAAAAATCTGTTCATTGTAGATTTCTAAGAAAGAACATCTACAAGTGAATTTCAACTTTTCCTCGCTGCGAGCATCTCTTTCCTGTGAAGCCATAACACAAGCAGAAATGCACAAGATAAATAAATATTAAAGATAATTACAGATTTTCCGCAAGACATAATAGCAATTTAACAAAGCAGAAGCCAACTATCATTTGCTAAGCCTAGTAACACATGAAAAGTGACTTTGATGCACTGCTATGAACAATTTAAATGGTTGAGGCTGCAAAATCTGTTGCTGGTTTTCATAAGAATAAGATAGAAGCCCAAAACATTTTGCTGAAATGGTAGGATTGATTCAATGATGACAAAACTTCATGTAGCTTTCAAGTTAAAACTGAACCATATACTCACAACATACCTTCTGAATTCTAGAGAATAAGTACTCAAAAACTCTAGGTGTCATCCCACAATTAGCATTATGCCGCCTTGCACCTCCCTCAATGTCTCCAAGCATTGTGTGAGTTTTACCACTTCCTGTCTATGTATATGGTAAGAAAAGAATCACAAATTCCAATTGATACAACCAGCCACCTTTGATTAAGAAAATTCAGTTCAGAACAATTAATCAAAAGAATACAGCTTTGGCTACAAATTTCACTTATGTAGTGAAGGGAAACTCCACATTAGAACCAAAACTGATATTATTACTTTTGAAGTTAATCATTTACTTGAAAATTATACTCACTTGACCATATGCAAACATGCAACTGTTATATCCTTCGACGCAATTCTCCACCATTGGCACCCCAGTAACTCTAAATAGCATTTCCTGTATAATTGTTAGAGAGGGAGGATACAAAAATTAATAATAAATAAAAGGAACAAAATCTTGATACAGATTAACCTAAAAAATAATGTGTATACCTGGCTAACAGTCTCATCCGCCACTAGGTCAAAAGTAAACCTCGATTCGGGGTGGCCTGTCCATGCCACAGACTGAGAACTATCTTGTTTGACACATCTTTGATTTCCTTGAGTTGATATTTCAGAACTACTCAAAGGGCGTATACGAATTATAACCTGCAAATTAACCGAACAGAAAAGGCGAGAAATGCAAATTAGCAAAACGTTATCACACCTCTACACTTTCTGTAGTTCAAACACACACACCTGAACATTGTGATCCTTCCAAAAGGACGGATCTTCCCGGAACTCGAAGCTTCGAGCACAACCATTTGATGTCGCCTCCTCATCGTCGTGTTTAGACGTCCTGTGAGAAGACGTCAAGAACACGTCGTCCCTTGCAGCTGATTTCAGCAACAGATCTGGAGAGCTGCAGCTCTTCGCCGGCTTCATTGCCGACTCCGGCGCCTCTGATTGCTGGCTTCGATGATACCCGAACCGGGACTTGACGGCGCTCATCGCCTGTTCCAAATTTCCGGAAATCAACGGCATCTTTCACGGTTAGTAAAAGACTCCGCCGGCGATTAGCGATCGACGAAATGAGAAGGATTGCAGGAAGAAAATGTTCCTAGGGTTTGAGAGGGATCGGGAATTTTGAAAGTGGGTTTAGAGAGATTACCGTTTGAGATTTGAAATTTGAATGGAGCGTATGAAATGGAGCCAAGCTGTATGTAGGAGACACGCAGGTCGGGGATGGGTGTGAAATTCCCATTTTAACCTTGATCGATAGTGAAATCTCCCATCTAAAATACCTAATCCTATATTTTCGGATTTTTTTTTTTAAAAAAAAGTTGATAAAAATATTTTTTCAATGTCCCAGATAAATTATCTATACGTTAAAAAAAAAAAAAAATTAGGAATTTTTTAGGCAAAAAAATAAATAATTTATATGGGATCGGATGAAGTATTATTTTTATAAGTTATTTATTAAAATATTACTTAAATAAAAAAAATAATTTTTAAATAAATATCAAATAAAACCTTTAATTTTTTTAATTAATATTCCATCTTAATTGTTTAATTATATAATTTTCATAGTTATTATAAATAATAATACTATCTTCGTCCCATAAAATCAGTTGGAAGTAAATTTTTTAATATTAGTATTATATTGATTTATAATAGAATAAATGACATATTGTAATATATAGAAATTGTAAAAATATTAATTATGTTTTAACAGATAATACAATTACTGAATTAAGAAACAATATCTTTCGTATGAGACGAATCCAGTATAAAAGTTTTTTTTTTTTAATCTCAACTTAAATTAACATAATTTATTTTACCTGTCAATATATTATATTACTTTTTATCTTTTATATTATATTAAAAATTATTTTTACATTTAAAATATAAAATTAATCAACTTTAAATTTAGAATTTTATCATTTAAAATTCAAACATCAAACAAATGCAATATAAATATTGTTATATAATACTCCAACTAGTAAAGATAAATATTTTGTCGATATCCATAACAATATAGACATTTATCTTTTTAATAATTGTGAATGCTACTATTCAACGGACATAATTCTACTTTCTGTTTTTTTTTGCGATTTACGATTATATCATTATTTTAAAATTAGAAAATAAGGATAAAAATATTTTAACACTGTTTTAAAACTATTTTCAATTGTTAAAATATTTTTATTTCTTAAACTTCATTTAAAAAAAAAATGTATACCTTTGTCTTTCTCTTATAGATTATTAATTACATAAAAATTAATAAAATAATATCATAACTCACTATTCTTAACTAATTAAAACCATTTTTTAAATACGGTATCACTAATGAAAAGAATCAATTATCTTGCAGGGAAAGTATATTTTATTTTTGGTGAAGTAGTACTTATAATTTGCTTAACGGACTTCCTTGAGTCAGTTTCTTTAAAGACTTAGAGCGATGAATTTTAAGTTTAAAGTTTGAATAATAAAATATACCAGAAGAACAAACGTTCTTGGAGTCTTCGATCTATGACAGTAATAATCGATTGTCTTCATTTGTGTCAGATACAAATAAAAATGAAATTTTCCAACTTTTTTACTACGTAATTGACACAATTTATTATAAAAATACATTACTTGTTAGGGATGGTTAAAAAGAATCTTGCATCGTGTATATATATATATATATTTAAGCCTTTCCATCATTAATTAGCGGTAATTCGTAATTATAAAGTTTCTGAATTACCTTCGCAGTTAGGATAGTTAGCGTACATTTAGAACAATCATCGTTAACAATGACATAACGGGGTTAAATGCAAGGTTTTATACTATAAGGGAGTCTGATTCAAATTTAAAAAAATAGAGGGTGTTATGCAATTTTCATAATCACTGATAGATTTTATGGACATTTGCCCCAAAAAAAAAAAAGGGAATGAAAGTTCTACTAAATCTTGTTTTTATTTAACTCCATGCCTCCTTTTGATAAATTCACAGGAATGAACCAAAAACAAAAAATTACCATCAATAGCAAGCAACAAAGGATAAATAAATTACAGACCTGGAAAAAATATTGTCACAGGCGTTTCGAATATCCAGAGCCTCCACATTTCTTGCACAGAATCAATCCTGCACCCTTGCAAACTTTGCAATCTACGAGCCCCGATTCGACCTTCATCTTGCCATCGGTGCAGAATACGCATTTAGTCCCACCTGCTCGATCATATATATAGCAGATAAACAGCAAACACAGGAAATTTTTGGAAAAAAGATCTTAGGAATTTGGTAAGTTTATTAGCATCAATGAGAATAGAAATAGACAGCAACTTAGGATGAAAATTTCGGTCAATCCATCTAAAGTTGTTTTGTTTGTCACCAAAAGGCGAAGATAACACACAATGAAAATGAACCTAAATCGATAAAACTCAGGCTCTACTTATACAGTTGCTTTTGGAAGAACTTTTGTTACTATTCATCGACAATAATATTTTTAAAAAATATCACATCAAATATCCAATTTTTTACTATTTTCGTAATTAGTATCCTATATTTGAATTCATCAATCCTACACCTTATCATGTCATTCAAGCATTTTGCAACATTATATACATTTGAGTGTGTTTACATACACGCGCAAAAAGAATCAAATCAAATGCCATTCATCTTGTAAAAAAAGATTCACTATTTCACTATCCCGGATAAACTAAATTTGGAAATTCAACACAGAAAAATAGGAATTCGGTCCGTGAACTTGAAATGAAGAGACGATACTTAATTTTTAATTGCTTAGCTATACTAGCTTACTTGCTAGATCACTAGATTTCAAGATAATTTACATCAAATTCACCGCTAGATCGAATTCAATATTTTTCATTCCTTGTGATTGATTTCTCACTTTAGACAAACTCAACCAAAATTGTATGTGTTCAAATTCACTATAAAATTACTGCATACTGCAAGAAAAAGGCAGCCTATGAACTGAGATGAATATAAGTACCGTTCCCGGCACATCTGTCACACGGCACAGGATCACCCTGCAAACATGAGTTGTATAAACAAAATTACAATGAAAGGAATGATAATCCTGAATAGAAAATACAGAATGTACATTAGAAATTAGAAATTAGAATGGTGTTAAAAATCATGTACGGTATGAACTAGCAACAAATCTATATCATAAACCCCCAAATAATCAATTGGATGAGTTTCTTCTTCCCACATTTGCTTGATGAATTCATGGATTATGCATCGCAGTAGTTAAAGATTCACTCAAACAATTTCTGGATGAACTAGCAACAAATCTGTATCATAAACCCCCAAATAATCAATGGATGAGTTTCTTCTTCCCACATGTGCTTAATGAATTCATAGATTATGCATAGCAGTAGTTAAACATTCACGCAAACAATTTACGGAGGAAATTGGACAAATTCCTACTGCATGAATCGCAAGCAACGCCATTACTTTAATTATTGCTATAATTGAAATTAACAGCACGAATCGAAAGATGAATTTCACTGTTACAACGCACTAAACAATTTCGCCCTTACCTTAAAGCCGAGAAAAAGAGAGAGTGCTATGGCGACCAACACGCTGACAGAAACGATGAAAGTCTGAGTGTCGACCCTGGGAGATTCAATGCCGGTGAAGAGCAAAATCGAGTGCGCCGGAATTGCAGGCTGATGAAATCCGGCAACCGGAATTTGTGAAGACGAGCAATAACAACTAGTAGCGGTAATTGACGGCGATAAGGAGGACCAAGATTCTGAGAGTTTGGGGTTACAAATAGGGAGGCTGTAAAAGAAGAGAGACGAAGGCGTGAATGAAAAAGCAGCAGAAGAAGAGGTTAGGGGCGTCGACGGTGGAAACAGAGGGGGCGGTGGTCGCGGTGGCGCTGCCGCCATGGTGGCACGGGGAGATATGGTTATCCCAATTTGTGGTGGGTATGTTGGCTTTTACTTTATTATTTTATATTTATTTATTGATTATTATTATTATGCTAAAAGTAACAGCACATTACACAGTACATATTATATTACTATATCAAAATATTTTAATTTTTGTTTAAATTTCAAATATATTACTCTCTTCGTGTTGCAAGAAGGGTGACGTTTGATTTTTCTACGTAAATTTTTTGAATATTAATATTATATTAAATTATAATAAATAAGACAAAAATATACTATTAGTATAATATAATATAAAAATAATGACATTTGTTTAATATATTATAAATTTAAAGGTAAAATTATTTTTATTATTTTTATTGTACTATTAATTATAATTTACGTTTGCAAAAAGTAATGGTTAAAATGGATTAATAGAATATAATATCTTGTGATAGGAATTATGCTTATATAAATATTTTGTAAATTTTAATATATATTCCATTCAATAATCTAATAAATAATTATTTTTCTATCAAATATTTGTTTGTTATGTAAAATGACTGTTAAAAAAAAAGTATGTGAATTTTATAAACGATATAAAAATAATAAATATATATAATATATTATTTTTATGAAAAAATATGTTAGTTTTTGAAAAAACAAACAAATTATGAGTATTAATTTTTTATTATTTTAAAAAATTAGAATTCCAAAAACCTTTGTAAACAAAAAAAACTCAAATCACTTTTATATAGTATCTTTAATAATAATTAAAAGTATTAGATAATTAGTTTTATAATTGTATATTGAAAATGTAACTACATTAATTAGTCAAATCTAGAAATGATTTTTTTTATAGAATTCAAATTGATTTTGTTACTATATATATGAATTATAATTTACTACAATAACATAAATAAAAATCACAATACAATGTATCTTATAGTAATCGAGTCAATATTATTATTATTATTATTATTATTATATTATTTATATTTAGATAAAATTACAAAGGTAAATTATATAACATTCTCTTGTCTTTTTGTAAAAATGGACAAAATACTATGTATTTTATTTATTACGTAAAACCTCTTGTGTTAATGTAAAATTTGCATAAAACACCATCATTGTTTAAAACTGATGTTCGGTTCTAAATAAAGACCTAAATCATGCAAGTTTTATAAAAATAAAAAATGTAAAATATTTTAAATAGTTTTATAATCATGCATTTTTACTAAAACACAACGGCATGTTATATAATTTACCAAATTACAAATCCACTTAGGGTGTGTTTGTTTGGTAAATTTTTCCTAAATTTTACTATTTATTTAATTTTATTTTCTAAAAAATATCAAATCAAACACTTATTTTTCATTTTTATATTATACTAAAAATTAATTTTACATTCAAAACATTACATCAATACTTATTTATATCACACCGTACAACTATTCACTTTCAAAATTTATACTATTCAAATCTGAATTCAATATCCAAACCTTCAAACAAACACACCCTAAAATAATCGGTAATTTAAAGAGAATGATAATTATATACTCCCTATGTTCCAAACAAGATGCAACATTTGCTTTTGACACCGAATTTTTAGATGAGTAGCATTAAGTACAATAATTTAAAAATTAAGTGATGAGAAATATATATTTTATTTTTGAAGAGAGATCCTATGCTGAATATTCTGACTGAATTTCATCACGATCCTTAATTATTAGATTATTTATTTAATTAAAAAGATTAAATTTAAAATTAGAGGTGAAGATTAATTTCAGCATATGTTTATTTTATTTAAATGATGTGAAAGGATAAAATGTAAAATAAAAATTAATTATTAAATATAATTAATTTTTATTTTTTATTTTAAAAATATTGCAAAATATAAGAGACATACCAAAAACGAAACGCTGGTGGAGATTTGGCGGATTTGGGACGGAGGAATGCAATATAGGGTGATATTTGTAATTTAGAGAAAAAAACAGTGAAGTAACGCATCCATCACCGTTATAAATTTGAGAAAATGACGTAAAACTGATTCACACTCTAACCCAATCTGAGATCGTCTTCCCAAATCCTCGACTCTTCGACTGAGTATTCTCGTAAGTATCGCCTGCTTTCTTTCTGTAGATGCATTCGTATTCCGATTTCAGACCGCAGTGGGTTTCATGTCTATCGTCAATCCGAGGAATGTAAGTTCGATCTACATTTTTTAGAGTCGTCGTCAGTTTCGTGTGTGTATGTTTCTGATCTGTGATGTTAATGTTTTTTTTCGGCAGCATGAGAAGGAAAAGGAGAAGGAAAAAAAGAGAACTTGGGGATCGATCTGGAAAACGCCTCAGCCCATTGAAGGTAAAAATGAATGAATGAATGAATGGTTTGGGATTGCTGCGAAAGAAAGTGTTGATGCGATGCGGGTCTTGGTTATATAATAATAACAGATCAAATATTGAATCTTGAATACTTTTAAATTTTAAAAGATCAATCCTTTGATATGTTTGCAATAAGCAGTGGTGAAAACTGAGTTGAAAGATACAATAATGAAAAATAAAAATTAATTTGAAAATTATAAATTTAAGTAGGTTCGGGGCTTGGCGGGAAAGTTTTTGATCAAACTCATAGCCCGGGGCCGACTGGGTTGGTCGGGTTCAAACTTAAATTATTTAATCTTCTTTTGGATATAATGGATCTGAATCTGGCCCATTATCATTGGGCTCCGGATGGGTCCGGGACGAAACCCGTGTGTCCGGTCTCGGGTCTCCAACAATTTTTTTAGAATATCCATTAATGTAAACAACTCTGTAAACTAATCATAATAAGCATTTAAGATTATCCATTGGTAAGATAAAAAGTTTATTTCTATTAACATGTTAGCATAATGTGGTGATGTTATGTTTACAGGAAGTCGTGGCAAAAGACTTTGAGTGTAAGAATGGTTCTTGTTGCCCTCTCCGAGCATTGGCATTCCATGACTCATCACAAAGTGTAAATATCTGTTGCCCTGTTGCCCTTTTATGTCTTATAGCCGGCTACTTTTATAATTATGTTTCATAATATGTATGGCCATTTCCACTATTTTTCCTATAGTAGCCATGATTAACTTTACGTAATTGTAGGTAGGGGATTTAAAAGATTTATATGGTATACGTGACCCCTTGAAATTATCCTTAGAAATGGAGCTTGGACCGGTAATGATTCATTACAAATACAAACAATTGTATTGCTAAGGTCTTTCTTTTTCATCACATGATTGATTGGATTTCTATCTTTCTGATTTAGGATTTGTGTCTTATGTCTCCCCCTACGGCCGATGATATTTTATTGTTCTTCAAAGTTTATGATCCCGAGAGTGAAAAGCTAAGGTAGTATTTTGTTATACTTCTTTTCTTGGTTCGGGAATAACTTTACCATATTTAAATTAGCTTAACTAATATTTTGTTTGCATCTTTTCGTAGATATGCGGGAAGACTTTTTGTGAACCACTTCACTAAGCCGACGCATATTTTGACCAAATTAAATGAACTTGCTGGTTTTGATGCTCATCAAAGTATTGAACTTTATGAGGTTTGTTTAGATCCCTTGTTTATGGTACTCTCTAGGTTGGATACACTTCGGCTAAATTCAATGCTAGAAGAAAACATGTTTTTCCCATCTATTCTTTTGTGTTTATCATTACGTGGATTTGCACATGAGATCGAGGAAGATTATTTTTTGTACCCATCATATGGCAGCCCATTTGGAGATTCCTTAGGGACCGATTAACAATTAACTCCGTGTTAATTAACTAAATGCAGAAATCCTTCCATTGCAAAGCAATCACTGACCATATAGTAGTTTTGATTGTGCTCTTCACATGGCTTCCCTATGAATACTTTATCTTATTGATGGTTTTATATGAATGCAAGCAACGAGTTTAGATTATTTCAAACCCTAAGAGGCATGGAAATTTCTTTTTCATCATATATTTATATTTATCATATATAAATTCAATTAGGTGCTCATATTTATTGACACATATTAAGTTCTAATTTATTAATTTGGACCATTTTATAGTAAAATCTTTTGATGTTCTTTTTGTAATTTTTGTGGCATGCTAGACGTTTTTCTTATATTTAATATATTTCATAATTTTCTTAAACGGCAATATTGGTTTGATGATCTTCATATTTTAGGATGCTCGGAAAGGAATCTTATTTATGGACTTCCCGCCTGTGCTTCAATTGCACTTAAAGAGATTTGAGTATGACATTGAGCAAGGGCTTTTTGTCAAGGTAACCCATTAATTGTTCATCCAAAGTTCAAGATAACGAGCATGCATACACTTTCATAGACATGACACTTCGAAATTAAGAATGACAATTTTATTTTGTAGAGAGTCAAATTCATTGTTATGGCATGAAGTTATTGAGGTTACATATCGTTAGGATTGCAATGCTTACAGTAAAAAGTGTTTGATCTTATATGGATTGTGAACTTTGTAATAAATAAGGATAGCACCAAGAATTCATTCATTACAATGCTAATTACAACCAAAATGAATCATAGTGAAAGTATTGGTTGTTTAATCTTCCATGTGGACGAATTTATGACTATGTTGTTTTACTTCTAAAGTTTATTTTGGTGTCCCATTAAGCCTTTCTAGTCTTATTCATATTTCAACTCTTTTTGTTGATCTGCCTAGATAAATGACCGCTATGAGTTTCCCATTCAACTGGATTTGGACAAAAATAATAGGAAGTACTTGTCACCCGAGGCTGATAAAACAAAACGCAACCTTTATACTCTTCAAAGGTATTCATCTTTATATTATTTTATATCTGCAAACTAATGAAGTTATAATTACAATAAAATTATTAAGAAAATTCAATTGTGCTTAAAGAATATTATGAAAATTTTCTATTTACAGTGTTTTGGTCCATTCTGGTGGCATTGATGGGGGGCACTATTACGTTTATATAAGACCAGACCTATCCAACAATCAATGGTATGAATTTTAACTTTGGAGCTTTTACATTATACTGCACCTTATTTTTTGTAATATTTTATCAAGTCCTTGTAATGCAACGAGCATACTAGGATAAATTTTTATCATAAATTTAGTGTATTAACTTCTTTTGTTGGAATGTTCTCACATCAATTTATCATGGACTATTTTAGGTATAAATTTGATGATGAGAAAATGTCTAGACAAGATGTTGACACAACCATAGAAGGGCTTTACGGCGGTGAACAAGTAGGTTTTTTCTAGCATTATGTCATCTTCTCGTCATGAATACTAGGATAGTATCATTTCTTTCCTTTGTCTCCGCAGGATGTCATGCCCTCATATTTTGGAATGACATGCATGAAGAACTCAAATGCGTATATGCTAGTGTATATACGTGAGAGTGACAAGGAAAATATACTTTGTGCTGCTGATGAAAAAGAAATTGCCATGCCTCTTAGGGTTTGAAATAATCTAAACTCGTTGCTTGCATTCATATATGGTAATTTTTGTAGTAGCCAATAGTAAATATATCGTACTAATTAATATATGTATTTTTAGGAGAAGTTGAGGAGAGAAATGAAAGAGGTGAAAGACATTGCTCAGACTGATGCCCATACCATTGTGAAGGTAATTTCTATGCTGGGTATATTCTTTCAGATTTTTCTATTATTGATTTTTTGTTACATACTTTTATATAAGAGAATGGTGTCCTATCTTTAGGTGGCAACTGATGATGATATTTCACAACAAATTGGAAGCGAGATATATTTTGATTTAGTTGATTTTGACAAAGTTAGAGGCTTCCATGCATGGAGATTTATGCCGCTCAACATCTTTAAGGTACATAAACCTTGAAATAATACACATCTTTTGTTTAATTCAAGTGTTTAGTGCTATGATGCTTTAAATATATTAACAATCACCTTATTTAAAACTCGTTGCTTGCATTCATATATGGTAATTTTTGTAGTAGCCAATACTAAATATATAGTACTAATTAATATATGGTTTTTAGGAGAGGTTGAGGAGAGAAATGAAAGGGGTGAAAGACTTTGCTGACACTGATGCCCATAATGCCCATACCGTTGTGAAGGTAATTTACTGCTGGGTATATTATTTCATATTTTCCTTTTATTGATTTTAAGTTACATACTTTTATATAAGAGAATGGTGTCCTATCTTTAGGTGGCAACTGATGATGATATTTCACAACAAATTGAAAGCGAGATATATTTCGATTTAGTTGATTTTGACAAAGTTAGAGGCTTCCATGTATGGAGATTTATGCCGCTCAACATCTTCAAGGTACATAAACTTTGAAATAATACACAATCTTTGTTTAATTCAATTGTTTAATGCTATGATGATTTAAATATATTAACAATCGCCTTATTTAAAAGTCAATTATAAAAATTCATCTTGAAATTAATACTGGAGGAAATAATAGAAGTAATTTGATTTCAAAATGGGCGAGAACAAGTTGAAATCTTTATATGGGAATATTTATATTTTGGGTGCTGGAAAATGATATTTATATTTATCATATATAAATTCAGATATTTGAATGGTTCGTAATATTTTGCACTTAAATTTCCTTAGATGATGTAAAGTTGAAGATGTTTTCTTGATGTGGTGTGTACATCCGTGTAAACAATTTTATAAATGACCATAATATGCATTAATATCGCTTGGTAAGATACTAATTTATTTCTATTAACATGTTAGCATAATGCGGTGGTGTTATGTTTACAGGAAGTTGTGGCAAAAGTCTTTGGTCTTCCACCCAAATATATGCATTATTGGGTATGCGCTGAGTGCAAAAATGTTTCTTGTCACCCTCTCCGAGCATTGGCATTTCATGATTCATCAGAAAGTGTAAATATTTGTCACTCTTTTATGTCTTATTGGAGACTCCAGCTTATTTTTATAATGATGTTTCATAATATAAATATGGCCATTTCTTCTATTTTTCCTATAGTAACCATGCTTAACATTGTTTGATTGTAGGTAGGGGATTTAAAAGATTTATATGGCATACATGACCCCTCGAAATTCTTCTTATATGCGGAGCTTGGATTGGTAACGTTTAATTGCAAATACAAACAATTGTGTTGCCATTCTTTTTCATCATGTGATTAATTGAGTTTCTATATGTTGATTTAGGATTCGTGTTTTATGCCTCTCCCTTATATAACAAGCGATGACATTTTACTATTCTTCAAAGTTTATGATTCCGAAACTGAAAAGCTAAGGTATTCTTTTGTTATATATATATATATATATATTTGGTTTGGAAATAATTCAAGAGATATCAAGTAGTTTAACTTATATTTTGTTTGCATTTCTTAGTAGATATGCCGGAAGACTTGTTGGCTTTGATGCCCATGGAGTATCGAACTTTACAAGGTTTGTTAACTCCCTTGTTTTATGGCACCTTCAATGTTGGATTACCTTAGTAACATTCAATGTTAGCAACGAGCATGTTAGAAGGGCTTATTTGAAATGAAATTTGTTAGAATTAACATTCAGTTTGTTTTGATTCCACATAGGCTGGAAGGCTTTCCTAGGTGTGTGTATATTGGTGAAATTAAATAACCTCGAAGACTTTCCTCCAGATATTAACTTGAAACAATTTTCAGGTTAGTCTGTGGCAAGATGAACTCTGATAGCTCCACATTAATTTTTTATGTTGATTAAGTTATTGCACATTTCATAGGTTGTTGAGCTTTCATTTATTTCTTTATTCTATCTAGCAACGATTGGCGCATATGCATTTATAGATTGAAGAAGTTTTAAGTGTGGGGCTGCTATGACAAAAATTTCACATAACTTGTTTAAAATCAATTTACAACTGTTTTCTCCTTTCATGATGCAGCCATTTTACAGATATCAAATTCAGACTTGATACTTCTGTAATCTATAGCCAATGTTCTCACTTTACTATTTGGTATGTCAGGAGATAAGATCTGAGACCAGCGTCGTGCGTGAGCCAGTCGGCATGATACTTTTATTTAGATTTTGCCAGGTATACAACATTCACAAGAACATTATTGTATGAGTACTCTATAGTCATATTGCATTTTGATGATTCATTCTGCATTTTGAAATCTCAGGAGGAATGTGGATATTATTGGCTTTCAAAAGCCACTTAAAGTGCGCACTAGGTTTTGACTTCATTGTTCGGATGCTCCCACATTTTTTCAATATCAGCATATTATCCAAGTATGTTTTCTTATCAGTTGATGTTTATCACGTATCGGTCCATATCCGTTGGTCGAAAAAAGACACTAAACAAAATAAACTATAAAAACAAGGAAAGACTTCTATCTGTTTTATGGTAATGAATACTACTTATTCCAAATGCCTGTAGCTTTTTTGCGAAACTGCAAGCTTTTACACTTTGGAGTTCTTTCTGACTGATACATGTTGCATCATACTCTGAAGAGTTTGGTTTTGTTTTTGAAAATTTTGGGATGCTGAGGGTGTGTTTGGTTATGATTTCAAACCCATTTCAACACTATTCAGCTGGATTGTTTCTAATAAAAATATATATATTTTTTTTTCATAAAATATCACATCAAATAATATTTAAATAAAACTCAAATAAAAAAAGTAAAATTCCCTGCAGTTTGTGCTTATTACATGTCATAAATCAAGTGGTCCTTTAAAGTGTATGCACACCTGAAAAATAATGTGTCGCACGTATGCTCGTTTTTTTTTTTTCCACACTATCACAAGCATTGAACTAACTTTTGTTTCATTCATTATATATTTTTTGTGCAGAAATACTCTTCATACATCACAACTCTTTGTAGTTCTGCGATCAATGTGGCTATGAACTAGAGCTTTAGTTTTTATACTTACCCATTGGAGAAGCCCATGAAGAGATTCAATAGGGATGCGTGGATGGATGAATGAATGGTGATCATATATGCTCTTGCTCGTACGAACGTCGACACAACTGTGAGTTGCGTTCTTATTATATGGTGAGGTTTAAAAAATGTGGTAACATTCAACAAACAAGGGTGTTCCCTTGTGCGTGCTGTAATGTAGCTTTTGGCAGCACATAATATCCCCAATCCCTGTAGTTTAGTAATATAAAGGCATACGGAATCAAGAAATGTCGGAGTTATGTAACCTTTATAGGTGGCTAGATCTAAATAAAAGTCTCGAGTCAGCTGGAACACACATGATTCTAGACTCAGATCTTATTTCCCTTTGTCAATTTGTTTGATGAAAAAGTTGTGGTTAGTCTTATGAAGTTGTTTAGTTTGGAAAACTTATAAAATGAAGGCCGATGGCCGAAAGTTATTGAGAATATACATTGTGCATGTGCATGCTTAACTTATACTCATATTTATTTGTACACAAAAAACTTTCTTTAACTCAGGTTTAATTTGATTGCTTAATGATATTAGTGAAATATTTAAATTATAGATCTTAATAATATATTCACCTAATATGCATTGTATGTATAGTAACTTCTAGAACATGAAGTAACTCTTGTGGGTATCAATGTGTAAACAGAATAGAATTGAATATGTTAAAAATGAAATTATTGTAATGCAAATTATGAATGTGAATAAAATTTTATTGCTAGCTTTTGCTATATTGAAAATTTTGAACTACATTTAATGCGTATGGAGGACTTATTGGCTATCTATCATCTTCTCGACCATGCAAGCCCACATTGGAAACTTAATTTAAACACCTACAAGCTCCGTCACTATATCTTTAGATTTCTTGACATCACCTTCCACCATATCTCTAGTGTGAGGAAAGACCTATTGTTGGTGTGTTCAAGGAAGGATGTTGCCCTTCTTATAGGGTAGCTACACTATGAAGAGGAGAAGAGACTAGGGATGGACACGGTTCGAATATTTGTAAATATACATGTATTTGGTATCCGAACCAAACCGAACTGCGAACCGTATTCGAACCAAAATTTTCGGTTAATAAAAAATATTTGCAGTATTTGCAAATAATTGGACTGAACCGAATTGAAAAAGAAATATATTAAAAAATAATTAAAATTTCAATTACCTAAAAATATTTGCAAATATTCAAAACCTAATCGAACATATATCAAAAGATTTCACAGTAGCTAAGCAACTCTCGCAAAACAGAATATCAAAAGAAGCACAAAGAAACAACATCATTACCACTAATTAACAAAAATCGAACCTAATAATAAAAGAAGAATTAAAAAATGAGGAATTTTAACGAAGAATGAAAAAAATAATATGTTGAATACCAAGAATGAAGCCGAAGATGATAATGGCGGTAGAAGGAGATTAAAAGTTACAACCCCGCGGCGGTTATGTCGGGGTCGGCGTGCGGCGGTAAGCGGCAATGTGTTCGTCTCGTAAATTTGATCGCGATGTGCGGTGGGGCTATAGGGTGCGAGTGTGTGTGTCGACTCTGTGTTGTAATTTAGGGTTGGTATTTGATTTTAATTTTTAATTTAGGTAATGAATTAACGGATTGTAATTGGGTAGCCCATTTGGTGAGAATATTTATTTATTCAGCCCATTAAAAGGCAAAAGCCCAATAAAAAATAATTAAAATGTATATAATTTAAAAACATAAAAGAAAAATTCGATTCGATTCTGTTCGATACGGCGATTCAGCAGTTCGATTCAAGTTTTTTGCCCACCCCAGAAGAGGCCATATAGTCTTCATTGATAGTGTTAATGCTCAAGACAAAATGACTTCCATCATTACTACAAAGGTTTGAATTCAAATGCATGCATAATGAGCTTGTCTTGTAGGCTTAAGAAAAGAGGTTTGGGATTCATTCACGGGCCATTGGAACAAAAAAAAACCTTGGGCCTCTAGGCCTATCAAGAATCAAGCCCTCGACCCATAACTAAGCCCAAGTCCAAGTTTAAGCCAAGTCCAATCCAGATCAAATCCAGTCCATTTGAGTGGGCGGGATTTGTGTAGCTTTCTTAGCACACACTTGTGCTCATTTATACAATACAATTGTATATAAACACGTCTAAACTTTGATATGGTAGCAATGTGATATATATTTGCTTTCAATATTTTTTTATTAATCAACTTGTCTCTTTTTTGTTAATTCAATACACAATGTTTTTTAAGAATTAAGAATGTCATGTATTGGTAAAATTCCATTCTTAGATTCTCATTTCAATTACCTCAACTCATTTCAAAGCCATTTAAGCCATCACCAAATTTGTGTTTTCATGTTCAAGAAACTCAAATTGAAAGTAACAACGGTTTTGCGTTAATCGAGTCAGAGTAGACTATAATTACAAAAGCAAAACAGAAAAAGTTTTCAATTTTCTTTTTTGAAAGTAGAAATAGAATTTATCCATAGGTAATAACAATAGAGTTCTAGGAGTTACAATAAAACAAATAGATAAACTTTTCCCCTATAACCATTTCTTTCAAAAATATGCATATCCCAATTTACACTTCATGTAATGTGTTGGGAAACAATGAAAAGTAACTTATCATTGAGGAATTATGCTTTTTCAGAGATAAATTCAACATCTATAGATGTTTACAATTGAGTATCGAATACAATGAAAGGTAATTTTTTAAGTCACATTCAACAATTTTTTTTGGAAGAGGAGCATGTTGTCTCTAAAGAATAGCTTCAAGAATGAGTACAACAACAATGATTTTTGCTATAGTTGATCAAAATCAATGTGATTGAATATAATGAATAGAAAACGCCCATAGTGGTCCCTAATAATTACTCCAACTTATGCTAGACTTGGTTTACCGAAAGTTGAGCCGTCTGTGTTGACCATAAAGCAATAAAATTCCGGAGATTTCCAAAAAATCTACCATTTATTATTTTAGATTTAAGTTACACAAGATAAATCTCTTGAATATTGTTTACCAAGAAAGACATGGGTAGATCCACATTTGAGAAATATTTCGCAAACCATTCACCATCTATGTGACGTAGAATGACCAAGTCTGATGATAAAGCCTCATTCAAAAACACTGGGAGACTTCTAAGTTTGACTAGGAACCGTTTTTCGCAATCTCTGCCACTCGCACTTTGGGAAATGTACCTCATTGTCTGTCATATTTGTTCTCATTGTCCTACTCATCAATTTTCCTTTCAATCTCCCCGTTATTCTATCAACAACATAGGTTGTTTCCGACCTTCAAAGTTTGTTAAAAAGAAATAAAATTAATGTTGGCGTATAATGAGGTAAAAAGAATGAAAAAGAATTCAAGCAACAATATAACAATTTTACCTTCTTCGATGAGAATAAAATGTTGTTCTCTCTTTCCGGAGGCAAGTCGCCCACTCCATAGAAATGCTCAAACTCAAACTTGAGATTGAATAGATATAAATGATAATCTTCTCATTGTGTTGCTCAGATAAAAACATTCATCCTTCCATTTTTCATGACCTCATTTTTCCCCATTATCGTACTGAAGATTGTATGACATGTAGTATAGCTTTAGTTAATTCAGAAAAATATTTCACACTTACTATGACTATGATACGAATAATTATACAAAGCATTTATAACATGCTTCTTAAATAACAATTGCAATGACCATTATCCTAGCTGTAATTTCTTAAATTCTAACTTCCAACATAAATAAAAATTCTAGAGAACTATAACAATAAATAGCATAACCACAAAACATAACTATTATTAGTTTTCATGGGAACTAGAAATACAAAAGTTTAAAATCTACATAAACCCTTAATAAAACAGAAAACATCCACTAAAGAAATAATTCAAAGGTAATAACACCATTACTCTATAGACAAGGATAATAATATCCTTCTATATAGATAGTATTGGTCTTGTAGACTGTAGGGTTTGATCTAATTATTCAGATATCAGTTGATCATTAATCAAGTATGTGAATGATATAGTCAAGTCAGTGTTCAAAGTCTTATGGACAAGTCATTATTCTTTTTCTCTCTCTTTGTTTTTTTCCCAAATTGTTTATTCTACACGACAACCGTTGCCACCACCACCTATTTTATTCTTTCCATTCTATGTTATCTACATATATCTATATGTACCTAATTCTTCACCAAACCCTTAGGTCCACAAGTCTGTTGGGTCTTTGTTAAGTCATGGTAAAATAGGTTATTGGTTATTTAAAAGTATTTGGGTCATATGAGGTCTGATCAAACCTAGCCTATCTCATCCTTGTTTATGTACGACCAACTAGGAATCAATAGCTATTTTTTCATGAAGTTATAAAGAGAAATTCTAATGAGGAAGTTTTGTAACTATGAATACCATAGGAATTGTGCGTCTCACTACTAAGTTTCATGCTTATACGTGTACTTTTTCTTAAGGTTAAGGAAAATAGAATACTAAACTTCCTATTACTAAGAGATGTTTCATACATCACATCTCACAATTTATATAAAAATCTTACATAAGAGAATTAAAGTCGAGGAAAATATTAAAATAAGATCTAGGAAAAAAGACAACAAAGATATGGTAGTTTCTACATTAATAAGAACATTGTCATACATAAGTTGAAATGTGCTATCATATCCATATTATCAATGAAATTTGTTCAAATGATAATTGATTTATAAGAATCAAAATAATGATGAGGCACCCACAACCAACATCTAATAGAATTCCTTATAAGTAGATGAAAAATAAGAACTAATCCAAAGATGATCAAGAAGGTGGAAATTCCAAGAACATAAAGGGAGGAGGGTAAAAAGAAGTTCTTAGTAGAAGAAAGTAAACTTTGAGGGAACTTGTGGGTATTTTAAATTTACCTAAAATGACAAAAACAACACTACCATTAATTGGGATAATTTAACAATTCAATTGCAAATATATATACCTTATTAATAGACAAGAGTATTGGTCGGAGAAAAACAAGTCATTATACATGTAAAATATGACTAAAATTAGGGAAACTTACTTGGATAATATGTTGATATTTTAAAAATGTAGGAATATCCGGCAAGGATAGCAATTCCATGATTTCAGGAGAAATGGACTTCTGGAAGCACACAATATCTCCATTTCCAATCTGTAATATCAAGCAAAAAAGTAATTATTAGGAAAAAAGTACCTATAATAAATTAATAGTATATTTGACATTGTTATTATAACATACCTCGCCAGACATAAATGACAAATCCTTGTCGATGGGCTCGCACATAAGGTGAGGCTCCTGACTTATTTCCTAAATTGGGAAAATGCTTAAGATAAGGTTCAAAAAATTATTGCTATTTATAAATGAATGCATAGACTACTTAGTTAACAATGCAATTAATCTCATATAAAAATCAAAGCAACCATCAACACAAAAAAAGAGACGGGCAATACATGTTTTCTGCTTGCATTGCATTTAGCCGAAGTGTATCCAATATAGAGAGTACCATAAACATGGGAAGACAAACCTCATAAAGTTCAATACTTTGGTGTGCATCAAGGCCAGCAAGTTCATTTAATTTGGTCAAGATATGCGTCGGCTTAGTGAAGTGGTTTACAAAAAGTCTTCCCGCATATCTACCAAGAGATGCAAATAAAATATTAGTTAACTAATTTAAATTTGGTAAAGTTATTCCCAAACCAAGAAAAGAAATATAACAAAAGATTACCTTAGCTTTTCATACTCGGGATCATAAATTTTGAAGAACAACAGAATATCATCGGTTGTAATAGATGGCGGAGGCACAAGGCATGAATCCTAAATAAGAATATAGAAGTCAAATTAATCATGTGATGAAAAAGAAAGACCAGTTGTTTGTATTTGCAATGAATCATTACCGGTCCAATCTCCAACTCTAAGAATAACTTTAAGGGACCATGAATACCATATAAATCATGTAAATCCCCTACCTACAATGATATTGTAAAGTTAAGCACGGCTAATATAGGAAAATAGAGGAAATCGCCATAGTTATATTTTGAAACATCATTATAAAAATAATGTGGAAGTAGTTTGCTATAAGACATAAAAAAGTGATAGATATTTACACTTTGCGATGAGTCATGAGATGTCAATGCTCGGAGAGGGCGACAAGAACCATTATTGCGCTCAGCACATATCCAATAACGGAGGTATTGGGATGGAAAACCAAAGTCTTTTGCCACGACATCCTGTAAACATAATACCACCGCATTATGTTAACATGTTAATAGAAATAACTTAGTATCTTATCTACAATGTGTACTATGGTAGTTTATAGGGTTGTTTACACCAAAGTACACTCCACATAAATATATATATATATGTCTTCCGCTTTATATCCTTTAAGGAAATTTAAGTGCTAAATATTATTAACCATTCAAATATCTGAATTTCCATATGATAACTATAGATATCATTTTTTAGCACCCAAAATATAAATATTCTCATATTAAAATTTCAACGTGTTCTCACCTATTTTAAAATCAAATTACTTGTATTATATCCCCCACTATTAATTTCAAGATGAATTTTTATAATTTACTTTTAAATAAGGTGATTGCTAATATATTTAAAGCATTGTAGCACTAAACACTTAAATTAAACAAAGGATGTGTATTATTTCAACATTTATATACCTTGAAGATGTTGAGTGGCATAAATCTCCATACATGGAAGCCTCTAACATTGTCAAAATTGACTAAATCAAAATATGTCTCGCTTCCAATTTGGTTTGAAATATCTTCATCAGTTGCCACCTGAAGATAGGACACCATTCTCTTATATAAAAACATGTAACTTAAAATCAATAAGAGGAAAATATGAAAGAATTATCCAGCATAGAAATTACCTTTACAACAGTGTGGGCATCAGTCTCAGCAATTTCTTTCATCCCTTTAATTTCTCTCCTCAACCTCTCCTAAAAATACATATATTAATTAGTACAATATATTTACTATTGGCTACTACAAAAATTGTGATATATGAATGCAAGTAACGAGATTAGATTAGTTCAAACCCTAAGAGGCATGGCAATATCATTCTCATCAGCGGCACAGAGTATATTTTCCTTGTCACTCTCGCGTATATACACTAGCATATACGCATTTGAGTTCTTCATACTCATTCCAAAATATGAGGGCATGACATCCTGCGGAGACAAAGGAAAAAAACGATACTATCCTAGTATTCATGACGAGAAGATGACATAATGCTAAAAAAACCTACTTGTTCACCGCCGTAAAGCCCTTCTATGGTTGTGTCAACATCTTGTCTAGACACTTTCTCATCATCAAATTTATACCTAAAATAGTTCATGATAAATTGATGTGAGAACATTCCAACAAAAGAAGTTAATACACTAAATTTATGATAAAAATTTATCCTAGTATGCTCGTTACATTACCAGGACTTGATAAAATATTACAAAAAATAAGATGCATTATAATGTAAAAGCTCCAAAGTTAAAATTCATACCAGTGATTGCTGGATAGGTCTGGTCTTATATAAACGTAATAGTGCCCCCCATCAATGCCACCAGAATGGACCAAAACACTGTAAATAGAAAATTTTCATAATATTGTTTGAGCACAATTGAATTTCCTTAATAATTTTAGTGTAATTATAACTTCATTAGTTTGCAAATATAAAATAATATAAAGATGAATACCTTTGAAGAGTATAAAGGTTGCGTTTCGTTTTATCAGCCTCGGGTGACAAATACTTCCCATTATCTTTGTCCAAATCCAGTTGAATGGGAAACTCATAGCGGTCATTTATCTAGGCAGATCAACACAAGGAGTTGAAATAGGAATAAGACAAGAAAGGCTTAATGGGACACCAAAATAAACTTTAGAAGTAAAACAACATAGTCATAAATTCATCCACATGTAAAGATTAAACAACCAATACTTTCACTATGATTCATTTTGGTTGTAATTAGAATTGTAATTAATGGATTCTTGGTGCTATCCTTATTTATTACAAAGTTCACAATCCATATAAGATCAAACAGTTTTTACTGTAAGGATTGCAATCCTAACGATATGTAACCTCAATAACTTCATGCCATAACAATGAATTTGACTCTCTACAAAATAAAATTGTCATTCTTAATTTCTAAGTGTCGTGTCTATGGAAGTGTATGCATTCTCGTTGTTTTATACTTTGGATGAACAATTAATGGGTTACCTTGACAAAAATCCCTTGTTCAATGTCATACTCAAATCTCTTCAAGTGCAATTGAAGCACAGGCGGGAAGTCCATAAATAAGATTCCTTTCCGAGCATCCTAAAGTATGAAGATCATCAAACCAATATTGTCGTTTAAGAAAATTATGAAATATATTAAATATAAGAAAAGCGTTTAGCATGCCACAAAAATTACAAAAAGAACATCAAAATTCATAAGATTTTACTATAAAATGATCCAAATTAATAAATTAGAACTTAATACGTGTTAATGAATATATGAGCACTTAATTGAATTGAAGTACTCACCTGCAAACCAAAGTGACCAGCATGATATTTGTTGTCGTTGTCTAGATGTTCAACTTCAATAAACTTATCAAGTGAAGCATAAACATCACGACAACCCTTCACATCAAGTTGGAGATCTGCCACATAGGTGTTTTATATTCAGAAAAAAATGATTGATCGGGAGGATCTATATGCTCCGGGGTGGTGAGATATATATTGCCAAAGAATGTAATATCTTATCCAATTAATAAAAAGTACCATAAAATGACTCCGTTCTACTTGATGTATAGTCAACATTGATGCATTCAATGTAGTACTTATGGTGTCCTTCAAATAATTGTCTTAAAGCACCATCCATCGCCGTTCCCTATACCAGTAATAAATGTATTAATAGAATGTTTATAAACATATTCAAAGACTTTTTGTCCAATACATATTATAATTTTCTATTTTCTACGCACCTTCATAGATTCTTCAAGTGCTTCACATAGCAGACGATTCATTTCTTGCACATCATGTTGTACAAAAGCATCGGATTGATCCCAACCAAAGGATCTTGTCAGCTCATTTGTTGCAACGCTACTCTCACTATGTTGAAGATTATAAAATAATCTCTGGAGAGCTAGGGGAATATTTTCCTTTGGCTCATCGTTATGATTGGTAGGCATTTGATATACCACCTAACAAAAATCAAAACTATCAGTCTCATTTCTTAAATTTGAAATACATAAAGTGAGATGCATATATGATATATATATAATTCACCTTTCGAAAATATGAAATATAATACAATGTTTGCAAGAGGGAGTTCAAATAGCATGTTGCTCCTTGGTTCTTTAATCCCACAAACTCAATTTCCTTCTTTTGAGAGTTTGGCCAAGGTTTTGTCACTCCGTAGCTTATTATCTCCACCTCAATAGAGCATGCATCACCAATTGTGTATCCAAAGTATGCACCGCGAAATACTTCAAGCGGCATAAAACATGAAAACCCATGGTGATTGTCTTTGGCATTAAAGTGATGGCATGATGCTGCAATGTCAAAAATTTTATCTATGAAATAATAATAATAATAATAATAATAATAATAATAATAATAATAATAATAATAATAATATTGTTGACTTTTGGATAAAGGATGTTTGCTCATGGTTTCATGCATACTAAACTTTCTTTAGTAAGATGATTGAATATCAAAAGATAAAATGAGTTGTGATACCTTTTTGGAAATTCAAATTTGTTGTGAATTGATTAATAATAGTTAATTTGTATTCCACGTAGATGGTCCAACCAAATGGTAAAGAAGCAGCATTGGCAACTTTTATATACAATGATACATCATTATCACCTTGCCCCATTCGTTGAAGAAAGATCCGCCTAGCAAGCAAATAAAGAGTAAATTATTAAAATTTCCCATTTACTATTATGATGGAAACCATAAAGCAACACATAAATTTATCAAATAGAGAGCTTACCATTTAGAATCACCTAGTACGTACACACGAGAGTGCACCACTTTAGAGCTCAATCTAGAGACATTTTCATGCCTCCAAATAAACTTGCCGTACATAGGATATGTTGCAATTTCTTCTTCAAAAACTTCTAGTGAAAATGGCAAAAACAAAAACAAAATGAGAAATGAAGAAAAATTTCAAGAAATGCACATTATAATGTTTAAATATCTACATTAATAGTTTTACAAGCATATGAATTCTACGGCAAAGCCTGGTCGATTTTAGTTATTCTTACAAAAAATAAACTATGTTACTTGTTGTCATATTTTTCATCAAAACCCGAAAATAAAGTAATCTAATGCTAATTCAGATACCTAACCCGAAAGGGTTATTTGCAAATTTTAAAAAATAAATCCCTGAAAATAGAGATACGTCAATTCAAGGTCCTAAATGACCTCGAATAGCAAAAATGTCGGACATCATTGCACCAAGCACTTCGGTTTGTTTTGTTGTTTCAGATTAGTCATACAAATTTCTTCCGATTCCAAATCAAGACACGAAAAGACGAAAAAATCGGCAAATTAAATTTCCTTTGTACTAATCAATCCAACACCCACACCCCCACCCCGCTCCCACCCGTTCACACCATTCATTTTACCTTCCACGGGTTGAGGTGTTTCGCCGGATCGACATGAAGTGCTCCCCATTTCCTTTTCTTGCTATCATATATATATACATACACATATTACAGATCAGAAAAGTCGCAAAAATTGACACACAAGTAAATACGCATCTACACATGAAACTTACATTCCTCAGGTTGATGATAGGCACAGTGTTGCGGTTGCCGGAATCCATTGCAGTCTGAAATCGGAACGCGAATGCAAATAGAGCTCTTTAAGAATGCAATCTGACGGAGCGAGATTTACAAGAATACTCGACGACTAGGATTTTAAAGCACGGGGGATGGGTTTACGAAACTGACACTTAAATGCGTGACGACGACTGTGCTAAAGAACAATCCTAGCTGGATTCGACATATGCGTTACTAACTTTTGCCGTATATTTATGTAATTATATTACGTGTCTATAAAAAAAATAAAAATACAATATTTTCTCTCATAAAATACCACGTTAAATTCACAACATATTGTTTAAACAAAAATTTAAAATCAAAACCCGAAAAATTCACTAAAGGTGTGTTCGATTGGGTGAAATCCCCCAAATTCTATTGTTCATCAATTTTTTTTCTCTTCGAAAATATCAAATAAGCACCCATTTTTATTTTTTATATTATACTAAAAATTAATTTTACATTCAAAATATTACGTCAACACGTATTTATATCATATCATACAACTATTATAATTCAAATTTTTTGCTATTCAAATCTCAACTCAAAATTTAAACCCCTAAACGAACACACCCTAAGTAAACAAATTATATCATATCTTCTTTTTCTTTTCTTTTTTATTGGCTAATTTATATTAGTATTATTTGTAATATTTTAGAATGGTATGAATATTGCCTCTGTTATTTTGAGGATATATCAAATTATTTTATTTATATTATTGTAATAAATTGATATTTTATAAAAGAAATAATAAAATTAATTTAGAATTTCTTAAATATAAGTGATGGTTTGTTTGGTTTTGATTTGAAATTTATTCTTTTTATTTGAGTTTTAATTAAAATAGTATTTTTATGTAATATTTCATAAAATAAAATTATATATTTTTATTGAAAACTTTTATAATTGAACAGTAGAGTTTATGGTTTAAAATAAAAAATAAAAAATAAAACAAAGGCATACTTACCTTTTAATTTACAATTATTAATTAATATATTAAATATTTTTTTATAATTAAAATTTATAATGTAGTTACCATTAAAAATATTTTTTTAATGGTATAAAAATTATGTGGTCATTGGAATCATCTAATTCTGTACACATGAAATAAAAATTAATTGTTTGAATATGAAACTAATCGGTCAGAAAAAGAAAAGTAATAAATATATTTTTTCAAATATTTATGTGTGTGTTTACACGTGATTTGGGCTTTGGTTATGGTTTTAAATTTGAATAATAAGATTTTAAATTGAAATAGTTATTTGATATATTATAAATATATATTAATGTAATATTTTGAATATAAATTAAATTTTAAAGTAATATGATAATTAAAAAATAAATATTTGATTTAATTTTTGAAAATTTTTCAGTATACTCTATCGGTTTATTCTCCCAACATCAATTTTCAATTGGAATTTTTCAAAAATAAAAAAAAAATACAAAATATTTTATACAAATGTCAAAAAGTCAAAAAAAGAAATGTTAAAACGTTTTATAAAACGTAGAAAATCATTGTAATAAGCCAAAAAGTCAAATATTTAAACTAAAATAATATAATTTAGATAATTTTTTATATAATTTTTCATTATCACACACAAAAAATTATTTCATCTCAGAGAACCAAACTAATATTTATATTTTTTTCTTATAAAAATTAATAATTTAACACAAAATATTATTTTTATATTAACACTGATTCATTGTATCTAAAAAAAATTCAAACAAACTCAATAATTTTATAATTGCATATTAAAAAGGTAACTACATTTAATTAGTCAAACTTAGAAATTAGTTTTTAGAAATTCAAATTAATTTTGTTACTCCCTATATATAAAGTATAAATTTATTACAATAACATAAATGAAAATTACAATGAATCTTATATAGTAATGGAGTCAATATTATTTCTTCTATTCACCTTTCCATTTTTTCATTTATTTTGTCATTTTTTTTAAAAAAAAATATTATAGACTTTAATATAATTTTAAATTTATAATTTTTTAATTTTAATTATATTAATTAATTATCTTAATTTTAATTTAAAATTATTTTTATTAAATAATTATTATTCTCACTGATATATTTTTAATTATAAATTTTGTGTGTATAATAAATGCGTCAATATTAAGGATTATATAAAAGGATTACATAAACCCACTAAAATAATTGTTAAGTAAACGAAACTTGTAACTATAAAGCAATATAGGGCCATATTTGTAATTAGATGTAGAAATTTAAAAAAAAAAAAAAAAAGGGTAAAATAACGCAATCCCCCGTGGCTATAAATTTGAGAAAATGATGATGCGATGCACTCTCTAAACCCAATCACAGATCTAATTCTCGTAAGTATCGCTTGCTCTGTTTTCTGTTTCTGAGGATGTATTGGTATTCCGATTTCAGACCGCAATGGATTCCGTCAATCCGAGGAATGTAAGTTCGATTTACATTTTTAAGAGTTGTCTGTTTTGGTGTGTGTTTTCTGATCGATGTTTTTGTCGGCAGCAAGAAAAGGCAAAGGAAAAGGAAAAGGAAAAAGGGAAGGAGAGCAGTTGGGGATCGATCGGAAAAACGCCTTAGGCCATGGGTAAAATGAATACGTGAATCAATGAATGATTTGGTTTGGGGGAAAATCAAAATTACGTTTTGAGAGTGGGTAGAGCCTTTGGGTGGGGGCGGGGTGGGGTGGTGGAGTAGAGATAATTATAATATAATGGAAATTCAAATCTTGAATATTCAATAATAATAAAAAAATATATATATGATATTAATTTTTAAAATTATTAATTTAAGCTTATTTGGGTTAAGCAAGTTTGGGTATCAAATCCATAACTAGCTTGACCTATCAGGGTTTAAAATTTTAAAATATTGGATGTGAACTAATTGGGCCGTGACGGTTCCGGGTAACATTTTTTGGATGCGAACTTGTCCTATAACACTTGGGCCAACACTTGGGCCGGGACGGGTCCTGAACAGAAATTGCCCCCGATTGCATCCCAAATGGGTCTTGGGCTAGGAGGAAAATGAATAATTTGAAAGGGTAGGCGGTATTGTGGGGGAGTGTGTCGGGCCTCCAACAATTTTTCTTTTTTTTTTTTTTTTAAGTTCCGATGGTTCATAATATAAATTGGCTATTTTATCTGTTTTTCTTACGATAGTTATGCTTTAACTTTTTATATGATTGTAGGTTGGGGCTTTAAAAGATTTACATGGCATACATGGCCCCTTAAAATTATTCTTAAAAGTGGAATTTGGACAGGTAATAATTCATTTTAAATACAAAAAATGTGTCACCAAGACCATTCATTTTCATCACATGAATAATGAGTTTCTATTATATTATCTAGGATTCGTGCCTTGTGTCTCCCCCTTGTATAACAACAGATGATATTTTATTGTTCTTCAAAGTTTATGATCCTGCGAATGAAAAAATAAGGTATCATTTTGTTATATTTCTTTTCTTAGTTTGGAAATAAGTCCACTAATTTCAAAGTAGTTTAACTAATGATTTCTATCCATCTTTTGGCAGATATGTTCATCAAAGTATTGATTTTTACGAGGTTTATTCTAGTGTGTACGTACTAGGTGATTCTAAATGGTAATCTCTCCATTTGATGAATTTATGTGTCGCATTATGGTTTCCATCATAATATTAAATGGGAAATTTTAATAATTTACTCTTTGTTTGCTTGCTAGGCGGATCTTTCTTCGACGAATGGGGCAAGGCGATAATGATGTATCATTATATATAAAAGTTGTCAATGCTGCTTCTTTACCATTTGGTTGGAGCATTTACGTGGAATACAAATTGACTATTATTAATCAATTCACAACAACTTTGAATTTCCAAAAAGGTACCACAACTCATTTTATCTTTTGATATTCAATCACCTTACTAAAGAAAGTGTAGCATGCATCAAACGATGAGCAAGCGTCCTTTATTATTATTATTATTATTATTATTATTATTATTATTATTTCATGGATGAAATGATGAGCAAACATCCTTTTATTATTATTATTATTATTATTATTATGGATGAAACTTTTGACATTGCAGTATCATGCCATCACATTAATGCCAAAGACAATCACCATGGGTTTTCATGTTTTATGCCGTTTGAAGTATTTTGCGGTGCATACTTTGGATATACAATTGGTGATGCATGCTCTATCGAAGTGGAGATAATAAGCTACGGAGTGACAAAACGTTGGCCAAACTCTCAAAAGAAGGAAATTGAGTTTGTGGGATTAAAGAACCAAGGAGCAACATGCTATTTGAACTCCCTCTTGCAAACATTGTATTATATTTCATATTTTCGAAAGGTGAATTATTACTTCCAAAGGACAAATGCATACATATATATATCATATATGCATCTCACTTTATGTATTTCAAATTTAAGAAATGAGACTGATAGTTTTGATTTTTGTTAGGTGGTATATCAAATGCCTACCAATCATAACGATGAGCCAAAGGAAAATATTCCCCTAGCTCTCCAGAGATTATTTTATAATCTTCAACATAGTGAGAGTAGCGTTGCAACAAATGAGCTGACAAGATCCTTTGGTTGGGATCAATGTGATGCTTTTGTACAACATGACGTGCAAGAAATGAGTCGTCTGCTATGTGAAGCACTTGAAGAATCTATGACGGTGCGTAGAAAATAGAAAAATTATAATATGAATTGGACAAAAATCGCTTTGAGACAATTATTTGAAGGACACCTTAAGTACTACAATCTATGCATCAATGTCTACTATACATCAAGTAGAATGGAGTCATTTTATGGAATTTTTTATTTATTGGATAAGATATTACATTCTTTGGCAATATATATTTCTTTTTGATTTTATGACTTCTATGCGGCAGATCTTCAACTGGATGTGAAGGGTTGTTATGGTGTTTATGCTTCACTTGATAAGTTTATTGAGGTTGAACATATGGATAATGATAACAAATATCGTGCCGATCGCTTTGGTTTGTAGGTGGGTAGTTCAATTCAATTCATTGTTCATATATTGCGTTGACACAGTTTACCAAAGTTTTAATTAATCAACTTGGATCATGTTATAACAAATTTTTTTTTCTTGTTTTTCACCGCCCCGCCTAATGTAATAAGGCAGCATGGGGATGCCGCGGCGTGTCCAAATTAATCTAACCATTGGGCCCAATCCAATTAGCCTAGGCCCCAACCTAAGTTAAGCCCAAACTTACCTCACGACGGATGGAAGTGAGAGTTAGGGTCTAAAATTACTAAGAAAATTCACGGGGAAGCCATTTAACAAATCAAATTTCAAACTTAATACTTCTGTAATCTGTAGCTGATGATGCCCTGTATTTTGAATAAAATTTGTGTATATTATAAGTGGTACATATATTTTCACTTTACTGTTTGGTATGTCAGGAGATAAGATTTGAGACTACCGTCATGATACTTTTATTTAGATCTAGCCAGGTATACAGCATTCACAAGAACATTGCCGTATGTGTAAACTATAGACATTTCATTTTGATGATTCTTTTTGCATTAAAATCTCAGGAGGAATGGGGATATTATTAGCTTTCAAAAGCCACTTAAAGTGCGCACAAGGTTTGGCTTTCACTGTTCGAATGCTCCCGCATATTTTCAATATCGGCATATTATCCAAGTATGTTTTCTTATCGATTGATACTTATCACCTATATCTGTTGGTCGAAAAAGGACACAAAACAAAGAAAAATACATGAACAAAGAAAGATTTCTGTATGTTCTTTAAAAAAACTGTGTTTATAATACTAGGATGAGATATAAAGAATAACACATGGTAAACTACTATTTTGTTCTTTATTCCATGTTTTTTTTTCCACACTAGAACAAGCATGAACTAACATTTGTTTCATTGTATATTTTTTGTGCAGAAATACCCTATTTATACATCACAACCCTTCGTAGGTCGGCAATCAATGTGGCTATAAAACAAAGCTTTAGTTTGTATACTAACCCATTGGAGAAGCTCATGAAGATATTCAATTGGAGGATGCATGGATGAATGAATGGTGATCGTAGATGCTCTTGCTCGCATAAACGTGGACAACCCTGAGATGCATTCTTATTATACGGCAAGGTTTAAAAAAGGTGGGAGCATCCAACAAAGAAGGTTGCTCCCTTGTGCGTGCTGTAAAGTAGCTTTTGATAGCACATAATATGCCCAGTCCCTGCAGTTTAGTAATATAAAGGCATTTGGAATCAAGAAATGTTGGAGTTATGTAGCCTTTATAGGTGGCTAGATCTAAATAAAGGTCTCGGGTCAGTTGGAACAAACATGATTCTAGACTCGGATCTTATTTCCCTTAGTAAATTTGTTTGATGAAAAAGTTGTGTTTGGTCTCATGAAGTTGTTTAGTTCGAAAGTTTTATAAAATGGACTAGAGAATCAAAAGATGGAGTATGGAGACATTACGGATAAAAAGCAAAAAAATAAATTACTTACCCATTATGGTCGAGAGATGGAGAAATAATCGGAAGGCAAAGCACAAACTCACATCAACATGACTTAATCAAGGTCAGCTGATAAGATGTCAACAAGATGATAACTTAAGTGAGAAGTAAATATTAGTATGATGAAATTCAAAAACCATAACTATATTAAGGCAAAAATAAAACCTGATTTACACATTATCTGACTTCGCAATAATTCATGTCATACTGATTTGTTTAGTAGAAGACATGTAGAAAGGAAAGCAATAAACTAATGATTAATTTTGCCTCTGTGTAGGAAATACATATACAGTGCTAATGATCTGTAATTATTTCCCAAAAGTCCATATGGGTCTTTGTCACATGACTCACATCACAGTAAAATTTGGGTATTGATTATTTAAAAGTGTTTGGGTCAAATGGTGCCTATGACCAACTACGAATTAATAGTTATTATTATTAATATTTTTTGCATCAAGTTATAAAGAGAAATACTAATAAGGAAATTTTGAACTATGTATACAATAGGAGTTGCGGGCCTAAATACTAATTGTCGTCCTTATATGTGTATTTATTGTTAATTATTGTTAAGATTACGGGAAATAGATCCCAATTTATGTAAAAAGCTTACATAAGGGAAAATTAGAGTAGGAAAAAGACAACAAAGACATAATAAGAACATTTTATACGTAAAGTTGAAACATCTTATCATATCAATATCATCTATGAAAGCTGTTCAAATGGCAATCGATTTATAAGAATGAAAATAATTATGAGGAGCCAACAACCAACATCTAATAAAATTCCTTACAAGTAGATGAAAAAAAGGAAGAACTAATCCAAGGATATCAAGAAGGTATAACTTTCAAGACATGAAAGGGGGGGTTTAAAAACAAATTTCTAGTAGAAGAAAGTAAACTTTGAGGAAATTCTAAATTTACCTAGAAGCGCAAAAAAACAACACTAGTATAAATTGGAAAAAACATAACAATTCAATTGTCAAATATATAACTTATAAATAGGCAATAGTATTGATTAAAAATAAAAAGTTATTCTGTACCTAACATGTCTAAAAATTAGGGAAACTTACTTAGAGAATATATTGATATTTGAAAAATGTAGGAATATCCGGTAAGAATAGCAATTCAGTAATTTGAGGAAAAATGATTTTTGAAAGCACACAATATCTCCATTTTCAATCTGCAATCTCCAGCGAAGAAAAAATAACATTTATTTAATAATATACTTACAAGAAATTAATAATATATACGTCATTGTTAACATACCTCACTAGACCTAAATGACAATGTCTTGTCAATGGGTTCGGATATGAGGTGAGGCTCATGTCTTATCTCCTGAATTGGGAAAATGCTAGAGTTTAAGCTTCACAAAATCTTTGCTACTTAAAAATCAGATAGTAGACTACTCAATTAACAATGTAGTATTAGCTTCTAAACCAGTCAATTGCTGAAATATTAAAACAAATAAAGTAGCTTCACCACAGACGTAATCAATTGCAAATATGTTTTTAATAAAACCGATAACAAGATAAAATATTCGTAGTGAAGGCATGAGAAAAGCCCAATCAAAACTCTTATATAGCTTGTGATTGCTTGCCAACGAAAGAATTTCTGTGTTTAGCTAACCAAAATGGAGTTACTCGTTAATCAGTTACTAAGGAATCCCCTAAAGAATGTCAAATAATGGGTACATGAAAATAATTTTCCTAAATCTCATATATAAATCCACGCAATCATCAGAACATGTTTTATGCTAGCATTGAATTTAATCAAAGTGTATCCAAGAGAGAGTGTACCATAGATAAGGGATTTAGACAAACCTCAAAAAGGTCGATACTTTGATAAGCATCAAAACCTATAAAATTAATTTAATATAGCAAAGATATGCATAGGATTAGTAAAGTGGTTCACAAGAAGTCTTCCACCTATCTACACAAAGATGGAAATAAAATATTAGTTAAACTACTTTAAATCTAGTGAAGTTATTTTCAAACTAATGAAAGAAATATAACAAAAGATTTACTTAACTTTTCATCCTCGGAATCATAAACTTGAATAATACAATATCATCAATTGTAATACATAGGGGAGGCATAAGACAAGAATCCTATATCAACATAGAGAAAACCAGTTAATTATGCAATGAAAAAAAAAAACATTGGTAATACAGTTTTTTGTATTTGCAATCATTACCAGTCCAAACTCCACTTCTAAGAATAATTTTATGGGGTCATGTATACCATATAAATCTTTTAATCCCTAACCTACAATCGAGTAAAGTTAAGCATGGCTACTATTGGAAAAATGAGAGTAAATGACAATATTTATATTATGAAACATTATTATAAAAATAAGATAGAAGTAGTATGCCATGAAACATAAAAGATTGACGGATATTTAAACTTTGTGATGAGTCCAGGAATGCCAATACTAATGGACAATGTAAAAGTAAATGGAGGATTAACATCTTTCCCAATTGAGGTGATATTGGCAAAGCTTGATATCAGAAAGCCATCTTTCCAAAGACCATAATCATAGAGAAGACACTAACAAAAAAAAAAAAAAAAAATGCAGCGAAAAGTAGGTGTCAAAAGTTGTCAAGTTGGAGTTCAAGTGTATTCCCAAAACCTTAGATTTTTGTCACCTCTTATCCAACACCTCTGAGTTTTTTACTTAGAGAATTCGCTGACTTTACGGATATAGTGCGTATTACTGTTGAATCATGTTACTTGAATGTACTCGATCTTCAATTTTTCCTCTTCATGTTTTTTCTTTTCTTTCCATTCATAAAGGTTCCTTATTTATCTCACAGTTACACCATTAGCATCTTAGCTTTTTAAACCCATCTACTTGGCACCAAAGATGACAATAATATTCAAATAACAATATAATGATGTTGCCTTCTTCGAAAAGTAAGAAGGCCACCAACTTCACAACAATTGAGCTCAACCTCAATTTTAATGGATATAGAAAATAATCCACCTATTACTTTACTTGGATAAAAAGAACCATCCTACCATTGTCATGACCTTATTCATACATAAATGACTAACTTTACCATGCATGTATAAGATGATGCTTATATGACAATGTCAATGGGCATTATGCTAAAGGCAATCTCTTATTGCTTCTAACTTTCAACAATGGAATTTTAGGAAGATAAAACAATTATTGAAGGAGACAGTCCCAATGAAAAGATGTTCAAAGGCACATAGACTAAAATATTAAAACCACAAGCTGTATTTTTTCACTATCATAGTTAGACAACCTATCTCTAAAGATTTAATGTATACCCACAAATTTTGTAAATATGTCAATCATGTTAAAATATATTTGGAATATATAATATATTTATGGTATTTAACCTACTTTAAGATATTTGTATAATTCTTGATTTATTTAAACCATTTGTAAATCATTATAAATATGTACGAGTTCAAAATAGAGAATTTGAACTTCATATTCTAAGATGCTATCAGAGTCAAATTTTCTCCAGGTACATACAATGACATGTTATATCCCATATATGTTTTTACATTTTGTTGATTTATCCCTTTCTATTGCTACTTTGATCTCCATTAACAGAGCATACTTTTGATTCCAACTCTAACTTCTTTGTGAGTAAGTCTTGTTTTCAACTCTAACTTCGTTGTGAATAAGTCATTCTTCCGACTCCAACTCTGTTGAGAACCTTGTTTCCGACTCTAATTCAGTGGATGATCCCGCTACATCACTTTCAGTCACTGGCAAACTCAAGTTGGTTTGATCTACCTTAAATTTGAAAAGTGTTGTTAAAATATAAGGGAGTATATATTATATTTTATAGTATTTGTCCTAATTAGGAAGTTTAACTATTAGAAAATTTTACTTTTATATTCCAACAAATCTTTAATAATATTATCATGCATTTTATTATTTGCATATCTCAATTATATACAATCAATTGGAAAAAAATCAGCATGTAACATGCATCCGAGAAGTAAGGAAAATTACTTGGATATTATGACGATGTTTAAAAAATGTAGGAATATCTGGAAAGCATAGTTGTTCCATGATTTGAGGAGAAGAAGACTTTTGGTAGCACACAATGTCCCCATTTCCAATCTGAATTTCAAAGCAAAGAGAATTATTAACAAAAATATCTATAGTCCATTAACAATATTAAATCATATTGTCAGTACAACATACCTGGTAAGATCTAAATGACAATGTATTGTCAATAGGTTCACATATGATGTGAGGCTTATGGCCTATTTCCTATATACAAGAAAATGCCAAAGTTAAGGTTCACAACGTGTTCTCAACCTCATATGCAAGTTAAAACATAGAAGATACCATAAAACAAGACAGTTAAAACAAACCTCGTAAATTTCGATACTTTCATGAGCATCAAAATCAGCAAGTTCATTTAATTTATCCAAAATATGCATCAGCTTTCCAAGGCGGTTAACAAAAAGTCTTCCAGCATATCTACCAAGTGATACAAATAATATATTAGTTACACTACTTGAAATTACTTAAGAGTAAAAGAAATATAGCAAAACTATACCTTATTTTTTCAGTCTCGGGATCATAAACTTTGAAGAATAGTAAGATGTCATCTTTTGTTATACAAGGGAGAAACATGCAACTTGAATCCTAAATCATAAAATAAAAACTCAAGTAATTAATTGATAGAAAAGATAGGTATAGTAACACAATCATTTGTATTAGTAAAGAATCATTACCGATCCAAGTTCCACTTCTACAAATAATTTCAGCGTACCATCTTTTCCATATAAATCTGTTAGATCCTCAACCTACAATCACACACATAAATAAAAAATAAAATAAAAAATTCTTGTATAAAGATGAAAAAAATCATCATGCCAATGAATCTCAAGGGTTATTTTCTTAGGTTCAATGAACTTGTTTTGCCAACATAGACCATGGATACAATTTAACATGCACAAACTCATATAATTTTGTGAGGTCAAGATGAATATAGTACAACAAGTGCATATCAAAACAACTAAGTTCCATTAATCAAACAAAATAGTAAAGGCAAAAAACTCAATTTTAGACTAGAAGGTAGTAGAACCAAGAAAATTAAGCATGACTACTATAGGGAAAAATTGTCCGTTGTTATAATATGAAACATCATTATAAAAATGAGCTCGAAGTAATCCGTTAAACATTAAGATATAAAAAATAATAATATATATAATAATAATAAAGTGACAGATATTTACACTTTGTGACACGTCTTGGAGTGCTCGGAGAGGACGACATGAACCATTCTTGCGCTCAGCACATACCCAAAAACGCATGTATCGGGAAAGAACATCAATTTTTTTCGCCACTACTTCCTGCAAATATAAATACCACCAGATTATGGTAAAATGTTAACAAAAATAGACTTCAAATTGAATTTAGTGTCTGGGAAAAAATAATCCAGAAAAAGTATTAAGCTAGCTATAGTGTTATTTTCACCAATATACAGACCACTGCAGGATGTATATCCTCCAAATTTACATTCTCTAAGGAAATTTGGTGCAAAACATTGTGAAACATTCAATTATGTGAATTGTCATGTGAAAACAACAAACATTTATTTTTTAAAGCAAGCCAATACCATATATGTTTGACAATACCTATCATCTCACACAGTAACAATTATCAAATCAAACAAATACATTTCGTGTGCACCCATAATTTAATGTTCGGAAAGAAATTTTTTCAAGTTGTTCTCACCCAATTGTCCAATCAAATAATCGTATCAATTCCTTCGGTATTAATTGCAACAAAAAACTTTGAGAACTGAATTCTAGATAAGCTAACACAACTGCTTATTATATAAAATATCATATTATTGAACACTTGAAATAGACAAAGACCTGTGTCATGTCAAGATTTATGTACCTTTAAGACCTTAGCAGGCATAGATCTCCGAACATGGAAACTTTTAACTTTGTCAAAATCCACTAAATCAAAATATGTATCACTTCCAATTTGTTTGAAAATATCATCATCAGTTGCGACCTGAAAATATGAAGCCATTCCCTTGTAGAAAAACATACAACTTAAAATCAATAAAAAAAGAAGAATTTCCAAGTGTATAAACTACCTTTACAATTGCATGAGCATCAGTTTCTGCAATTTCTTTCTTCCCTCCCAATTCTCTCCTCAACATCTCCTAAACAATTCCATATATAAATTAATGAAGTATATTGATTATTGCTATTTATGAAAGCAAGAGATGAGTTCAGATTATGTCAAACCTTAAGATGGATGGCAATGTCATTCTCATCAGCATCACATAGTATTTGTTCCTTGTCACTCTCGCGTATATACACCAGCATGTATGCATTTGAGGCCCTCATACCCATTCTAGAAAATGACCGGGTGTCGTGCTGAGAAGAAAAGAGAATGAATGATTGCATCCTTATTCAAGATGAGAAGACAACTTTAAGTAAAAAAACTTACTTCTTCGCTACCATAAAGCCCTTCTATGATTGTCTCCATGTCTTGTCTAGTCACTTGTTCATCATCAAATTTATACCTAAAATAGTACATGATAAATTGATATGAGAACTTTAGAACAAAAGAAGTTTATATAATAATATTGCAATCAGTTATAATGATTCTGATAAATTTCATAATGGCTTCCGAGGTCAAGGTTAATACAAAATGCAAAGCATGAAATCAATGATAAAAAAAAAAATAAAAAAATAAAAAAAAAAAAAATTATTCACGTTAATAGCTCTATAAAACTAAGAATCTCGAGTTTAACTTAGCAAGTACAACTAATTACTCAAAAGTTTAATGGCAACAGGAAATTCAATTCTATGAGTTGTGTGCTAATAGAATATGAAATTATCTATTAGATGTGATTAAGGACCATGTATGTGTTAATGGATATTGTACCATATGCAGCATATACAAATTTTCTTTTGGAAGGTAGATTGATAGAAGAATAGGATACATAAAGAGGTTCCAAATATTCATCAAGAAATGGTTGCATAGTTACAAGTTCTCAAATAGAAAGGAGTGCACTCATTCAAATGCGCTCTAATGTACAAGCTGGAGATAAAATCAATACCATTGGTTGTTGGATAAGTCTGGTCTTATAAAAGCATAATAATGCCCACCATGGATGCCACCAACGTGCACCAAAACACTGTAAATGATAAGATGTCAGGATAATAAGGAAAAATAGCAACTTAAAGATTTTGAAGGTAGAGATTAAAAATGGAATTATAAACAAATGGAACTTTAAATGGCTGGTGAAACCTAACTTAACAAGTAGTGCTTCCTGGAATATATTTTCATGCATATTTATGTAAGTAGCATCGCAATTAAAAATGTGTGTACATGCTTTGTTTGTGTTTTATGGCTCTTTTTACTAATATTTACACAGGGGGTAAAAAAACCATCTGGAAAAATATGAAGATGAAAACACAGTGCCCATCAACTTAAGTAAAACTACAACGTTGCTCATTTCCAAACAATTGAAAGTCAGGCAGCTTACCTATGAAGTGCATAAAGGTTGCGTTTTGTTCTATCAGCCTCGGGTGACAAGTACTTTCCATCATCTTTGTCCAAATCCAGTTGAATGGGGAACTCATACCGGTCATTTATCTATGAAAACATAGGATAAATAAGACACCAACATAAACTTTAAGAAGGCAACAACATTGTCACAGGTTCATCCACATGTAAGATTAAACAACCAATACTTGCACCATGATTAGGTTCAATTGTAGCTAAGGTTGTAATGAATGGATTCTTAGTAGCATGTCTATAAAAGTGTATGCAGGAGCATCATCATGTAATATGGATTAACGATTTCAAAGACTTACCTTTACCATAATCCCTCGATCAACGTCATACTCAAACCTCTTTAAGTGCAACTGAAGCACAGGTGGGAAATCCATAAATAAGATTCCTTTCCGAGCATCCTAAAGTAAGAAGATCATCAGTTCAGTAAGAAAATTATAACAATTCACTATATAATATTCCAATATAGGATTTGAAAATAAGAAATAAAAAATGAATTGAACTACACACTTGTAAACCAAAGTGTTCGGCATGATATTTGTTGTCGTTGTCTAAATATTCAACTTCAACAAACTTATCAAGTGAAGCATAGACATCCCGGCAACCCTTGACATCAAGCTGAAGATCTGCCACAGAGATGTCTTTAAGATCAGGAAGAAATATATATTGGCACTTGGCAGAGAATGTAATAGCTAATCCAACAGATCACAAATACCATAAAATGACTCCATTTTGCTAGAACTGTAGTCGACATAAATGCATTCAATGTAGTTCTTGTGATGGCCTTCAAATAATTGTTTTATAGCACCATCTACCGCAGTCCCCTATAACAATAGAAAATGCATTAATAATACACATATATATATACAAAGGCTTTCTGTCCAATTAATATTATATATAATCTATTTTCTAAGAACCTTCAGAAATTCTTCAAGTGCTTCACATAGTAATCTATTTATTTCTTGCACATCGTGTTGCGTATTAGAAACATCAAGTCGATTCCAACCAAAGGATCCCGTCAGCTCATTTGTTGCAACACTGCTCTTACTATATTGAAGTTTATAAAATAATCTTTGAAGGGCTAGGGGAATGCTCTTTGCCGGCTCATCGGTATAAGAGGTAGGCATTTGATATACCACCTGATAAAATCAAAACAATAATCTGTTTCTTAAAACTTTGACAATACAAAGATGTATAATATAGACACACTTGCATTAGTCCCTTGGAAGTGGTAACGCACCTTTCTGAAAGAAGAAATATAATACAATGTTTGCAGAAGAGAGTTTAAATAACATGTAGCTCCTTGATTCTTTAATCCAACAAACTCAACTTCTTTCTTGAAATCATTTTGCCAACATTCTGTGACTCCATAGCTTACAACCTCTGCTTCAATCGTACATGCATCATCGACAACATAACCAAAGCATTGACTATGAAATACTTGAAGGGGCATGAAACATGGAAACCCTTGGTCACTTTCTTCGGCATTAAAGTGGTGGTATGCTTCTGCAATGTCAAAGTGAAGAGTTTTTATCAATGAAAAGAGTAATAAAATACTAATATACAACTATTTTGTGTTCAAAGATAGCAATCACTTAAAACCACAAAATGATGCTTGCATTATATATAGCAAAATAAGTTGTTATTCATTCAGAAATCATATTTAGCATTCGAGAAACAAGAATAAAAATGTTACCAACACTATTGTCAAAGTTTCAGATATATACAATGCTTGTTCATGTTTGAAAATATGCTATAATTACTTCAATAAGGTGATTGGATATCAAAAGGTAAAATGAATTTCAATACCTCTTGGAAAAGTTAAGTCACTGTCATATGGATGAACGATGGCTAACTTGAACTGTACAAAAATGCTCCAACCAATTGGTAAAGAAGTGGCATTAGCAACTTCCAAATACAAAGATACGAACTTATGACCTTGCCCCCTTGGTAGAATCATAATCCGCCTAGCAAGTACACAGTAAATTGTCAAACTTCACCATTTAATATTTAGTGGTGATGATGATGGAAACCATAAAGTAATAACTAAATTCATCAAATAGAAATATTACCATTTTGAATCACCAAGGTTGTATACACTAGAATACACCAGTTCAGAACCAGAGATATTTTCAACCCTCCAAACAAACTTGCCACGCATGGGATACTCTGCAATTGTTTCTCCCGGAACCTCTACTGAAAATGAAGAACAAAATAAAATGAGAAATTAAAAACCCATGCTACATGTGTTTGGTTGCAAGGTTTTGGAGGAATTTTACTATTTCTAAAATATTCTTCGAAAAATTTTAAATCAAATATTTACCATACGTATTTATACTAATTCAATATATTTATGTTTTGAGTATGAGTGTTTTTATATTAGATAAAGGAAAATAAGTTTTGTAATATAAAAATAAAAAGTAACATTGTTATTTTTTTAGTAAATAGAATATATATATAATATATTTTATTTAAATTTATGTATATATTATATTTTGTTATGATATTAATCGTCAGCGTGTCAAAAACTTTTGTTGAAAAAAACATTCTATTCTATGTTGAAAACTTTTCGGAAGACACATACTATAGGCACACAATAAATTTTTTAAGCATAAATATTCTTCAGCAAATAATAGTAGTCAACCTTATTTAATAGTATTTGAATATCCGATTAAAAAGTTGTGGTCCACGTTTTCATCAAAACCCAATTAAATAATTCCTCGTGACCCTACACCCTACCCCACCCCGCCCCCAACCCCACCCCGCCCCTCTCAAATTCGTTATTTCCCTCTCAGCCAAACACCCCCTGCATCGCATCCACAATTTTGCACAGAATTTCAATAAATAAATAAAATTGCACAGAATTTTCAAATTAAGCATGTTACCTTCAATAGGCTGAGACGATCCTCCTAATAGACTCAAAGTACTCTCCTCCTCTTCCTCTTCCTCTTCCTCTTCCTTTTCCCTTTCCTTTTCTTTCCGTTGCTGCCATTAAAAACAGAATCAAAGATCGTAAAACACATGAAAACGAAAAACTACTCAATAAGAAGTAAAAACCGAACATACATTCATCAGGTTGATGATAGGCACGGCGTTGAGATTTCCGAAAACCATTGCAGTCTGAAAACGACGGAATTTCACGAGAACAATAGACGTAGACAAGAACTTGAAAATTTCTGCAAAAGGATTTGAATTTTGCGTCGACGAGAACTTGAAGATTTCTGCTAAAGGGTTTAAATTTTGCTGCGCCGCCTCCGAATAGGAGGCATGCCGTATTTATACGTTTTTTTTTGTATATCCTAAATTACAGATATAACCCTATTTATTTATTTGGAAAACTTTTAGATAATCTGAATAATATGTTGTATTTGTACGGATATTGATTGGATTATATTATATGCATATATATATATATTAATAATTTATATACTATCATAACAAAATTAATTTAGGTTTTTAAATTTTGGATTTTTTTAATTAGATTTTTGTTTGTAACTATTAAAAATATATATTTAATCCGGATTTATCTCCATATATTGTTTGTTCTCACGAATTTCTATATATATATATATATATTATTTTTAAATATATTAATAATTTATATATATCGTAACAGAATTAATTTCAATTTTGGATTTATTTTTAATTTGTAATTACTAAAAGTAATGCATTTAATACGGGTTTGTTCTCCGTTATCATGATTTTATAGAAGTATTAATAAAAAAAATATAATTAATATATACTTATATTAACAAAACATATATAATATAATTTTTTATATTTTTTTAAAAAAAATTAATAATTCAATACAAAATATTATTTTTTATATTATGTATACAAATACTTCTCGTATCTAATATGAAAAATAAACTTATCTAATACTAAGTGAACGAATATCACAAGATATGGCATATAATTATTTTTTCTTGTAAACAAACAATATGTTTGTTACCTTAATATCTTTTCATAAAAAAAATTGTATAAATATTAATAAAAAAATATACTTCATTCATTTTTCTCTAAGTTTATATTTACTTTTTCCGTAATTGTATTTAACATTAAAAAAATATCTTTATATTTATATAATATTTTTTTATAAATATCATTTTATTAATATTATAAAACTCTAATTGAAACATGGATAACTTCCACTAAACTCCCTAATTCTAAATTTAATTTTCTATTTACTTTGTATACACTAAATTTTCTTCTTTTATTCCATATTTTTATTAATTTATTCTCCTCTACTTTCTATTCACTTAAAATTTCTACTATACTCTTATTTATCTTTTTTTTTTATTAACTTCATTTTTTTTTATCTTCACATATAAGCTTTAATTTCTATCATATAATTTTATTTTTTTACCATTAAAAATAAATAAATAAATAAATAGAAGAAAAGTAAATAATTATAAAAAATTATATATTTCCAACCCTTGAATAATAATATAAAATATTTATAAAAAAAATATCAATTTCAATCGAATAAAGTATGTGATACATAATTTTGCAAATAGTATTAAACAATAAGTAGGTTAATTTTATATATAAATACTTACAAATAAATTACATATATATTTAGATGTTCACAAATATTAAATCTTAATAAAAAGTATTTATAAAGAATATTAATTTTTGATTGAATAAGGTATAAATAAATTAATGAACATGTAGTTCGAACATTTAGTACCACTAGTCGTTATTTTGTGAAAAAAATAAAATAAAATTAATATTGTTTACATAAATAAGGATTTTGGATTACAATAGATATATACAATTATAAATAAGATATATAGAATTATAAATAAGATACCTTTGAGGGCAAAATTGGAAATTTATAGGTGAAAATGTATAAAATTATAAATAGGAAATTGTGATGAATAAATAAAAAATTAAAAAGAACAAGTACATGAATAGGGATTGAGAAGAAAAATAATTTGCAAATTAGGAATTTTAGGAGATTCAACCGTTGGAGTAATTTTGTTATTTTTCTGTATTTGTACTACATTTTTATGTAATAATTAATATTTAAATATCAATGCTTAATAAGTAAAAACGGCCTTAAAGTCGAACAAAGATAGTAACATATATTTATGTTAATACAAAAATATAATATAAATTTTATTTATTCACAAAATTCAATAATTAATACTATAAAATTAGAGCAGTGAAATTGAATTGAGTGTATAGGATTAGGCTATCCATTGTTACTTTTAAAGATAATTGAATTTTAATTTTTTAAAACTCGTTAAAATACGGACTTAAATGAATTAGCCCGTTGATGGGTAAACAAACTCAAAAGGAGTCCTTATTCAAAGGTAAAAGTAAGCAGGTGCGGTAAAACAAGTAAATATTATTTGAGAAAAGCATTTTTTTTTTTTTTTTATTTTGCAAAAGAAAAATAATACCCCTCCATAATATTAATAATAAAAAGTTTATTTACTTTTTGGTAAAAAAAAAAAAAATTAATATGATGTGAATTTTTATCTTGTATAGTAAAAAAAAAAATAATAATAAAAGAAAAACTATATTTTAATAAAAGTTAAAAATAAATATTAGTATTATTTTGTGCTATAAATGAATATATTTCAACTACCTGATTAGGATAAGCAACATATCAGATACAATTTGATTATTCATATTAATAATCTATAAAACACATATTGTATAGTTAGAATGTGTTATATATTTTAATTCATATTATTTTTTAGTTTGTGAAGTAAATTTACTCTATTATTAATTTTGACAAATTCAATAAATATAACATTTAAGTATTATTTTTCTATAATATTTATTTACATCAAATCTTACTTCCTTTATTATCTAATTTCTTATTTTTTCTTTAATTTTTAATTAATTTTTTTAAAAGACTTTTAATTATTTTTTAACTACTATCACTTTTTAAATAAAATATTTATTTTTTTATAATAAAATATTTTAAATTTAACTGAACGAAGGTATAATATAGGGAATATTAAGCATTTCCAAATCAGCACCCATCAAATACAGAAACAACACAATCTTTATTAAAATCAGCAATATGAGATTCAATATTGTATCAGTTGCAGTAATAATATACATCCTGGATTTCATTCAAATCCCGTTTCTTTTTTTAAATAAAAAGATATCATTTTTTTTAAAAAAAAATTATTCTTAAATATTTTTTTTAAAATCAGTACCCTGTCAAATGAGCAACGGAAGAAATACATTATACGATGAAATATAATATAATTTTATATTTATATTATATTAATATAATTTATTTATTAATAAGTTGTAGCTCTATATATATAAATTGTGTGCTGTCAACAGCAAGTGACAACATTCTAAACATATTTAGTAACTGTAGTTACTATATGTATGGGGTAATGTCCACTGTAAAAGAATCGATCTTACAGATCGCCTCCATCATTCTCCCAAAAATTTTGGTACAAAGAAAGACCACTTCCAACTCTGGTCTGGTCTGGTCAGGTCTGCAAGAATTACCCAAAGTCTCCTCCTTTTCTCCATTGCCAATTCAAATTTACTTTCCCCTTTCTTCCCACCATTGAAAGATTTCTCCTGAATCTGTTCCAGCAACCCATGTATTAACAAACCCTAGATTTCATTACCCTGATTCACACCGCACAGATGATGATGACGGCATCTATGCAGCACCGAACTTCCACCGAAGCTCTAATGGCTGCCGTCATATTGACTCAATTCACAAAATTTTAGAAGGACTACTTCATCTTCGATTTTGTCACTTTCGTTCGAGAAACGGTGCATTTGTTCACTTCAGTTCACTCCGAATTGAAGGAATGGGGGACGACCTGGTTCTGAATTTCAACTCCAATTCTTCGAACCAGTCCGATCAATCTGCGAAAATGGCGAAACTTGAGGCTAGATTGGTCGGCAAGGCCCCATCTGCCGTTGCCTCGCAGCATCAAGGTCCTGGGCAGCTGAATTCGTGGTCTAGCACTGATAAATACCAGGACATCTTGTTTGATTATCTGGTGGATAGTGATGATTCTGATGATGAGGATGTGAGTGTTGCGATTTTTATTTTTTTTTTTGCCTGTTTGTTTTCTCTATGGAATCCTGTTTCTGGTTATTCACTGCTCAATTGCTTGTTTAGTTGACAAAGGATGAAATGGAGGAGGAATTGCCATTTTCTTTTCAGTGTTCTGTTTGTTCTTTGGTTTAGAATTAAGTGTTCATACATATATATATATATGTATATTGTTTCGAATTGATCATATGTTGTTGTGAATTCAGTGGATCACTTGCCTGACACTTAATTGCTTGGTTGTAATATTATGGTTTGATTAGTCTTCGAGGATAAGAAGCAGCAGTGCTTGATTTTTGTCAAAAGAACTTTGACGGGCATTATCGAGGAGTTTGAAATTTGATCACTGTGATGACAGTCTGACAGTCTTCAATGAGTTTACTTATGTTTGGATTGCGTGATTTGTCATGACAAAATGTAGCTGATTCCTTTTAAACTGAAAATAATCTATTTTGGAAAGCAGTGTTGGTAGGTTGTTCGATATGATTTTATAACAAGCCTTTGTATAAATTTAATGCTAACTGATCATATTAAGAAATGTTTATGTGATCTTGTCAAAGCCGATTGATAGAAGTCTTAGAGAAATTAATGCTCCTCATTTAGAGCCGAAGTTCCATACGCTTGGTGACACGTGGAACATACAAATACGTGCAAGGAATAGTGTTAGAGATTGGTGCTACATATACATTCTGATAACTTAAAATTTAATGTTTGCATACTTTTTAAGTTTGTAAGTACCTACTTGTGAGTTTTAAATCACGCTTGTCGCACGTGAGCCAGAAAGGGATTCGGGTTGCTTTTCTTTCTTAATTCTTGTTTGATATGGCAGAATGCTGGAGCTTTTCTCGTAATAGCAAACCCCCAAAAAAGGCAAAAGGTTGAAAACGATGCTCCTGCTGTAGGTGTTGAATGTTCTGAGGTAAAGAAGTTCCTTTCAATATTCAAATGATCCATTTTGGGTTTCCCATTCATTTCAACTTACTATGTTAGACATTGCCGATATTTGTATCTTCTTTTAGGGTGGTGATACCTCTGGAAGCGTAAACCCGACAGCAACTGATGTTGGGCAAAAGACCACAGAACAAATAGATGTGAACAGAGCAGGTGATGTAAATAAAAGAAAACAAGGCCGTGTAAGGGCAAGTTCTTCAGGTAGAGGTCGGGGCAGTCGAGGTAAAGACCAAGGAAGAAATCAGGTCATTTCTCCATCTGCTGATCAGGTTGCAAGCTCTCATGATAGGGTGCGTATATTAGAGCAGCCTTTTATACTTCTTTACTTCTTTCGTTGTCATTTCAGTTGTACACTACATAAATTTATTTGGCTGAATGTGTATTTTTATGTTAGGTATGGAGAATTATGTTGATAATATAAAACATGTTGAATTGTCGACTTTTTGTAAGTGAATAAAATATATATATATATTATATATAGTATTAATATATTTATATTGTATTTTTTAAAATAATATTTATGGGGAATTGTTCCGTTCAAAAATGCTATGTGAACAAACTCTACCTACGTTGCTAATTTATGAATAGCTGGATGCCTTTATGGCTCTCTGTTGGTAATACTAGCATTGATTCCCTTACACGTAATCTGTCTTTGTTATGAGCATTTTTCAGTAGATTGGTTATATCACCTTTAACGCCTAATCTTGAATTAACATTGTGTTACTACTTGATTTTTAAGTGAAAAAAAAAATTCTGTTTTCTTTCTTTCAATACGGTATAGTTAAAGGGTAATGTCCCCATATGGAAAATTTAAAAATTCTTTTACACATTAAGATGTTGATAATAATGGTCCGAGTCCCAACTGAAAATTACTTTTTTTGAAAGGTTATATCTGTATATAAATTCTTTCATTTGAAAATAAAGGCGGGCATGCTTCCCCTCCAATATATATTAGACTGCCTTAGATTTTCAGGCAGTTACATGGTTGGTCGATACTTATGTTCTAGATATATTTATGTTATTCAATTTGAATAAAATATGTTGTGGTTTTGTTTGATTAGTCCACACGCATGCATATGGTCACCTGTAATCTAAATGGAATCTGAACCGTTTACAACATAGATTAGGACAAATGCGAAAAAGATAGTGAATAAAAACTAGTAATTAAAATAGATATCACATGATACCTCAAAAGCATCAGCCCATTCTTTTAATCCCTTCTTTATGATTTCGATGGGTAGAAAGAGTGTTATTGCAAGATGTAAATCTTAATGAGATTACTTTATATAGTATTATAGATTTGAGGTTAAATTCTAGGGTGTTGGATATATGGTCTTACAAATGTGAATCAATTTGAATTGATTTGGAATCTAGAGATAGTAATTATTTATTGTTGTTATGTTTATATATATAAATATATAGTTATTTATGTTTATGCTTGAGAGCATTATTTTGTATAAACTTTGGTAAGTAGCATGTCATGTGTGATTTTTGTGGTCGGGTTTGGACAAAACAAAATGTCCATTTCAGTTTATAAATGGTAATGAACAATTGTGGTTGGGCCATGGGTGTTCATGGATTTGGAATAAAATTTCTTAGTCAGTTTGACCCTTGGACCTTTCTTTTCCATCCTCTAGCTATGGCCAACATCGTCTCTATCGATGTTTGAAGAGGAAAACAGCGTGATGGGTTGGGCCTTATATTGTGTGGATTGAGAGTTCTTATTTAGTTTAGGACAATTCATAAACAGCTTCTTGGACATTGGCCATAGTGCCGTACACTTTGACATTTTCGCCTCCTTTCTCCTTTGGCACACATATCTCCCTACTCTTTGTGTTTTTACTTGTAAGATTTTGGTTTTTTGTTTTGGTTTTGAATAGTAAAATTTTGAATTAAAATAGTTGTTTGATGCGATATAAATATGTATTGATGTGAAATTTTGAATGTAAAACTAAATTTTAGTGTAATATAATAAATAAAAAATAGGCATTTGATTTGATATTTTGGAGGGAAAAGAAAATTGGAATAGTAAAATAAGATGGAAAGTCGTACACTCCAATTGTAAACACACCCCTCTCCAATTGCTTTTTAATTGCTCTTCACTTTCCTAATTGATCTTCACCCCTCTCCAATTGCTTCCCCTTTCTTCACTCCCGGCCTCATCGACACATCTACCTCACAATCCATCTTACTTCATTTTCGCAAACTAATCTTTTGTTATTAGCTTTTTCAGATGCCATTAGTATATTTCCTGCTTGTTTCGATCAATTTGGTTTAAGAAAAGAGGGGAAAAAGTACTCAATTTCCGATCTAAGAAAGAGATTTGATATAAATGAAGGTAAGAGTTGGCGATTATTAGGTTTTGAAATATGCACATTCATGCAGTTGTCAGTATTTAAATTGTTTTAGATCTTGCGGAGGTAACAAAGATGACTAAAGGCATTTTTACTAGGCAGCCAAGGGACCAGTAGATCTTGTCTTTCTTTGCCTTGATTATGCCGGCAATCACAATTGATACTGATTTAAGTTGAAGGAGATGAAAATAATAGTATCATTTTTGCCTTGGAATCCGATTATTTGTATCCCGAAAGAACTGCCCGGGTAATGAGTGATGATGTAGTATTTTGATATGGTATTTTGTTGAGAGATATTTTACTCGAAAAAAATACCTACTGTTTTATGTGATTAGAGCCCATTCTTGCACTCTTTGATTAGATTCCTTGAGTGGGCCACATAAGTGATCTTATCGGATGGCCTTAAAATCATATTTCCCTGTACACACTGCCTAGTTATTACTTGGGGTTCTGACCAATCTTTAGGATCTTTTACTTAATTTTCAAATTATAGAACTTGTTGCTGTTGCTTCTAGAAGCTTTTAAGTTCATTTAATGCTGTGTTGAACCTACGGTATTAAACTTTCTCTGGGGCTGGTCATTGGGGATAATGGAATAATATACGAGTCAATTTTTGGCCTTTCAGAATATGACAATCACGACTTACTAAACCTTTTCTGACATACTGTTCATGATTTTATTTTGTTTTCTGCCTTGAAATCTGTTCACATTGAATTAGTTAGTTGATTGAGGAAAACTTTCTTATATATGAATGATTTAATTCACTTATTACCAATTTTCCTATTAATATTGCATCATGTCGTTACCCTTTTTTCTGGGTGGGTATGCAGGACAATTTCTCCACAGAGCATCTTGGGCAGAATGGTCAAATCTCCACTGAGGTTTTTCATTATCTAAAAGTCTTTAGTTTCTTTTAGTTGTCGCCTTCAACTTAGTTAATAATTAAGTATGACATCTGTTCCAATGTGCAGTTGAAATTTTTAAAAAAGTATCATGGCTACGGTGATTAACTTGATAGCATGATCTTTATGTCAATAGGATGAAGCATCTTCACTTCAATTAAAAGTATCTGTACTGGAGGGAGAGGTGAAAAAATCGCGTGAGGAGGTTTCTTATTATCGTAGCCAATGTGAATATATAGAAAAGGTATAAACGGTAATTTACTTTGTGTCATTTTGACTTTTTAATGTTTCAGTAAGGTTACTGTGTACATTCATCGTCACTTCCAACTTTCATTTTCTTTAACATGTATGTTGATTGTTGACACATTGATTTCTTACTTCACAGGAGCTGAAGGATTTCAAAGATAATGAAAAACAGATGAAGCCAAAGGTCTGCTTTTCTAATATTCTAATAAACTAATGTTACCATTTGCTCTTGCTGCCTTTGCTGTTCTGTAATATCTGTGAACTTAACGGCACCAACTTAAGAAACAAAATTATTCTAATATATTTACCTTTACAAGGATGGATGTCATATAAAGGGCGCTCAGCTACCCTTTTCGGGACTAGCATTTCTCTAAGCAAATGCTTCGTCTTTGCTGATTTTGGTGTACTTTGCTTGAGATTGGACTCATTTCTTATTTAAATTTTTACTTGTTGGGTTACCATTTCTTGCATACAGTAAAACCTTGACTCTTCTTTTGCTACAGAAAATGAAAGTTTTATCAGATCTATTAATATCTGTTTCAAAAGCTGAGAGACAAGAAGCAAGGATGAGAGTACGCCAGGATTCCTTGAGACTTGGCAATGTGGGTATCATAAGGTAATCCGGTCTTTATTCTTTTTATTATCTCTAGTTGATCTGTTTTTTATCAACCATATAAAAAACTTAAGTGTATATATATATATATATATTGAATCAATGAACTTGTTAGATGTACTGATTGATAAATAATTACTAAGCTTTGGAAAGCCTATATAATGATGAATATTACTGTATTGGCCTCTTTACATTCATATTAACCTTGATGGCAGAATAGTTTTGATTTGTATTATGAGGCAATTAATTGTTCTTGATAGGAAAGTCAGAATTATTTCTCAGTCGACAGTTAAAAGTGCTGAACTGCACTTTTTATGCTATGAATATTGGGTCTAAGTAGTTGAACTACTCTTTCGAATTTTTTGTTGCTAAGTTATTTTGTTCATTATGTATTTTACGGAACTTTGATAGAGCTGGGACAGTCATATCTGAGACCTGGGAGGAGGGACAAGCACTGAAGGATCTCAATGTGCAACTTGTACGATCTCACTGTATTAAACTTGTTTTTATTACGGTTCTTTGAAGCTTCTCACCTTTGATTTGAGCTTATTTGCTTGCACGAGATTTCATTCTTACCTTTCTTGTCCAGCGGAGTTTGTTGGAGACAAAGGAGGCTGTTGAAAGGCAGAGAAAATCTCTAAAGAAACGCCAATCAGGTCATCACTTTTCTTCGTTATCCATTTCATGTCAAGTGCTTTTTTCTTTCTAATAGCCTTTTTCTGACGATTTCAGAAATTGTATTTTCACCACTATTGTGAGATCTAACAGTGCTTTTCTGTTTCTACAGATAAAGTCGATGCAGCTGAAATAGATGGCGGCGGGCTTCAGGAAGAAGACATTCTAATTCAGGATGAAATTTACAAGTCCCGCCTGATGAGCCTCAAGCGTGTAAGCTTATTACTTGTAACAATCTCTGTTGTTATTTTCTTTTTAGATATATCCTTCACACAAATCCTTTTAGGAAGAGGAAGCTCTAATGCGCGAAAGGGATCGCTGTGAATTGGAGAAGGGAAGGCTCATTCGTGAAATGAAACGTATAAGGGATGAGGATGGCTCTCGTTTTAACAGTTTCCCAATACTGAATCATCGTTATGCTCTGTTGAACCTTCTCGGTAAAGGGGGATTCAGTGAGGTTTATAAGGTCAGAGTTTTTATATTCATGTTTTTGGAATGTGGATTTCAATTCAGCAAAATTGTCATATGCTTTTTTCTTTCTAGTATTCATGAGGATTGAATGTTTTTTATTTAGTGAAGTTCGATCTGAAATGTTGGCAGGCTTTCGACTTGGTGGAACACAGATATGTTGCTTGTAAGCTTCACGGTTTGAATGCTCAGTGGAGCGAAGAAAAGAAGCAAAGCTACATTAGACATGCCATCCGGGAATACAACATTCACAAAACACTGGTTCACCATCATATAGTTCGACTGTGGGACACATTTGAGATTGATCAGAACACCTTCTGCACCATCTTGGAATACTGTGGTGGTAAGGTTCATACAAACACTCTGTTTTATACGAACAATTGAACTTTTTCCGGGAGGAAATAAATTCAAAATCACATAACCTTCGGTATGAGCTGGGATCAGCTGCTGATCCGGTCAAGTCAACATAGTGCTTATTTGATCAGATCAACATACCCTTTAAGCGTGCATATGCTGATCTGGTCAAATTACGGGATCTGCCGCTTCTGTATATATATATTTATATATATATATATTGCTTCTAAAAAACCATTGAATAATCCATTATGCTTCAGAAAAATAGTGCAATTTATCACCTCACGAGGGTTTCTTTAACTGTTTTTTTGGGTTTATATTTCAAATTTTAAAATTATTTTGTTTGGAGATTTCTTTTCTAATTTGGATTTTTTAACCTCACTTATTTAAGAGAGATTCATTTGCATTTCCCCTTTACATTATGTAACATAATCGAATTTATTCTGCACCATATCATGTTTGTCACTTTGAGATTTTTCCCCCTCTTTGTACCAGGCAAGGATTTAGATGCAGTTCTTAAAGCGACGCCCATATTGCCAGAGAAAGAAGCTAGGATTATCATTGTCCAGATATTTCAAGGCCTCGTGTACCTAAACAAACGACCCCAGAAAATAATTCATTATGACTTGAAGCCAGGAAATGTTTTGTTTGATGAATTTGGCATTGCTAAGGTCACTGATTTCGGCCTCAGCAAGATTGTGGAGGACGACGTCGGATCCCAGGGCATGGAACTTACATCTCAGGGTGCTGGGACATATTGGTGAGTTCTTAACTTATTAACATTTTAATCTGCAGAAATTGCCGTTTCATTTGAATATATTGAATGTCGTTTGCAAAATTATTTTGACTATCCGTCGGTTATTTCCGGAAATGTTTGATTCTTATAGCTTACATTATTTTTAGGTATCTTCCCCCGGAATGCTTTGAACTGAACAAAATTCCTCTCATATCCAATAAGGTCAGTAGCATTGCAGTTCATATCCTTGTATCTCCTTCTTCGATATTACGATCATTTTTTGTAATTTCAAATTTAAAATTTTTGGGCGTGGAAAATAGTGGTCTAATGAAATGTTTTATAAAGTGTTTGTTTTGAAAATAATATTTTTGTGCCGATTTTCCCAATCATCATATGTAGAACATGAAGACAGCTAGGGTATGTTCTTTCTGCAAAAACAACCCACATGTTTTCCCAAAAAAATTGATATATTACACCTTCATTGTTTTTATATTATTTACACAATTTTCTATATCTCACAGAAAAAAATATTCTTTCAAACCATTTCGCAAAACAAACACACCCCTAGACCTGGCAATTGGTCAATTTGTGTCGGGTTGAATTTTTTAAATGGGTAAAATCACTCGTCCTTAACCCGATCTATTTATTATCGTGACTTCTTTTTCCGATATTACCATCATTTTTTGCAATTTCAAATTTAAAACTTTTGGGCATGGAAAATAGTGGTCTAATGAGATGTTTTATACAGAGTTGGTTTTTGAAAATAATATTTTTGTACTGATTTGCCCAATCAGCACATGTTTTTATTTAACACATTTGTATTATATTAAGCGTATATAGTGTGTTGCTTACTCTTATATATCGTGTGTTGTCAGCACTGGTGTACGTGTATATATGTACATTTTACTATACTATGAAAAGTGCATTGAAAACATATATGAATTAGGCATCTATTTGTTGTGTTGTGGAAACAGGTTGACGTATGGTCGGCAGGAATTTTGTTGTACCAAATGTTGTTTGGGAGACGGCCATTCGGGCATGATCAGACACAAGAACGGATTCTGCGCGAAGACACTATCATCAAAGCCCGGAAAGTCGAATTCCCTACAAAGCCATCTGTATCAAATGAGGCAAAAGTAAGTTCTTCCACTTTTCTTACATGGATTGGTTCTAAAGATCTTCCACTTTTCTTACATAGATTGGTTTTATTCTCTTCAATCCTTTCCCTTACAGCTATTTTTTTATGCGAATATAGGATTTCATTCGTCGATGTTTGACATATAATCAAGCGGAGAGACCCGATGTTTTGTCCATTGCGCAAGATCCATATCTCAACTACACCAAGAAATGATTCGAACAAAACTTAGCTACACTCATCAAATTGAGCTATGTGGCTATGAAGATACTATCTATACTATCTTACAAACTTTCTACAGAAAACTCGAGGTGATATTGGTATAGTTGTAAGCTCGCTATGTCCCTTTTGTTGTTCTTAGCTTGTGTTTGTCTAAAGTAAACCACATATGTTTTTGTATTGTATCGCATCGACGATTTGTTTCTTTTATTTATTTATTTATTTTTGAGTTTTATGTTTTTATGATGTTTAATAAAAATATATTATTTTAGCCGTTAAGAGTCAGTATCAAATTATTGTTGAATTAAATTTGAAATAAAAAACTAAAGGAGAAAAACCTCAAAATGTAAAGATATTTTTTTATTTTGAAGTTTTTTCTGAAGAAGAGTTACTATATAGATTGAATGCTGAAAGTAAATATTGGAAATACAAAGTTTGTTGAAATTGTGTATTTGGTTAGTTAGATTGTTGGAAATGAATTTTTTTTAACGTTAAAGTATAAAAATTGCATAGGAAATATAAAAATAATGAATATGTGTAACGTATTAATATTTTTGAGAAAATGTGTGCAAAAAAATTGTAAAAAGAATAAACTCTGAGTGTTTATTTGAATTTTTATTAAAATAAAAGTATTAATGTAATATTTTATGAAATAAAATAGTATATATATTATTGAATATTGTGGGGTACTAATAGCTTTAATTTTGTTTTAAAATCACAATCAAATACATCTTAAGATTTGATTACTTTTTAATATAGACCTTTTAAATGAAAAATTATATTTAACAATGTATTTTAAATAAAAAATAAAAAATATTTGTTTGATATGATATTTTAATTATAAATTAAATTTAGAATATCATGTTTGAATAGAAAATAGTTAGAAAGAGCATTTGTTTGGACCTTTGATTTAGGTTTGCTTTAACCCGGGCTCACTTGAAATGGGCTTTTCTTTTATTGGGTTTTTTTTGTCTGGATCAGGTCAGATTATATCCAATCTCTTATTTTAAGAGAAAAATAAATAAGTAAATAAATCTGTATGTTTGAGAACTAAATATTTATTTGGTCTACTAAATTTTTTAATATTAAGTTTTTTTTTTTTTAATTTCAAATATTTTACAATATATATTATATATATATATATTTTTGGGTATATCTCAAATATTTTACAATAATTTTAAAAAATTATTAAATATATTTAACATGTGTACTATATTTTATTACATATCACTCAAATAAGAAAAATATAAATATACATTTCTCCCTGTTCAAATATTAAACTATTAGTATTATATAATATAAAAAAATGCTATTTGTGTAAATATTAAAATTGTAAAAATATTTTTAATATTGAATAAATAGTATAATTATTAAAAAAAAATACTCCATCCGTCCCAATACAATAGTCTTGTTTACCATTTTTGTCCGTCTTAAAACAATAGTTTTATTTCCATAAATGTTTATATCACCATAAAATTATCCCTATTTTTTTATTATTAGTACTTTCTATACTTAATAGACTCACAAGGGCAAATAATTTTTTACTCATACTTTTATCAATTATCAATATAATGTCAATATTCCTTGAATCTCGTGTCAACTTCAAATAAGACCATAGTTATAGGACGGAGAGAGTAATAAATATTTTTTTTGGAACTTACGGAAATATAAGGGAAGGAAAGTCGTACTTCTTTTGCACTTACATTGTTAAACATTAGTATAATATTGATTTATAATAAGGACAAAAACACTTTTATTAATAGCGTAATATAAATGTTATACTCCCTCTGTCCATTTACAAGGGTTACATTTACTTTTGGCACGTTGTTTAAGAAATAATAGTATTTTAATTATAGTGAGTAGTTAAAAGTAGTGTAATGACATTTTTGCCCTTACTTTTTTGTGTAAAAGTAACGATGTGATGTAAAGTAAGGGTATTTGTGGAAAAAAGTAGGGTATTTAATGAAATGTAAACTTTGTAATTACACGTCCCAAAATAGAAACATATAAACTTTGTAAACGGACGGAAGGAATATTAGATAAGTAGCACGAGTACTTAAAATTAAGAAACGACACACTTATTTTTGTGACAGAAATAAATGAAAAATAGAACATGGCACCGAAAGAGTACTAAAACCCGTACCAAATAATTTTAAACAAAAAAATACACTAACACCTTCAAATCCCAAATGGAAATGCAAATACTATAACAATTGCAGATATTGAAAGAAATCATCAACCAAATCAGTACCAAAAACTTAAATTCTAACAAGAACACCATGCATGCATTGCCACAAAATCAAATCAAAGCAAACCCTATTATATATTCCCTCCCCACACACAAAAAAAAACTTTCATATTCAGCACATAAGTATAATCAAAGTTCAAAAGATAAGGCATAGCCATACATACCTCTGCCTGCAGGGTTTAGGGTTTAGCAGCATCATCTTTCGAGAGATTCGCCGGATATTTGATTGCATTCAGCTCAATTTTCCTAAGGGCAGCTCGATCAAGATCGATCCCACACATATCTGATAGCCTGATTAAGTATAGAAGAACATCTGAAAGCTCTTCCCCTAAGTGAACCTTTTCCTCTTCTTTCCAGTCAGGTAAGCCTTTTTTAACCTCTCCTTTCCATTGAAATATCTCTGAAAGCTCCCCCACTTCCCCAACCTGTTTTTACAAAATTTATTTAGAAGAAAGCCAGCATTAGAACTCATACTTTACGCAATAGCTGCGTAGCGGATTTCAGAAGAGAGCAGGGGCAGCTTATAAATTCAATAATACTCTCTCCGACCCGTGTTAATATATACATTTTATATTTTAGTAACTATACCCCACTTTTTTTTACATATATACTTACTTTACAATCACGATATTACTTTTATATTTAAAAAAATAAATAAATAAAAATAATAAAATTGTCTTACACTACTTTTAAGTGTTCACTACAATTAAAATAATATTATTTTTTTAACTTTGCATCAAAAGTAAACACACACTTTAACATGGAACGGAAGAAGTATACTATATAATCTTCATTATAAGTAAGTTTAAATTTCACAATATAACATTACATTTGTTATTTGATAAATATAGATTTTATACTATTACATTAGAGTATATTATAGCTACTTCTAGCTCTAGAAAGGAAAAGAACATTCTACAATTTGACGAACATACAATAGAAAAATGGATAAAAATGAAGAAGATGAAGAACTTTCATACAAAAGAAGTAGAGGTGAGGATGATGAAAATAAATAAAATTGTTTATTGGATATTGATATTGTAAATTTTTTTTTAAAAAAATGATTAATTTTGATTAGTTATCTATCAAAATAGTTGTAATATATTTATTTTTGCTTATATAACTATTTACCAACTATGATTGTATATGTTTTTTTTTGCAATTCTATTGGTTTTTATTGTAAATTTGTATATAATGTATAAATTCTTAAAATTTTTAATTACAGTCATCCCTATAGCATTTTAGCGGATTATGTAACACTATTCGAAATTGACAAATTATGGTAGAACTGCTTTTGTGCAGATAGGGAAGTGTTTGTCTCTCAGGGATAAGGACGAGAAAAGCGCTGCTGTTTGCAGAATTTTTGCACTCGGAAAAAGACATCTGCCAAACATGTCCTTTCTATGGTCTAAAGTTTTCTTCGCAAGGAAAAGAGACATTCGAGTTTAAACAACGCATTCAATCGATAATTCGATGAAAACCTATTCGAACAAATAAAAAAATCAACAAATGCAGCAATCATTCTTCTGCTTAAGCGTCGATGATTTTCTATACAAAAATCGATTCGAAGCATAATCTGGAAAATGAAACCAGCTTTAGCCGACGCATTCAATCGATTATGGAAAAATCAATGCTCCAATCAGCAATGTTCTCCGCTCAGATTCAAAACATCATTATCAATGGCTTTTCAATGAAACTAACGGGAAAAAAAGTTTCTAAAAATCATCTAGCACAGCGATTTAATAAAATCGAAGAACGGAAACGAAGGAAGTTCAACTCCAACCAAAGCATTAATGAACCGCAAACGCAACAGTCGATACTCCAATCAATAATCAGCAAAACTCTCCATCCAAATTCCAAATATCACCGTCAAGTATAGTAATAGTACCATAGCGAGAAGAAGGTTGCGCGGGGTGTGGTGCTTCTCCCAGTCTCGTTCCTTGGCGAATTCATCCATTCTCCTCTTGAGAAGATCGAGAGTGACCTTCTGATCCTCTCCGCAGTGCTTGTCTGCATTCATAGTGCGGATTCTTCGCCGGTGTGAACAGCGGAAGGCAAAACGACGAGAGAGAGAGAGAGGGGCAGTGAGTGTGAGTGGCGAATGGCCTGTATGTTGTCGGTACGGAAATGAAAGCCACGCAAGCGGGATATATAAAGGGAGGGTTTGTTTGATTTTATTTCAAATCGAGGTTTATAATATTAAAAATATATTTATATAGTATTATTTTTTAATCAATTACATAACTCTAAATGACCCATTTAATTTGAGATAAAAAAATATATAAAAATGATATTTATATAATATATTGTAATATATAATTATATTTTTAATATTAAATATATAATTTAATTACAAAAAAATAATAATAAAATAAATAATTTATTTTGAAAAAAAATAAAATAAAAAAATAAATAATTTGTTAAGACTGGAGAGTTGTAAAATATATATATACTACATATACTCATTATTTTTATATTATTTATATAATTTTTTACATTTTACATTAAAAAATAAAAAATAAAACAAAAACACAAAACAAGCACACTTGTCTTTACTAAAAAATAATGTGTACAATTATACTTTTATAAATAAATATAAAATTAAAAGTATTTGTAATTGATGGTATAGTTAATAGTTACTTAAACTAAAATGTATTCCCTCTGTCCCAAATACCATGTCCACGTTGCCGTTTATGTCCGTCCCACGTACTATGTCACTTTCTTTTTTTGAAAAATGATTACACTTTAATTTCATTTTAAATTTTTTAATTTTATCTTTTTAATTTATTTTAATCTTAATTTATAATTATTTATATTATAGGATAATTATTTTCACTGATATATTTTTAATTATCTACTAATTACGCTAAAATACTGTGTCTGCGTCTGGTACGGAGGGAGTATATAGAATTGATGATATAGTTAATAGTTACTAAAATTAAAATGTATGTCGAGGAGAAGACATACTTTTCTTAAAAGTAAAATTTTTTAAAAAATAGAATGTGTTTATTTGAGTTTGGATTGGTAAGATTTTAAATAAAATTTGGTGTGATATTGTGTAGAAGAAAATATAAATATATATGATTAGGAATGAATTTTTTTGTTAAAGCTGATTATGTACTTAATATTTAATTTATAATTTAATATAGTATATACTAGTATTAAAATATCATATTAAATTATTATTATACAAACATAAATTATTACTCATATAGAGAAATAATCAATTGTAAACAAAAATAAATATTAACAGTAAAAATAAGAAAATCCTGACATAACTGAAATATGGGCCGGTCTGCAATATTAGGCCCATAAAAATTTTTCGAATTGCCGGCCCGTTAATTATTGGACCAGTCTTCTTCAGTTGCATTTGCATTTGATTGAAACCCTTCTCTAACCACCAAAACCGCCCAAATTTCATGTCCTGCTGAATCCGATCAGGCCATCTGACGAGCTGCAGCGATGGCGGACCCGAATCTTCGTTCAGGCAGTGGAAGCTCTGATGCCCGGAATATCCGCTGCCCGCACTGCGCCGGTCCCCTTTCGAAAGAAATGGTACAATCGACTGATATTTTTGTAAATTTTTGCACTTGTAAATTCGTTTAGCATTTTGATTATTTTGTTCGATTGCAGGAGACTAGCGAGTGGACAGTTCCCCCGTTTATTAGAGACAGCTTTTCTATGGTTTGTATTAATGGAACTATTTTTTTACTTTTTTATTTTTCGTGTTCTTTCTTGTTTTTAAATAAAAAAATTGTTCGTTGATTTAGATAGGATCAGCTGTCGGCGGCACTGCAGGAGCGTTTTACGGCTTTAACCATGGTATGATTTGCTTGCTAATCTATCAGAGTGTGTGTAATTCTATTAATTTCATGGAATGTGATTACTTGTGTCAATGTTTCAGTGTGTTAATGGAAAATGAATGCTCTTTGTCCACCCATTGTATGATCTTTTCTGTTAGATGAAATTGGGGTTTGGTGTGACTAGAAAGATGATACTGTTCTGATACTTGTAAAATTCATTTGAAGCTTTAATAAATCAAGCATACAATCACTGGTATATTTCAGTGACCTTTGAAAGAAAACCATTAGGAATTGGTTACTAGCAACTCGATTTAATGGTATTCCGGCTCATTCGTGTGCTGTCTTCTCTTTCTTTGCATTAGATGTTAGTTGTTTTTATTCTTTGAAGAAAAGAATATATTGTAAAGAAGATGCTTTCTTCATGTTCTCTCGTCTTCTACTGCAGCTATGCCAATTGTAAGGAAGTGGATTAAAGGACCAATGTGGTTGCAGTTCCTCATTGGTGTAAGTTCTTGAGCGTTCTTGGATCTTATTCTTTTATTTTTTCCTCCTGTTTGTTCATGTCATCACGTGTGATTGCAGTACTTCTATTTAAGGATTAGGGTCATTTATAATAAGTGTAAGTTATTGATTCTTCTACGAGATGTAAATAGATTTTGTTATTATGTTGCACAATGGCTTCAAACCATGATGAAATTATATACATTCCTCTAAGGGTGTGTTTGTTTGGGGGATTGGATTGGATTTACACTATTCATCCAATTTTTTCCCCCCAAAAACATCAAATCAAATACCTATTTTTCATTTTTTATATTATACTAAAAAAAAATTTTACATTCAAAACATCACATCAACACCTATTTATATCACATCATACAACTATTCAAATTCAAAATTTTTACTATTCAAATCTCAACTCAAAATCCAAACCCTCAAACAAACACACGCTTAAATATATTTAGAGGCAAAAAGGGGGTCTGGCTGGTAGGGTTGGATCCACCATGTGTCAATAGAGTCCTAATTTGTTAGACTGGACTGCAAACCCTGTTAAATTGCATTCTTGTCTTTCTGCTCTCCCTCCCCATTTTTTTTTTCCCATTTATCTTCAATTTCTGATGTGTTATATGGATACAGGCGCCACCAGTCATTGTTTTCTCTTCAGGATGTGCTGGGTTAGCTGGTAAGACATTTTTCTATCTGAGTTACTAATGCACCATTCCTGCATACATGATTTAAATTTTCAACTAACTGTCAGGGCATCTGGTTTTTGCACTTGATACCATTACACATGTGTAATAGTTATACATCTCCTCTGTATTACAAAGAAATAAAAATCGAACAAAAGGTCTGATAGGCCCTACCATCGTGTTCCAGTTTTTAAAATCCCTCTTTAATAAGAGCCTTGTGCTAGCCTCTCTGGATCTAAGTGAAATGACTGGAAAATGGCCGCTTTAATGAGCTCTATAACTTTATTGATAAAGCGTTTCTTGTGATGCTTTATTTCACAGTTAAAAAGTAATCCCTTGTGTCTGATGTTTTGGAGATAGATAGTTTTCTAACTGGGAAACTTTTTCAATGAATAATATATCCTAAGTATTTGTAAGAGTAAAATATTATGGCCCGCCATGTGAATGAATCTGCTAAGGATTGCTTATACATTTTTGAAATGATCTTTTAGTGGTACTTTAAATGCGGAGACAAATACAGTGGTGTTAAGTTTTCTTGGCTTATTGTAGAAGATGAGCTGGTAAGAGTAAGTTATTTTTAGAGTACAATAATACTATGAAAGCACCCTCTGTCCTTAACTACATCATTCTTATGTCATGTCTACTTGGCTGCTTTTTAAATTTTTTTGCCTATTCTATCTATTGAATTCTTCTCAAATCCATTATTTGCCTCAGAGAGCATAAGCGGCTCGCATGCTGACTGCAAAGTTTTGCTTATTTTATTTTAGTGATCTCATCACTTGCATTTGTGGCTTTATAGGCTGTTTATGTTGAAAAGAATCTCATCATGTGTAGTAGATTTATAGACGATAAGGGAGAATTTCCAATGCATTATGGTTTGGCATTAGTTCAAGTATTCTGACCTTTTTTGGTTTGTATGTAGTGATTGCTGTCAAAAAGCAATAAAAAATTTTCAAAGGTTTTACCTGTTCATTTTTTAAAGTTGGGATCTTATGGGCGACAACATCTTTATGCATGTAACTTGTACAGGTGGTTCCATTCCAGCCCTGGCTCAACTTGCATCCTCATCTTATCATGCCATAATATCATCCTCCCCGGCTCCACCTTCGTCCTCATAGCATCGGAAAATTACAAAACCCCAAGTCATTATTGGCTGTTCGTCATAAAGCAGAAAGGAAGGGTTCTCAGAGGACTGCTAGAATGTATATTTTGATGGTCTGTTGATTGGTTTACTTATGGATTTGAATGCCGTATGTCTCTCTCAAAAAATCAATGGGCTTGGTGCCTGTAATTTAGTAATTGCATAGGCTAGGGAATGTATTGTCACCAACAGTATGGTAATATACAAAACTCTCTGTTCTGTTTGTATAAAATAGGATAAACCTCATAGCGTGAATTGTCAGGCGAATAATCTTCTTGTAAAATCCGAGCAATTAAATGCTCCAAAATGTCATTTAAGTACCTTTTTGGCCATATTGATATCCTTTTATACCATTTCTGTCTTGGATGGGCCACTATGTCTTTTAACAGATTAGCATTTAAATTCACTTGCTTCACAAGCTTTTTCCTGAGCTTTAAATAAAATATGCAGTATCAGTTTAATGTGTGTTTTTACATGAATACCCTCCTTGCTGGTAGCTCTATTTCTACAGAGACTTGGGCACGCGTTTGTTCAAGCAAATATGGGATTAAAATGTGATTAAGATCTCACCACCCGAAGGTACATCCTGTTTTTAGCACTGAATCTTTCCGTTTGTCGTATTTACTAGTGATTATCTTACACAGGTATCTCAGGAGTGAATAGATTCTTTAATCTAAAGCCATCCATTCGAAACTGGACACTTCAGTCGCTTCGTCATCATTTACTTTTATTGGCATCTTGGCTATATACATATGTTTATCTTCTTCTTGAAATCTGATAGTGCTCGGTGAGATGCATATATCATCATCATCTGCTACAAATGCTGTTTGCAAATATCTGGTATTGCAGAAAGAGGCTCCCACCAGCCAGGTAATTTGCAAATCCCACAATGTGTGCTGTTTATGTCTTGGCGTAAAACATTAAATGCCCCAAGATTCTCAGGATAAGTAGAGGACAAGGGTGCAATTCCAGTTCAGATTGTGATTTCTTAAAACACTGTTTTGCATTGCTCTGCATAGGGGGGCCATTATTCTTATGTACATATATGTGTCGTAACAAAATTGATTTCCAACTATTTGAGGCTTAGCTCATTCGCCCCTTTACGGGACCACTTCCATGTGCCCCTGGCAGTAGCTGATTCTTATTACACCTTGAGTGACACTTTATCATGCTTCCCATATGATTACCATTATGGACGTGTCTGATAGAAGGAGATGGGGATTGATATTTGAAACCATATTAGTACCTTGTGTAAGGTTACTCGGCACGCCCCTAAGCTATTGCTTTTGGGCATATTTTTGGGCATTCATTTATTTATGCTTCATTTATTAGGTTCAATTGTTTAGTTGGTCATCAAACTGTCACTTTGTTCATAGTTATCCTCATTATGTTAGTTGTTTTCGCTTCCATCGGAAAAGGGCTAAACTACACTAAAAAATGACTGCAAGTTGTAGTTTAGGGAATTCTAACATGCTCTAATATAATCCATTCATCCCCAAATTATTAGCTAGTTTTGCTTCTAGCACGGTTTCTTAGATAGTATGAATTCTGATAACTTCTTGTTTATTTTCTCCTAATTTTTTTTGCGAATGTTTTTTAGATTGTACTAAAAGAATGTAATGAAAATTCAATACAAGAATTGTAAGAGCTTTAGAACATCTTATATTTCTAAATTATAAATAATTAAAAAAACAAAAATGGACAAAAGTAGTGCATATATTGAGTGGTTTTGAGTTTTATTTGGATGGGAAGGAAAATTGGATTTAGAAATTAAGATGTATAAATAATAATACCAAATGTCACGCGGGACACCTCTTGATATGATAAGAGCATTGTATGGCTAGTAGTTTGTGTTGGTGAGACTTCTTGGGTGCCTTGCACTTATTATCGTCGAATACTTTAGAGCTACTACGTAACATATCTATACATGTAGAAGAAATTTTACTCATACTAACTTGAAAATGTTGTAATATAACTGATTGATCAAGTAGAGCATCGAGTTAATGATGTCTAAAATTTCTACGGTGGTTTTGTGAGCATGCCTTAAAACATTTGTTAACATCATTATATGCTCGACTCTTGTTTGCTCATTTATAAAGTAAATATTATGCTTGTGTTGTGTTTAGATATGTTTTGGAAGTATTGATTGTTTGGATTAACTTAGTTTGAATAAAAAATAGGTATTTGATGTCATGTTTTGTATAGAAAAATAGTTTTTTATGTTTTAACTGAAAAAAAAAGTATTGGGTGTCATATATTTTGAAAAATAAATATTATCAGTGAATAGTGACAAAAGTGATTTACATTAACCTGTACGAAAACCTTCATTTGTATGAATATTGTTAACATTTAGGGAGTCGACAACCTAAACAACACTTTTAGTACAATTCTGTGTTTTTTACTGCAATTTAGAGTGGGACAGAGATGGAATGATGGAGCCATTACAACAGTTGAAAATTGGTAAGAAATAAGTGAGAAAGAGAATCTCTATTATTATTTTATTTATTTATTTATTTATTTTGATGGGGATGATGATGTTAGGACGTATATAGTAAGAAAAACATGCTAGTATGGAGAATTCAATACTTTGTCATATAATCATTGCATATAGAAACATCTTGAAACTTTTGCAGCAGAATAATTCATTCACTCTTATTTCCTTCATGCCAGAATATCTCTGTCTCTTCTCTTGCAGGAGGAACATGTGTACATACAAAAAACACACACACACACGCACACGCACACCACACTCAAAAGAACACAGCCCACAACCCGAAAACACCTCACCCGAGAGACATCAAAAATGGTAAGAAGAAGCATTCATTCTATGTAGTAGTAGTAGTGGTAATGACAAAATTGTAACTCAATTGGACCGGATAATCTTTCTTACCTATGGCAAACACACTTGTAGTGGTACGCGCTGTTTATAGGGTCGTTGCCTTCCACAGGGACTTGCTCGGCTCGACACTTGTACCTGCATCCTCTGCATTCGTTGTAGGTGCATGTTGGCGCCACTGATCCAATCAATCCTCTTTTTGGGTTGTCCTAAGACAATGGAAGAGTTCGTAATGGTAAGCAATCAATCTTACACTATAGTTTTATTACATACTTGGTGTTCTTGTCATTTTTTTTTTCTTTTGGTTTTCGTTTTACTAACCTTGTAGTTTCTATCCCCTTTTGGCATCGAAACTTGATGCACGTTCGGATTGTTGTCGTGAAGCGTTATTTGAGCTCGGGAACCTTCAGCCTCTGGATAATGTATATGTAAAGGTTAGACCTTTTTTTCCTAATTACCTTGTTGAAATTTCGCGCGAAATTTCAATCTAGAACTGAATGTTATTCTAAAGTTAGATTTTTTTTTTTTTTGAGAGTGATAAAAACACTTGTAAGAAAGAAGTAAATGAGGAAACTAAGGAAAGAGACCTTGTAGTAAAACAAGAAGTGCTGCACAAAACACAGCTAAGAAGAGCCATTGGTGATGATGATAAGGATCACGGTGACGATGACGACGACGACAACATTGATTTGCCATTGTTGTTGTTGTTGTTGTTGTGGGAAGCATTGGATGAAGGGAGTTTGTTCAATGGCTGTAAGAAGCAGTGTGTTGCTTATGAACAAGGGGGATGTTGAAGATAGATATATAGATATAGAGTGAGAAAGAGATAGAGAGAGAGAAAGAATTGTGGATGAATGAATATAGACCATAAGGAGATATACACAGCCCAAAATTATATATGCAGCTGCATTGCAGAGGTCCCCAACTGACAATATGTATATATCTTGTATGTATATATAATATATATATATATGTACACACTCGAAGAAGCACTGGATTGTTCCATAGGCCAACAATTTTATTTTATGTTTTTTTATGACGTAAGAATACGGAAAAGTTACTTTTTTGAACGTGCATTAGATAAACTACAGCCGAGAATAGCTATATGAAAAAAAAAAAATTCTTTTTGACAAATTCGATCAAAAAGACTACATAAAAGTTCAAACTTATAATCTTGTGGTGAGGGGTGGCTCCTAGTAGGAGCAGGGTGAGCAACTGCTCAGGGTTCCTAATTAATAAAATGTATATTTTAAATATTATCTATTATTATTATTAAATTTTAAAATTAAATTTTAACTTTTAATTTATATTTTTTTTCTTCTTCGTAATTAACCTATTTAATTTTAAAATTAAATTTTGATTTCTAATCATATATATATTTTTTTATTTCTTTTTAATCGTCTACACCTTCCTTCAGTCCTTCTTACTCTTTGAACTCAGACAGACCGTCTTTCGTCTTCTTTTCTCAAATTAGCATTGTCCCGACGGTTGCATTCAACCTCTTGTCCAATCAACGCCAATTAATAATATTATTAAAAATACATTTTAATCATGTAAAAGTAGGACCTATAATTCATTTTCGCACAGGGCTTAAAAAAAGGTTGAGACGGCCCTGCGGTCATAAATTCCCTTATAATATAACTATTGAAGTAATATAAATAATAATATTTTGTATGGAAATATTAATTTTTATGAATTGATAAAAATATATATATATATTATTAATATATGTATATTATATTATTTTAATAATATTTATGAAAAAATTTGTCATTAAAAAATACTAGTGAATTATTTTTACCATAATATTCACTCGTTCATATCTATATAAATTTAATGTATTGCATATTCACAAAATAAGAGTATGAATGCATATAAATAGAAATTTAATTGTGAAACTTTTTAAAATTAGAATATCAAGAGTTGTGTTCTTTTTGGCATTTTATAATTTATTTTGTTGTTAGTTATTAAAAATTATAAATTTATTTTCAGAATTGTGACATGAAGTCGTTTTTATTATTTGTATAAAAATTTTGTAAGATAGCAAATTATTTTATTAAGAATGATATGAAACTAAAATAACAAATCCATAATAAATAAATACATACATTTAGAATAGAAGTACTAAAATTTTAAAATATCAAAATAAAATCACACGGTTACAGTACTGATTATGTCAAATTAATACACATAGAGAAGGCACACATGTTCTATGTAGCGAAGTACAATGTTGTATCATATAAAAATATGTATTGTAAAATTTTATATTTTTATTGTTCTGAAATCAATAATATATTGTACTATATGAAATTATATAGTATTGTTAGAAAATAATATCATGATCTATAAAATATATGTTTGTCTTGATAATATGTACTAACCCGGTCAAATCAAACCCAATCAACATTTAAATTGAAGCAAAAATTACACACACATATATATATATATATACACACGCACGATATATGGTCACACTTTGGAATCTAAAATAAATAAAATTGAATAACATAATACGTACTAAAGGAATATTGAAAGGAAAAAAACAATTATGATGAATGTAATGTAGTACAAATGTTGGGAGGAATATTAATTTAATTGGTTGTGATGAATTTCAACTGAGAGGATGTTTTTGTACTGTGGATAAAATTTTTGGGGTGTCTATTGCAATTACAAATTTTGTGGTTCATATCCCTCTCTAATCTACACTTCAATTAGACTCAGATTTTTAGGTTTATTTCTTTTTCAAAAAGGTTTTTAACATATTTCTCAAAAAAATATGTTATATATATTCATTATTTTTATACTCCCTCCGTCCTGGATACCGTATTTGCTACACTGGTAGATACGGTATTTTAGGAGGGGTATAACTAGTAGATAATTAAGAATGTATTAGTGAAAATAATTATCCTATGATATAAATAATTATAAATTAAAATTAAGATAACTAATTAGTTTAATTAAAATTTAAAAAAAAAATTAAAAATTTAAAATGAGATTAAAGTGTGTAATCATTTTCCAAAAAAGGAAAGTGACATGGTATGTGGGACGGACAGAAACGATAACGTGGACATGGTATCCGGGACGGAGGAAGTATTATTTACTCTATTTCTTTATTAAAATTACTCTATTTGGGTTTGGCACGAAAATTAAGAAAAATGAATATTTTATTGAAAAAAGTGATAGATAGTTGAAAATATTTTTGAAAATTTAGTTGAAAAGTAAAGTAAATAAAGAGAAAGAATGTAATAAAGTCAGTGGTATTTGTTACGAATAAAAGTTGAATTGAGGATAGTAATTAAATATTGATTTGTTGACTTTGCCAAAATTAATAATGGAATAAATTTAGTGGATAGACTAAAACGAAAAGTGAGAATAAATTTGGTGGACGGAGGGAGTATAAAATTTCTATATATTTCACGTCAAAAAAGTTTTTTAAAATCAAAACACAAAACAAACACGTTATAAATAATTTAAAATAATATTTCGTTTCGATAAAGTGTCAAAGTTACTACAAACATGGAAATTTAAAAGTTTTTTAAAATTTTAAAAAATATTTACAATAATACTTCTTTTGTTCCGAAAAAGTGTCAAAGTTACTGTTGGGAACTCACGTTTACGGATAAATAATTAATAATTGCGTATTCCTAATAGTTCAAAATTTCAAGTGAGAGGATCGTTATGCCGCAGTGGTATCAGAGTTCAGACTAAATCTACATACCCCACTTGCACCTGAAGGAACATAGTGCTTGAAATGATAGTAGATAATATGTTTTGGGGAATATATTTTGATTTGTTTGACAAAAAAATTATACAAGTAATGTTGGAAGATATAGATTAAGAGGTGTTTAAGTATTATTTGTTATAAATTAAATGTATATATATATTTTTAATATTTTTTTATTTTAAAATCACACAAACAATTATTTATTTTAAAATTAATAAAATAAAAACCATACAGAAAGCCCGTAAACTTTTTAAATATAAAACATATTATTTGGGTTAGCTTAACTAGGCCCATTATTGGCTGATCCTGTTTTGATACAGTAGTTTTAATATTGGTAAAAGTTATTACAAAATTTAATAATTAAATAAATATATATATACATTTTTAAATATATAATTATACTAAATAATCAATCCTTATTTTACCACCTAGAGACGTATTTTACATAGACAAAAAAAAAATGATTTATTATTTTAATTATTATAAAAAAAAAAAAAAAAAACCCTTCCCGCCAATTCCCACCTTTTGAAGAATACAAACTAAATAAAATAAATATCCGAAACCTCTTTCTTTACATTTTCCCTATTCCAAACAATCCCTTACCCTTACCCTTACCCTTCTTCAATTTTCCTGTAATAATAATCATACCTAAGCAAAGCAAAGCATCAATTCAATCAATACATAATATATATATACACACATATACACACATTATCCAAAAACCCTCTCAAATTTTCAATAAAAATTAAAATTCATCCAAACATGTCCTCCGAACAACCTCACGTCAAAGTACCATCATTTTCGACCTATTCCAATAGGATCATCATAAAAACCATCTTAGCCCGGCCCGACCATGGCGTCGGGCTGATCGGGCAGCCCGTAATTGTGGGCGGATGGGTCAAGTCCTCCCGGGAGTTCCGTAAGGAGCCCCCGGCGGCGGCCCCCGAAAATCGAGGGGGGCCGAAAGACGTGAGCTGCGTCGAAGTACTTCAAACAAAATTACCGTTTCTCCGAGCCATCATAAAGGCCTTTGGCGGCGAGCAACGGATACGAGACAAGCTCGACGCTATCGTCCCGAGGCTGCCGCCACAGCCGTCGATCTCGATTTTGAGCATCAGTGATGGATCTTGTCCGGCAAGTTTACAGGCAAGGATGTTCTATTCAGTGTATTAAATTTTGGGCATAATTCCAAAATTACTCTACTCTAGTAATTGAGTAATTTTGGGATTTTGGACACTTCAAAATAAAATACAATTTCATGTGTAATTTTTTTTTTTTTTTTTTAAATTCTATTGAAATTTTAGTCAAAATTTGAAATTTTTTTAATTAACCCGATTTGCTTAGAATATCCTTTTTTAATTTTTTAATTTTTTTTTTACGTGAATTCTCTCAAAATTTTTTATTTTATATATTATGCTAATTTTAAAGTATATATATATATATATTTTTTTTTTACATCAAATTATAATGATAGTGTAAAGGTAATTATTTTTAGTTTTTTGTATAAAAATAATAATGTTACAGCAAAATAAAAGTATTTATAAAAAAAAAAATAATAATAAATCTATAGTTACTATAAATTATTATTTTGTAATTTGAGGATTAAAAAAATATATATATAATTTATAAGTAAAATGAGAGTATTAATAAAAATGTATAAATTCCATTTTAATATTATTAGTTCAAATTCATTATTTTGTTTAAATTTATACTACTATAATTTATATATATAACAGTAAACAAACATTTTTTAATTAAATAATAGTAAAATTTTATATTATAGCATATCAATTATTTTTATTCTAAAATATCTAAAATTTCATTTAAAAAATTCAAATATTTTTAATTTTCATGATTCCCTTGAAATGAAATTTTCAAAATTCTCCATCAAAATTTATGTAAATGCGCATGTCGAAAATCGATTATAAAACTAAAATTTCAAATATCCTTAAAATTTTCATCAAAATTTCTGTAAATTTATAAGTCTGAATCGACATTCGATAAGTCGGACATATGAGGCTACGATCATTTTTAGTACAAGTTTGTGTTCTTGCATCCTCGTTTTCGATCAAAAGTTCGATTTTTCGACAGGTTCTTGTAGACTCTTCCTTAGCTTCTCCGAATCGGGTAATGCCGACGGGGACATGCATATTAGTCGAAGGACTAATGCAAAAGCCGTCGTTGCAAGGAAAAGAGTCCGTCGAGGTTAGAGCTGATAAGATTCTTCATATCGGCGTTGTCGATCCGGGAAGGTATCCTCTGTCCAAAAAACGCTTGCCTCTCGAATCATTGCGCGATTCTTGCCAATTTCGACCTCGTACCACAACGGTAACAATGTTGTCCTAATTCCTTATTTTGCATACACCCCTCTACTTGTTCCAGAAATTATTAATATTTCGTTTTCCTTTTTTAGGCCGTGTTAAAAATAAATTATAAAAATTAAAAAACTGCATTGTTATTCATAACGAAAATAGAGGTTTATTATAAATATATATAATATACCGACTTCATAGATTTAAATATAAATATACTAAATTTAAAATTGAACATCTAAAATATCTGCACAGGTGGCTTCGGTTACGAGGGTGAGAAGCGCCCTAACGCAAGGAACGCACGCATTCTTCCGAGAAAACGAGTTCTTACACGTGCAAATGCCCGTTATTACAACCTCGGACACCGAGGGCTCGGGCAAGATCTTCCAAGTACTAACTCCTCGACGGACGGAACAATGTCCAAACATCGAAACAATCAAGGCTTCCATCAAGGACAAAAATAAGCAAATCGAAGAACTCAAGCGAAGCGCGAGCAACGACGAGGCTTTAGTCGCGGCCGTTGACGACCTTAAGAAAACGACAGAGCTATTGTCGAAAATGGAAAACGAAGAGAAAACGAGGCACGGAAAATCCCGCGGCGAGACAAGCCGAGCGAGCTCGTCTGATGAGTTCTTTTCGAAAAAGACGTACCTTACGCCGTCGGGTCGCCTCCATTTGGAGAGCTATGCGTCGGCTCTCGGGAACGTTTACACGTTCGGGCCGAGATTCCGCGCGAAAAGATCAGAGACGAAGAAGGAGTCAGCAGAGATGTCGATCGTCGAGATCGAAATGGCTTTCTCGACGATGGAGGTAATTTTCCCATCTCATCTCGTCTCGTCTCGTCACGCTTCGATCAATTAATAATTTCAAATCGCACCTCAATGACGTCGGCTTCGATTTTTCAGGACTCGATGCGATGCGCCGAGGACTTCTTGAAGTTCATATCCAAATGGGTACTAGAGAATTGTACCGAAGATTTGAAATTCATCGCAAAGCGAATAGATAAACTTGTCGTTGAACGGCTACAATTGATCTTAACGAGTACGTTCGAGAGGATCGCCTACTCGGAGGCGATCGAAGTTCTAAAGAAGGTAGAGTTACTAAAACGGTCGTTTTTACATAAAACTATTTTTTAGAAGATACGTTTTTATCGCGCTATGTCTTGATTAGGTCGCAGGCGAAAAGTTCAAATTTGAGTCGGGCATATCTTTAAATGAAGAACACGAAAGGTATATAAGTACACGAACATATCTATATATATACTAAAAAGATGTGTGTCAAAAAAACGACGTGTAGGATATTTTTTACGAACTTTTCTATCGTAGCTATTTAGCGGATGAAGTGTACAAGAAGCCGATCGTTCTATACAACCATCCGAAAGCGCTTGCGCCGTTCTACGCACGGTCGAACGACGATGGGGAAACGGCTGCAACGTTCGATGTCATTTTACCGAAGGTAACGACCGAACAATCGAACGATAATGTCTATTTATAGAAACTCGACATATTTTAGAGTGTGCTTGTTTAGTATTTATGGTTTTAGGTGTTTTTATTGTGAGAAGTGAAAATTTATGAAAATATTATAAAGAATGATGTATTGTGTATTTTATTGATTTATATATATATATTATGTTTTTTGGTAATACTTTTTAGGAATCATATACCTTGAAAATACTAAATGAACACAATTTCACATTCTAAAAAACTTAGAAAATCTGTCTATGGTGAACTTAGGTCGGAGCGGTTGTAAGAGGGAGCCAAAATGAAGAACGGTACGACATATTGAACGCAAGGTAATGTCTACTATTCACGACTTTTTACTGAAAATATCAAATTAAATATTTATATTTTTTATATTATACTAAAAATTAATTTTATATTTAAAATGTCACTTTAATTTATTTTATAACACATCAACCAACTATTCAAATCAAAATTCAAAATCTCAAACAAACGACTCTATAAAATAATTGTCGGTTTCGATTCTGGATATCTTGAACGTTGTTGTTTTTACGTTGTATGGATCGTAGGATGAAGGAATTCGGAATGGCGGAGCGGGAATACGAATGGTACCTCGATCTTCGGCGACATGGGGCCGTTAAATGTTCGGGTCTCGGGTTCTTGTTCGATGCCATGGTTCTTTACGCGACGGGGCTCAACGATGTCCGAGATGCGGTCCCGTTTCCTCGGAGTTTCGGAAAAATTAATGACTAACGTACGGAATATATGGATGTGAAGTTCGACACGAATAAGGTTCGTGAAGAATAAGGAATGTGTCGAAAATTTGTATACATACTTTCAAAAGGTGAAAATTGTGTGTATATATATATATATGTATGTGCATATATGCTCATACACATTGATACTATAAATACAATACAAAGATATTTTATCTTTACTTGTGTTTTTACGACCTGTTTTTATTACTCTCTTCCCAAAATTATGCTTATTTGGCTGGCGCAAATTTTAATAAATTATATAGGAATGCCAATTAGAAAAAAAAAAAAAAAAAAAAAAAAAAAGATTTTATGTGAAATAAAAGTATATTTCAATAAAAAACATTATTTTACATTTAAAATATAATATAATATATATTTATATTATGATTCCTTCGTCTCAATATAATAATCTTGTTTATCATTTTTGTCTATTCCAAAACAATAGTCTTATTTCCATAAATAACCATATCACCATAAAACTACCCCTATTTTTTCATTGTTATTACATAATTGTCACTACTTCTTACACTAATACACTCACAGGAGCAAAAAAGTCTTTTTATCTATATTTTTTTTACCAACTACCAATATAATATCAATATTCTTTGAATCACGTGCCCACCTAATTAAGATAGTTCTGGGACGGAGAGAGTGTCAAACAATTATTTTAATTCATATAATTACTATTAAAACATTCAAACACAGAAATCAAATGCAAAAACACACCCAAAGAATTTTAATTTTATGTTGAGACGCTGGAAAGCTTGAATTGGTGCTTTGACTTTAATGTGTTTAAATGACATGTGAAATTTGTGTCCATCTTCTTCGTGAGGTTAGCTATTGTAAAATTTTGGTCAATGAGGATGAATCATAGCGCGTGTTCTTTTAAAATTAGTTTTCTTTTAGGAAAAAAAAATGTTTGAGTGATAATTTGGATTTGAAATTTTGTAAGATAAAATATTTTTACAAAAATAAAAAATAAAAATGCAATAAATGTATAATAAAATACTCCCTCCCCGTTCCATAAAAATGATACAATTTTTTATTTTTGTCCGTTCTAAAATAATGATACTATTTTCTTATTTAATAATTGTACTATTTATCTAACATAATTAATAGTCTTACAACTTTCAATATATTACACAAATATGATTACTTTTATATCACATAGTATTTTTGTCTTTTTCATTATAAACCAATATTATACTAATATTAAAAAATTTAAGTGCAAAAAATAAATGCGATTATTCTTTGTGACGGAGGTACTAATAAAACTAAACTCTAAGGAATAAAACATAGTTTGTTTGTTTGGTTTTGGTTTTGTTAGTTGACTATGTAATAAATAAACAAATAATGTAATATATTTTAATTTTGTAATGAAGTAAATAAACAAATAATGTAATATATTTTAATTTTGTAATGAAGTGTGTTGTTTGACTACATCATAAATAAATAATATGTATCCATTTAATTTTAAATTCTATTATTTAAAGAATTTAAAATTATTTTTTTAAAAAAAAATTGATTTAAATAGTACTCCTGTAATAGTACTTTCGTAAGAGTAATCCAAACCAAACACATTTTGACTCATTCTTTTTTTAATTTCGAAACCTTTTATATGTTGAATCTTAATAAATATTGAGTGTTTTTCTTTTGCTTAAAATCTTGGAAATTTTATTGTTTGGATTATACTTTTAGAAAAGTAATAATAATTTTTTTTACAAAATATTTTATTAAATATTATTTAAATACAAAATTTAAACCAAATGTTTTCAAACTAAACCCTAAAAAACAAACCCAAATATTCAAAGAATGATTTTTTACTTTTCAAAAAAGTTTTTATATACCAAAATAAAATTAAAACGCAATATAAACAAGTCAGTATTGTATGTTTTCCAAATTGCACTCTATTTACAAAGATATTTTAATAATACTAATTAACAATAATTCGTTTTTTTAAAAAAAAAAAATACCATATTAAATATTTCTTTCCTTAACTTTGAATGTATCCTTTTGGAGTTTTAGAATTTTATAATAAATTTTAAAAATAATTTTTATTTAATTAATGAAATAGTATAAAAAATTGTGACATTTTTTAAATCTTTTGACTTTATGTATAATAAAATAATTATATGTATAATGATATATTTATAATTTAAGAAAAAAATTAAGAGTATTTTGATATTAATATATAATTATTTTTACTAAAATAAATACTATGATATAAAAAGAAAAATCTTTAAATCGAGAAAGTAATTTCTATTTTCACAAAACATCGCTTTAGACTTTATCGTTTACAATAATTTCATCAAACACAATATATATTAGCGCACTGGAATTTTCTAACATAAGCAGCTTGGCTGAATTGTACTTTTCTGTCAGTAAATACACACACATTTCCTTCTCCTTTGGGTCATAGTTGGTATTTTTTTTTTAAAAAAAAATAAAAAATATATACTTATGTCTGTTGCTATTACTTTCTTTTTTTTTTTTTTTTTATGTACATTGAATAATAATAGTTGTAGCAGTAATAAAGCAGCCAACCGACCCACCCTAATGTTTGGTACAGTATTTATTAGCAACAGGAGGTGCAGATGCAAGTGCAAGTGCAAGCTCAGGTATGCCACCATTGCCCACTTGTCTTTCCTCTCATCAACTTTCTCCATTTATCTATTTCATTTCAATATACTCTGGCTTAGCTTGGCCACCAAGCCCCAGCTGTCCCTGTCCCTCCCACCCTGTCTTCCTATCACTAGGCCTTATTTATATACATAATTTCGAAAATTTTACACTATTTATCAATAATATTTTTTATAAATATATTTTTACAAAACAACATAAAACCAGTAATTTATGAAAATTCCTCAAAACTTCCGCTAAACGAAAAAGGAGTTATATGCAGAAATTTTGAAACTATAAGATAATCTCACGTAATTTTCAAACAATAAAAGGTTCCGTTCAATTTTTATAAACTACTGGTAAATTTTATATGATTTTGCCATTTTTATTTTTTTTTTCTTTTTACAAAATTTTCAAAATTCCAAAACTAGCAGTTAATTTCCACTTTTGTTGGTGACGATGATTATCAAACAGCACATGCAAAAAACTTAATGCACAAACAAAAGGTTTCCTATCCACCTCATGCTTAATGATTCCACCATTCTAAACCACAAAAAACACATGTATGTATGTATGGCTGTTCATGTCTCAGCTATCAAACAAATACAGATTCGAATCATGTAATTCAATTAGTTTCCAGATCCGAAAACGAATATCAATCACTCTCTGTGGCTTTTAGATTATATGTACTGAATACATAATACATATATATGTGTGTGTATATGCATCAAATCAAAAAATCAAAAAATTGTGTGTGTCATTTTGAATTTGCGTGGGATGATTGTGAATCCATACCTCTTTATGCGGATTTTCGTCATGATTTGTGGTGGTGGTGGTGGCGTTGGCTTCATCGGTGCTTTGGAACACAGTTTGGACGTAACTTTCTACGTCAATTTCCTCTGCGTTGTCAACATCTGTTAACTCGGGGATGAATGGCGGTCGTGGCATTTCGGTGATCGTGTTCCAATCGACGGCTCGGAAGAATTCGTGCGCTTTGATCTCGTGGACTGAGATCCGCTTCTTAGGATCCTTCTCCAGTAATTTTGCAATTAAATCTCTCAACTGTGTGGCCTCACCGGTCAGATTTGGTGCTCTGGATATGATCCGAGAGAAGGTGTCCTTCCGAGTCTCGCCGCGGAAAGGCGTTTTGCCGTAGAGCAATTCGTAGAGCATTATGCCGAGGCACCACCAGTCGACGGAGAAATCGTGGCCGTTGCCTAGGATGATCTCCGGCGCGACGTATTCCTCCGTGCCGACGAACGAGTTCGATTTCTCTACCGAGTCCGACTCGGAATGGATTGACTCGGATTCCAGCTGAACTGAGTCTTCGGGGAGGATCTCCGTGCAGCGGCGATTGAAGAAGGAAATGAGCTTTTTACTCTTCTTCTTCTTCGTCGTCGTCTTCTTCTTTTCCTTGTTTTCAGGCTTTGATTCGGATGATGTCGAGCGATTGTCAGGAGATTTGGCAACGAGTTTTGTTGATAGATCGAAGTCTACTAGCATCAAGTGTCCGTTCTCCTGAACCATCACATTTTCAGGCTTCAAATCTCTGTACACAATGCCTAAATTGTGGAGGTGCTCCAATGCCAGTACCAATTCCGCAGCGTAAAATCTGAAAATAAAAAAACGCGTAAAATTTCAGCGTTCAACAAAATTTTCCCAAACATGATGAGCGTCAATTAGCATTCTCCATTTTCAGTTCTACGGAAACTCCTTGCTCTGTTAAATTCAAAAAACAAAAAAAACAAAACACCATAGCACAGCAAAATACCTGATAATATCATCTGAGAACATTTTTTCAGTCTGTTTTTTCCTCAAATAATTCAGATCGCGACCGGAGCAGTAATCAATTGCATATCCAACGATCTTGTCCGTTCTCAAAACTCCGTGAAGCTTTGGCAACAGCGGATGATTAAACGAGGCAAGCACATCTCTCTCGAACAAAACTCTACGGTACTCATCGCCATTGCTTCCGTTTGCGAGCTTCTTTTTTTTCTCAATAGAAGATCTCGAGATCGCCTTAAGCGCAAGCAATTCTCCACTCGCTGTCTGAACAAGGAACACCACACCTTTTGCGCCGCGACCGAGCGCAGAAATCACCTTCAATCTGTTCAAATCGAGAGATTCCACAGCAGCACCGTCGCGCATGGCGGAGGTCTCCGGCAAGCAGCCGCTTAAACTCGCCGTAATTGAATGCGCAGGCAAAATTCAAACAGATTTCTGACAAAATTGCGTTTGCAGAGAAGAAACCGCAAATATAAAGCAGAGAAAAGTTTCCTTGCGACGCTTTTAATGGTTTTTTCGGCGGAAGCCGTACTCAACACGCTTATAGCATATTCCATTTCCATATATATATATTCTTGCGTCGGGCCGGGTTGGTCGGGTCGGATCGGGTTAGGGTCAAATTTTACTTGCTGGGGAAGAATCAGTTGTTAGGTAAGGTGACATGGGATACGACGTCGTATCAGATATGCTTCGTCTTTTTAGGGTTTCTAGGAAGTCGACAGTGTAGGTTATGCGTGGGAGTGCACCTTCTAGAAGCGGTAGACAATTTTGACTATTTTGGAGTAGTATTAAAATAAAAAATATATACTCCTATTAAAAACAAAAAAAACAAAAAAAAAAAAAAAAAAAAAAACATTAGGGTATGTTTCTTAGGGGGAGTTTTAAAAAAATTGGGTTTGAGTTTGATTTTTATTTAAATTTTAGGATGAATTTTGATTTTGTTATTTTTTTTGCGTTTGGGTTTGGTTGAGGTTTGGAGAATTTTGATATATATTGATTTAATGGATAATTAATAAAATAATATAAATATGTAATATATTTAATTGATAAAAAAAAATTATATTATAAAATTTTATTATGAATTTATATTATACTCAATATGTATATTTAAATTTTTATTTATTTATTTATAAAAAAATTTATTTTTTACAAAATAATATATATTGTATATATATATTTTTATTTAATTATAATAAATATTAAATAAGATTTTAATTTTCTTTAAAAAAAAAAGGAAAAAGAGTGGGGGTTTGGCCCCCATTTTTCGTGCACAGTAAATTGGGGCGAAACCCCTTAAAGAAACATACCCTTATTTTATAATTATTTCATTCACAAAGATCTGGCCACCTGTTCATCTGAAAAAGACATAATTTTTTTTTTTCTTTTTGTAGTAATTTTTTAATAAGTTTTTTTAAAAAAAAAAAAATCTTATTTGTTATTTTACGGTTTAAACTGATATTTTTATTATTTAATTTATAAATTTTAATAAAATATTATATCAACATATTATTTAAATAAAAAATACAAATCAAACACCCTTTTATTATTTTTTTTTATAAAATACTGCATCAAACTATTACTCCCTTACTTCCTCCGTCCCTGTGCAATATTTACTTTTTGGCACGGATTTTTAGATAGATATTATTAAATAAGATAATTTAGAAATTAGGTGGTGTGATGGAGAGAGAAATATATATTTTATTTTTTTATTTAGATGATGTGGGGGGATAAAGTGTGGGGTTGATATTAAGTATAATTAATTATTTCCTAAAAAGAAAATATTGCATGTTTGGGCCGGAAGGAATATAATTTTATTTTATACTTCTTTCTTCCCGCATCTTTTATCAATGTTGTTGTTTAATTCTTTTTTTTTCTTTTTTTTTTATAAAAAAAATATAAGGTGTGTTTATTTTGTATTTTAATTTAAAGAAAAAAATTGATATGAAATATAAAAAATTATATAGGTAACATAAAAATAACGAATGTGTATAAAATAAACAAATCTATAAAATACCTTAATTATATTTTAAATTCTCTAACACATCATTTTGTAATTTAATTAAACTGTTTAATTATTTTAATTTTGATTAATAATTATTAGATATTATATCATAAATTTAGATATATGATTTTGATATTATTGGCATAAACTTATGTTATAAATAGACATGTATTCTCATTCTAACATGCTGCCATACGACCAGGCCAATTGGCCAAGCCATACAGCCCAGCCATGGGCCAAACGGCTTAAATTCTGCAATAAAATATGTTATTCGGTTCTGTCTGTGGAGGTAGCCAACTCGTTTTTTGTGAACCACGTAAATTTGTATTTTTTTTACGTTTTCTGTTTGTTATTCAATCATTGATCCTAATCCGTCGTAACAAAATGATTACATTTATATGAGTTTGTTTGTTTATTATTTTAGTTTGAAATTTATTTCTTTTAGGTTAGTTACAAATAATTGTTGCAATAATATAAAAATAATATTTTGAATTAAATTATTATTTTTTATAAAAAAAATAGAATTTAAATATTATATATATTGAAAATTGTATAAAATAAATAATTAATTGTGGGAACAAACTCTATATATATAAATGTTGGGTTTGTTTGGCCAATAATTTTTTTTTGACATAATTTTCAATATGTTTTTTTTTTAATCTCATAAGAGTGAGCATTCAATTATTTTTATATTACCGAAATGATTCCATATATCTTGTATAAAAAAAAAAGATTCAAATCAAAATATTAAACAAAACAAACCCCTTATATATATAAATATTGACTTTGTTCTTCCTAATATTTTTTTCCTATATATTTTTTCAAAATAATGAATACACTCGGGTGTGTTTGTTTGGAGGTTTGGATTTTAAGTTGGGATTTGAATAGTAAAAATTTTGAATTTAAATAGTTGTATGCTGTGATATAAATAGATGTTGATTTGATGTTTTGAATGTAAAATTGATTTTTAGTATAATATGAAAAAAAATAAAAAAATAGGTGTTTGATTTGATATTTTTGAGGGAAAAAAATTGAATGAATAGTGTAAATCCAATAAAATCCCCCGTGTGTTCGTTTGTAGAATTTTGTTAAAATTCTACTATTTATCCAATTTTTTTTCCCCAAAACATCAAATCAAACACCTATTTTTCATTTTTTATATTATACTAAAAATTAATTTTACATTCAAAACATCATATCAACACCTATTTATATCACATCATACAACTATTCAAATTCAAAATTTTTACTATTCAAATCTCAATTCAAAATCCAAACCCCCAAACAAACATACCCTAAGGGTGTGTTCGGTTGAGAGATTTGGACAAAATCTCACTATTCATCCAAAATTTTCCCCCAAAACATCAAATCAAACACTTATTTTTTATTTTTTATATTATACTAAAAATCAATTTTACATTCAAAACATCACATCATCACCTATTTATATCACATCATACAACTATTCAAATTCAAAATTTTTACTATTTAAATCCCAACTCAAAATCCAAATCCCCGAACAACACACCCTAAGTATATTCTTGTTATTTTTATATTCACTGCTCAATTTCCTATGTTTCTTTTAAAAATATTATTTTCATAATCAAATACACACCTTTTAATGTACTTGTATGTTGGGCTGGGATGGTAGCCTATGGGGTGGGTTGGTTGGGCTTTTCATATTCATTTGTTTGAAAAATTGAATTTTATTACACTCTCCTAATCAGTCCATTTCAAATTAATCCAAATAAAATACGGCTTTATTCTTTTACCAAAAATTTTCAACTTATTTTTCAAAAATAAATACTATGTTCCGTTGCAAGATTGTCGTTTACTTTTTACATGTAAATTTTTTAATATTAGTATTATAATAAATTATAGTGAAAAAACCGAAAATACCTCTATTAGTATTGTGTAATATAAAAGTAATGATATTTGTGTAATATAGTATAAGTTGGAAGTGCATTTATTATATTAGGTAGGTAGTACAATTATTAAATTAGGAAATGATAACCTTGTTTTGAGACGAACGAAAATGAAAATGATAACATTTCAATGAGACGGAGAGAGTAATATATTATATACTCCCTCCGTCACATAACTATGTATCCATTTGCTTTTTCCACGTAGTTTTAGAAATATTAGTATTATATTGAGATGTAGTAGGAATAAAGTAGAAATGTCTAAAATAATCTTATTAGTATTGTGTGATATAAAAGTAATGACATTTGTGTAATATATTGTAAGTTGTAAGGGTATTTGTAATGTTATGTAGACAGTACAATTACTAAAAAAAAAAAAGAATAATTTATTATTGAACGGACTAAAATGAAAAAATGAATATTTTGTTATGGAACAGATGGGGTATTTATTATTTTTATATTATCTATACAATTCTTTATAGTTCACGTAAAAAATATTCTTTCGAACCAAAATATAAAACAATCACGGATGTGTTTCTTTTAGACTTTATTTTTAAGTTGAATTTTACATTTTTTTTAGGGGCAATACCCTTTGTGTTTTAACAAAATATGTTATGTATTATTTATTACGTAAATTTTTATTTTGCGATAAATTAAATTATACATAAAACCCTCTATTTGTGAAAGTTGATGTTTAGTTCTAAACACATAACTAATTATGTAATTTTTATGCAAATAAAATAGGGGGATAAGCTTCATCGTCGAGAGGGAAACAGCCCGGATCATCAGCTAAGGCCCCTAAATGATCGCTCAGTGATAAAGGAGGTAGGGTCGCAGAGACAGCCAGGAAGTTTGCCTATCAAGTATCTTAAATAGTTTTGCTTGAGTAAATAAATAAATATTTGATCAATTATTCATTTTGTATTTTTTAAAAAAATTGTGTAATTGTTTGTCTCAAAAAAATGTTAAATGAATAATTGATAAATTATTTATTTATTTTATTAAAAAAAAGACTATTTAAAATATTTTTTAATTTTTTTAATAAAATTTATAGTATATACTTCATCCGTTCAATTTCTATTGTCCCAAAGTATATTTGTAAGATTTTTTAGGTGATTGTCTTTTTGTCATGAATTGACAAATTTGTCTTTAATTATATGATAGAGACTAAAAGTAATAAATGAATGAAGGTTGAAAATATAAAATTTGTATTTAGAAAAAAACAATAAGACAATAGTTGTTGGACGTTTTAAATAGAAAAGTAGACATTAGTTTGTGAATGGAGAAAGTATTATATATATGAAAATTGTGTCAATAAAATTTTGATGAGCAAACAAACTTTTGAAAATTTGAAATTAATTTTAAAAATAGTAAAATAAAAGTAAATAATATTTTATATGATATTTGTAAAGAAATAAAATATTTAATGTTTTCTTTTAAAAAATAAAAATAAAATAATGCCAAAATTCCAAAACTATTGTCTAAACAAAAATGTAAAATGTCAAAGTTACCATAAAATTTCAACATGAATGACGAGTTCAATATTTTGGAAACAGAAATCAACAATTATATTATACTATTTATTTATTTTTTAAAACCAACTTCATAGAGTGTGCTTGATTGTTTGCGGGATTGTTTGCGAGGTTTTGAGTTTGAATTTTAAATAATAAAATTTTAAATTAAAATAATTATTTAATATAATATAAATATGCATTCATTGATATTTTTAATATAAAATTAAATTTTAATATAATATAATAAATAAAAAATAAAATTTTAATTTAATAATTTTACTGATACTTTTTTTTTTTGAAATAATAAAATCTAATCAAAACGCAACAAACAAACATGGCCTTAACACACTTGTAGAGTTTGTTTGATTATGGTTTGAAATTGATTTGAAATATGTTGGAATTGATTTTTTTATTTAAATAATATTTTGATTGGAAATTTTGTGAGAGATAATATATTTTTATTGAAAATTATACCGAATGAATAATGTTGATTTTGATTTGCAAAGATAAACTACAAACCTATGCGGACTTGGATTTTATTTATTTATTTATTTATTTTTTTGTAAAATTTAAATAGTAAAAATTTTGAATTAAAATAATTATATAGGGTAAAATAAATAGATATTGGCAACTTCCATAGGGTGATTTTAATAATAATTATATAGGGTAAAATAAATAAAATAATTAAAGTAAAATTAAATTTTAATATAATATAAAAATAAATAAATAAATGTTTTGAAAATTACACAGAATAGTGATTTTGGCAACTTCCAGGGTGTGTTTGTTTGGGGATTGAATTTTAAATACATTATTCATTCCAATTTTTTTTTTCCAAAAAATCAAATCAAACATTTATTTTTCAATTTTTATAATATACTAAAAAGTCACTTTTACATTCAAAACATCACATTAACATCTATTTATATCACATCATACAACTATTCAAATTCAATTTTTTTACTATTCAAATTCCAACTCAAAATCCAAAACCCCAAACAAACACACCATATGTATATATATTTTAAATTTTCTCTTTTTCAGCATTTATTTATTTAAATAGGTGTGTTCGTTTGTAGGATTTTGAAATCCTACTGTTCATCTAAAATTTCTCCCCCAAAACATCAAATCAAACACCTATTTTTTATTTTTTATATTATACTAAAAATTAATTTTACATTCAAAACATTACATCAGCACCTATTTATATCACATCATAACTATTAAAAATCAAAATTTACTATTCAAATTCCATTTCAAAATCCAGATCCAAACAAACAAACCCTTTAGTGTTGCTAAAAATTAATAGTGAATAAATATACAAATTCGTTGACCGTTGACGAGAACGACTTTTCGAATTCAACATTGGCATGCTGTGAGAACGAAAATAGTTTTAGTATGGAGTGTTTATTTGGATTTGTATATAAAAGTATCGAAATAATAATTTTATTTTTGTAAATATTTAAGTCATCGTAATTTTCTTTTTATTTTTTTATTATTATACAAATATTATTATTTTTAAATTAATTACATTCACAAAAGCTTTTTTTACTCATATATTTTACAATTATTTATATAATAATATTATTTTTTAAATTTTTTTAATATAAATAAGACTATTATTTTTTAAGAAAGAAGTACTATAGTATTTATTATAAGTTTTTATAAAAATATGTATTTTAAATTATAAAATTTAAATAATAAAATTTAAAAATATCTATAATTTTATACTCCATTAAACTACACAGTATATTATAATTGTATATTTTTCCAAATGTTTGTTATTTAGTTTATATAATTTTGAAATATATAATTTTATTTTAAAAATTACTATAATATTACAGTATTATTTAAATTAAAAATTACAATAAAATTTTCTAGAAACTCAATTATTCAATTAAATAAGATTATTCTTATCATTTGTAAAAGATGTATTTATTTTATGAGATAATTTGTAAAGAAAATTTTGATGTGAAATATGAGATATATATATATATATAAAATATGTATAACATATTAATATTTTGAAAATACATATTAATATTTTTTTAAAAAACGTATATATATTTTTTATTAAAAGAACACAATTCTAATGATTTGTTTATATTGTATTTCTTTGTATCATAATTTTTTTTAATAAATATTTTAAAAAGATATAATATATATTATTAATTTATAAAAACAATTAATTTAAATAAAATATTATTATTTTTTATATTAATCATATTTACCATATTTAATATAAAAAAATATATATTTGAAATCGTTCGAAAATTTTGATAAAATAAAGTAGAAAATACAGACAAATTTGACAAATTGGATTCCCGCATTCGCTCGCGACCAAAATCCGTTTTGTGATTCTGCTCTTCGTTCTTCTCGGGAAACCCCGATTTCTTGTAGTCAGATTTACGGTTGATACAGGGGCTTTGGGGGAAGGAAGATTGAAGAATTTCCCGACGGAATGGTGGCTACGGCGGCGAAACAGGCGGAGCAGCTCAGACTCGACGGCAACACTTATTTCAAGAAAGATCGTCTTGGAGCTGCCATTGATGCTTATACGGAGGTATTTTGTTGATGTTCTTATGTGATCTTGCGGATTAATGGTGATGATTGTTCCGTAGTTTCTTGGTTACTGATTTCATTTTTTATTGGAAGGCTATTGCGCTGTGCCCTAGTGTTCCGATATATTGGACGAATCGTGCTCTCTGCCATCGGAAGCGGAAGTATGTATGATAACGATCCTTGCTAGACGTATAATGTTGTGTATTTAGTTGTTCTTGGGGATCCGAGTCTGCGAAATTTGAGTATAAGTTGAAATTCTTGTTTTTCATGGCCGTGCAGTGAATGGACGCGAGTTGAGGAAGATTGCAGAAGAGCGATTCAGCTGGATCATCATTCTGTCAAAGTATGGTTTGTTGTTTAAACAGAATCATATAATTGTATGGATGTGTTGGTATTATAGTTGCAATTTTTGGGGCTATTTGCAGAATTTGATGGAAACCCTAAAATGTTATGGTATTTGTTCGATGTCTTATTGTCGTTTGGATATGTTGGCATCATCAGTTGCAATTTGTTGGGCCATTTGCAGCATTTAATTTGATAAACCCTAAAATGTTATGGTATTTTCTCAATGTTCTCTTTGTCTTTTGGATGTGTTGGTTTTATTAGTTGCGATTTTTGGGGCTATTTTTTAATTTAATTTGATGGAAAACCTAAAATGTTATGGTATTTGTTCAATGTCTTATTGGTGTTTCGCTGTCTTGGTATTAGTAGTTGCAAGTTTTGGGCTATTTGCATAATTTAATTTGATGGAACCCCTAAAATGTTATGGTATCTGCTCGATGTCTTACTGTTGTTTGGATGTGTTGGTATTATTAGTTGGGATTTTTGGGGCTATTTTCAAAATTTAATTTGATGGAAAACCTAAAATGTTATGGTATTTGTTCAATGTCTTATTGGCGTTTCGTGTGTTGGTATTAGTAGTTGCAAGTTTTGGTCTATTTACAGAATTTGATTTGATGGATCCCCTAAAATGTTATGGTATTTTTTTGATGTCTTACTGTTGTTTGGATGTGTTGGTATTATTAGTTGGGAATTTTGGGGCTAATTGCAGAATTTAATTTGATGGAAACCCTAAAATGTTATGGTATTTGTTGTCTTCTTGTAAATGTGAACTATAATTAGTGTTCGCATGGTTCTTTTTATTAGCATATGATGTTTTAAGTGGAGCACTGAAGACCTATGTTGCATGCTCAGTAGTCCCATATGGTCGCAGGGCACGAAGGACTTCTCATGCAAACACCCTAGAAAATAGTCCATTGTGCCAACCAAAAACCCAAAAATCCGAAAATTATTATTCTTTTGCTACTAATTCTGTTCCTGTTGTCCTGATTTTGTTGTCTTATCGTATGCTATTATTCCTTTGCCTTTACTTGCTTCTGGAATCATAGTAATTTGGCTAATTTCCAGCTTTTTTTAACTATCTCTGTGTTTTCCGGTGTGTTGTATTCACTCGCTTTCCTTTTAGAATTTATTCTTCTCTGATGATTAACATATCAGTGTTTGCTTTGTTGTGTTTTGTTATTTGTCAATGTCAAAGTACAAACACCAAATTTTATTGCTGGATTAACTTTACTCTGTGCTGCATTACTTGTATCAATTACTTCTAATTTTTGTCAATGATTTTCTTCAATTACTTTTAATTTTTGTCAATGATTTTCTTCAATTCCTTATAATTATGACCATATCAAATTTCTGCTTTTAATTTTTGGCTGAGTCTTTAGGCCTAAAATTCTGCTTCCTTATCTAGATATCTTGCCCCTTTCCCTTTTTTGTATCGGTTCTATCTCTTAAAATCAAATAAAACACCTACCTTTCCGAAAGAAAAGAAAGAAAAAAAAAAAAAAAACAACTATCAATTCATCAAAATATACTTTTTTTGGTTTCATTAAATGTATGTTTGTCAATATGACATGTGCCAAACCATCCACCCCTTTAAAAACTCAAGCCTTTTCGGATAATGGTTGTATGGATGGTGATAGTGGAATGTAATGCATTGATCTGGGCATTTCTTTCTACTTGTCGGAATGATTCTTGTGTGTTTGCCTCGCAGCAGAGAATAAACTTACCTGTAGTGTAATTTTCATTAGGTGGGCACATACTTTGAACTGTATCAGCTACTGATTATACTGTTCCCTTCTTAATTTCTAAAAGTATTGTTCAAGTTGACTAAGCATTAGTCATACATTGTGTTTCCTGAGGTTTTATGTGTTTCTGTTTTACATTTTAGCTGAAAGGAATAAACAGGATTCTTGTTAGGCCAGTCCTATATGATTAATGATGTAATACATTGCGTAATGACAGGCTCATTATATGCTTGGTCTAGCACTGCTTCAAAGGAAAGAATACGCAGAAGGTGTCAAGGAATTGGAAAAGGTAAACAATTTTAATACAATTAAGATCACCTGGAAGCTTTTTTCATGTCAGTTACATGGATCACCAGGTACGTTGGTGGTGCTATTTGGCCAATGGATACTCAATATTTCAACCAAAAATTAGCTTATATATTGTGGTGGCTGTATCTGTGTTGAAAGTTCTTTTTTTAGGCAATTCTTTGGAAATAACGATATAAATATTTGAACGTGAAATATATAAACATTCAAATATCTCTCCTCTTATGCATGGTTTGCCATTTTTATATGGCTAGCAATTTAAGAGATCAACACCCAAATTTTTATTTTATATAGTGTAATTCTTGAAAACAATTTATTCTTTCCGTTTACGAGAAATATGCCTGTATAAACTTGACATGAGTTTTAATGAATGTAGTATTATTTGGTTGATTGTGATATAGTGAGTTAATGAAGTGTGAGCAAATTTTGGATAAATTCAATGTGTAAATGGTTGTTGCATATTTGTAAATAAGCATAATGTTAAGGGTATAAAGTAAGGAATGGGTAAGAGTTTCTGATATAAATGAAAATTGTATATTTTTTATAGAAAAAAATAAAAATACATAGATTTGGTGGACGGAGAAAGTATTATTTATCATGGAGCTATGTATTTTCTTAAGGGGACCATCGAGCTGTATTACTGTTATTTTCAGTTAGCAGAATGACTAATTTAGATTGGGTTTTTGAATCTTTCGATGATGTACCTGTTAGACATTTTGTGGAAAAGGTTCTTCTGATTGTATAAACATTTTCTGCTGACATTCCTTAGGCATTAGATCTCGGGAGGGGCGCGAATCCCAAGGGCTACATGGTAGAGGAGATTTGGCAGGAGCTTTCAAGAGCAAAATACTTGGCGTGGGAGCACGAATCAACCAAACGTTCGTGGGAGCTTCGAAACCTGAAGTAAATGCTATATGCCATTCTTCAAGTTTGCTCTTATTTAATTCTCTTAACATCATTTACCATATGCTCTTTTTTTCGTCATTCTTGAATGGATTAACTCATTCCAATTTAGAGACACCTGTGAGGCAGCATTGAAGGAGAAGCATTTCCTTGATAATTGTGGAGACCAAGGCGCAGTAGATGGAACTACCCAATCTATTTCCGAGCAATTGAAAGCATTGGACCGAGTATTCCAGAAAGCTTCTGAAGTTGATACTCCAACTGAGGTGATCATTAGCCTCCCCCTTGTTTTTGTACATGATTGACATCTTCCGGCCTCTTCTGACACCAAACAAGATTTCATTTAGGTGCCCGACTACCTGTGCTGTAAAATAACCTTGGATATCTTCCGAGATCCTGTAATTGCGCCGAGTGGAGTTACATACGAGAGAGCTGTGATCCTTGACCATTTGCAAAAGGTAAAGAAAATTCAGTTGTAGAATCACACACTTTCTAGATGCTGTTTAACAAATTTTACTCTTTGTAGGTGGGCAAATTCGACCCTATCACCCGCGAAACACTTTACCCCTCTCAGCTGATTCCAAATTTTGCCCTAAAAGAAGCTGTAAGAGCATATCTGGAGAAGCATGGTTGGGCGTATAAAATGGATTGATATCGGTATGTACCGTGCCCGGAAGATCTTTGCTCGTCTAATTGTGCTTTGCATCTAAGATTTGATATTGCCTGTGTTAGTTCATCCTCCTAAATGTACAGAGATAGCAACTGATTGTATAGTGTCTCTAGATGATATCTCTGCCTTAAAAAAAATGCATATTTATTTAGTTGTCGAGTTGTTCATCCTCGGGTTTATTTTGTTGTGTTTATCAGCTTTCTTCATGAGAATTAAAATGTGAAATGATTCGCTCTATCGGCTATACAGTTATGAGTGCAGTGTAATGCTCGACTTTATTGAGATTGTTTACAGAACCTACCTTAAGTAGCTCGATTTATACTTGATTTGTTAGATTTGAATTGAGTCGAGCTTTTTTTTATTTTATTGAGTTGAGCTTTTTGTTGATGGCTTAAGCTTTTGAAGCTGTTGGAGATTTATTAGTTGTGAAACAAAGTTTGAGTTCCTCTGTTAGAATTTAAAGATTAAAGTTTTGTTTTTAAGGTTTTATTCAAATTTTGGTTTAAATGATTTTTTAATGTGATGTTTTGTTAGACTCAATGTTGCATTTTTATTGGGAAATTAAATTGTGTAAACCTCCTCCTCACTTTTTTTTATGAGCCCCTAATATTTTTATGATTTTCTTTTTTCTTTTTCTTTAAATAGTTTAATTATAAAAATATTAGGTGCTCATAAGTTTACTCAATTATGTGTAGTGTATATAGAGTTGTCTTATAATTTTAAAAAGAGGATGGCATGAAAATGTGTTGAAAATAGCTTCTGTTTATTTGTTTATTTTATTTCGTTTTTAGCTAATTTCAAATGAAAATATTTTCTTCATCTCAACTTTTTTTTTTCTTTTTTTTCTTTTTTTTTTTTTTTGTCTATATTTTAACTAATCTATTACCCGCGCATAGAAATTATAATATTAATTTAATTTTTATATTTTAAATAATAAATTTCGTTTTGATAATAAAATTTTGTATGAAGATAGTTAAAATTAATTTATATAAAAAATAAACTATAAATAAAAATACAGTAACTAAATCAAATAAAAAAATATCAAGTAAGCGATCAAAATTTTATAAATATATATTACAATTTAAACTCAAACATAATAGAAATAGAAAATAATTATTCACAATCACTCTTAAATTAAAAATCAAAATAAATTTGTCAGTCATTATATATGGTTGTTAGTTTTCAATAGAATAAATAATATATATAGTAACGAAAAGAAAAACAAACAAATAATATTAAATAAGTAAATTATAAATTAAATAAAATTTATATACCATTTTAAATTCAAATTTAAGTAAGATTTAAAATATTTATTTACAATCTTATTAAATGAAACATTATAATAAATTCTGAAATAAATTTATATCTATTGAATAAAAAAAATCTCAATTTTTTTTTTATGCATTGTCTCTTTTATCGCCAGTTTGAAACAACGACACTTTAAACAATATATCAATAAAAAAAAAAACAAATACACGAACAAAAGTAAAACAATTGCAGAATATTAAGTAATACAAATTATATATTATAAAATTTATATTTAAAGTGAAATCAAATATAAGTTAAATTAAAATATTTATTAAAAAATCATATTAGGGTGTGTTTGTTTGTAAGATTTGTGCAAAATCTTACTATTCATCCAATTTTTTTCCCCCAAAAACATCGAATCAAACATCTATTTTTTATTTTTTATATTATACTAAAAATCAATTTTACATTCAAAACATCACATCAACACCTATTTATATCACATCGTACAACTATTCAAATTCAAAATTTTTACTATTCAAATCCCAACTCAAAATCCAAATCCCCAAACAAACACACCCTTAGAAGACTCGAAAATTGAATATAATTTCAATTTTTTTTTAAAAAAAAATCTTATTAGAATAGTAATTCCAAACCAAATTAATTAGAAAAAATATATAGAATAAGAATTAATTAGTAAAAAATAAAAATAAAAATAAATAAAATAATACATACAAAATAAAAATAAAAGTACTAAAATTAAAATATAGTCATTTTTATAAATTACTAAAATTTATCTTAATTTTCTGTTTGGATTTTTCTGATATTCTTTTAAATAAAATATTCGAATTTTAAATAAAATCTACAAAATTAGGAAAAAAATATTTTAATATAATATTCAAAACCAAATCAATTAAAAAAATACATATTAAATAAGAATTAATAAAAAATTGATTAGTAAAAAATAAAAATAACACAATGTATAATTAAAAAAATATATAGATAATAAGGAATATTGAAAAATATACTATAATATAATAATCGAAATCAAATCAATTAGAACAATCAAATAATCAATAAGAATGAAAAATATTTTATTAGTAGAAAATAAGAATAATACAATAAATATTTTAAAAAATATATATACAATAATAATGAAATATTAGAACATTATACTAGAAACTAAATAAAATAGTAAATACATACATAATAAGAATAAAAAATATTTTAATAAGAATAACACAATATATAATTTTAAAAAATACATATACAATAATAATATATTAGAACATTATACTTGAAATTAAATAAATTAGTAAATAAATATATAATAAGAATAAAAAGAATTTATTAGTAGAAAATTAAAATTAATATAATAATATTATTATACATAATCAAATAAATAAACAAAAACACAAAAAAAAATAAAACTAATTTTTTTTTCTTTCTGCTTCCTTCTTTCTCTTCTATTTTTTTTTCTTCTCATTTTTTTTTTCTTGAGATTTTTTTTCATCATATCATGTATAAAAAAATTGATTAGTAAAAATTTTCTTATAATTTAATACTTATAAGTCAAAGAAAACAAATTTATTATATAATTTTCACTATATAGGAAGGATACAAAAAATTATACGAAATAATATATAAAAGAGATAATAATAATTTTCATGTGGAAAATCATTCACTTCCTTTAAACGATAACAAATTATATGCGTAGATAAAATACGAAAAAGAATAATCACTTGAAAACACTTCAAGGTAAAAAAAAATAATAAAATAAAAAATCACGTAATCCAAATCATAAGTAGAAAATTCATAATAATGAAATAAAATATAAGAGTTTTTAAGAGTACATATAAACATGTTCAATCATCATTAAATCAACCAACAAAAACCACATATTTAAGAAAAATAAAGAAAAAAAAAAAACCTAAAAACTTTCTTATTCTGGTCGAACTACATGTATCCAACCAACGAACACTTCTTGACGGTCAATGAAGCGGAATTCGCCGTTTTTCCTAACCTGCACAGTATTTGACGAAAATCTCATAATAATTTTTCTTATGGCTATTTTGGCTTAATTATATATAGATATACAAAACCCTAATTTTATACATATCTTTGTTATTTATTATCTTGATAAATCTGAATTTTGTTAGATTAGTTGTTATCCTAACAAATTTTAACTAATTATCCAAACTTATTATTTAAAAAATAAAAGAAACAATTCCAAAATTATGAGAGTGCACGAATTAAAGTGTATTGTGCTATATATATTGTCCCATATTTCATTTTATTTATTTTTTGAAATATAATTATATATTTTGATTATAATGTTTTTTATATACTCTTAATTAGATTACTTAATTATTTTAATATTAATTTATAATTATTTTTATTAATATTTTTTTTAATTATTTATAAATTATACTACTCCCTCCCTCCCATAACAAAGAATCCATTTTTCTATTTTAGTCCATTCCATAACAAAGTATCTATTTCCTTTTGTAGTAACTGTACTATCTACTTAACATTACAAATACCCTTACAACTTACAATATATTACACAAATGTCATTACCTTTATATCACACGTACTAATAAGATTATTTTAGTCGTTTCTACTTTATTTCTACTATATCCCAATATAATACTAATATACCTAAAACTACGCATAAAAAGTAATTGGATACTTATTAATGATACGAATGGAGTATTATAATACTATATCTATAGTGCACTAGACATTATAATTTTTTTAAAAAAATAAATTTGAGAAAATATGTAGACATAGAATTATTATTATTTACTTTCTGTATGTTTTGAGTAAATAATACTTATAATTTTTAAATATTTTATATAGAGCAACACATATTCTACCCGTTAGCGCAAGAGATATAAACAATACAGTATAAAATCTAAATCTTTTGTTAATTAGCATAATGAAGCTTGTTTAACAAAAAATTCAAATGAATCTATGATTACTTCGACACCAAATTTGTAATATTCTCGAGAATATATATACATATATAAGTAGATGTTTTACTGGTTTCCTACAACAACCGAAACAGGTATACATGCCAATGAAACGAGAGTTATTTAGTAAACTCTTTTGTTTGTTTGTTTCGAGTGCCAGTTGTCTAACCAGGTCTTTGAAATCATAACTCTATCGATCACAGCTTTAATATTTCCTTTTAAAATAGTAGCATCAATAATCAACATGTCTAAATTTTTTATGTACATGTCTAACATCTTGATATCGTTGATGGACTTCTTGTCTTTGGAATTTTTACCGTTGCCGTTGGAAAAAGTTTTGTTTTGAATTTAGATAATACAAATTCAATATGGTCACTAATATCCATAGACAAAAAGAAGAAGTTAATAACCAAAAATATATTGATATAGTTTTTAAAATGTAATTACCTCCAACATTCTTTCTAAATCGTTAATTATGTGTCCGCAAAAAGGGCCTTGAGGAAGAGGGGAGCAATGTCCTCAAACTTCAAGGACCCCTGGCCGACTGAACGAACTTCTAGATAAAGGTTTGAACAATTTGAAAATTTATTCATTTCTACTTCTTTGGAAAGTAATGTGATACCATAAAAACTCTTTCTCATTTCCTTCTCTGTACACCCCGTTCCATACTGCCGTGGGTACGAAACTCCCCTTGCCATAAAATATACGGACATCTACAAACACCTCCTCCATTATTTTAATAAGAAATAACAATAAATACAATAAGCAAAAACCACAACCACCTCCTTAACCAGAACTCAAAGTTCACAAAACGAAAAATGTTAAAATCAGAGAACACAACAATCACCTGCAATGAAAATAAATTCACGAGAAAAGAAAAAATTTTAAGAACAGAGCCAAAATAAATTCACGAGAAAATAAGAGATTTTACGAACAGAGAGCCAAAATAGCAAATAATCTCACAATCACAAAAACCAACTTCACACAGAAAAGAAAGAGAAAGTTGAGATATATACTTCCCTCCACATCCACCTTCACCATCCTAATCACGAAGAAAGCGACGTTCGTTCTTGTCTA